CGTGGGATGCCAACACTTTGAAGCTGGTGTTGGGCCGTGGGGACGAACTGATCGACAAGTCGCTGTCCTGGCCGTCGTTGTGCGCGATGAGCAAGTTGCTGGAGGACGAGTGGCCCGATTTCCCGTTTAGCGACGACGACAAGTCTGCGCTGCACATGTTGACCTTCAAGTCCATCGTCCTATGCACAAACAGAAGCATTAATTCCTCTCGACCAAAAAAAAAAGGTGAGTGTGGCATGAGTGGGCAGCTATGCAAGTCCCAAAAGGAAGCGAACGAACATGGCAGAACTTGTAATGCATCTGGCCGATAAAATTGGCGTTTTTTTTTCAGTCGAGAGGCAATTTGTGCGTCCATACAGAGAGGCTTGCCGGTCCAAGCGTTCCTACAACACGGATGGCACGGTGAAGAGCGAGGAGGAGATCGTCAACTACGACAAAGAAATGGCCGAGGAGGAGGTGAAGAAACTCGCGAAGACGGTGGTTATCAATTTCGAACCGAAGCCCGAGTTTGAGACCTTGGATGACATCTTGACGTGGTATAATATTTACAATGTCTTGCATGAATCGACGCGGTCTTGCGATTTCGGGAACTTGTGATAGATGCGAATTTTTGTCGCTGTTGTTTTTTCGATGTTCGAATTTGTCATGCAGCTTCAGATCAACATAGAATATCTTGCCTTCTCTTTCGCAGTGATTGAAAAACAAACCCAAAACCAACACACAGGTTGTTGAACTTCCCCAACCTCCAGGACAAGCTCGACACCGTATACGAAAAGATGACAACCTACTCCGGCGCGGATTTGAAGCGCGAGGTGTTGCAGTACCTGGGCGACCCGACGAAGGACAAAGAATCTGTAGTCTACCGCCTCTTGATGAAGTTGAGTCCCTTTGCCGTCAAGAAAGCAACCGTGGAGGACCGAGCGTCCCACATCAACCTGCTCCGCAAAGTGGCGAACAACCAGCAGCCCGCGCCCTCCGCAGCGGAGCGGGCCGAGTCGAAGCGGTTTGCGTACAAGGTGTCCGAGATTGTCCGGGCGGTTTCCACGGATGAGAAGGCGTTGACCTTGTGCTCCATGGCCGACCGGCGGGCCCGGATCACCCGGTTGCGGCCCTACCTGTCGGACCCGTTGTACCAGGCGATGAACCAAATCGATGCGGAGTGTGCTACCGTCATGCGGATGATCAACGGTGACCGCGGGCATGTGAAATGCCACATCCTCAACCTGGAGTTCAACAACATCTTTCCGAACCTGAAAGCTGCTGGTCTGGAAAAACAGCTGTCGCTGGAAATCAACGACGGGATGCAGATCGAGTGGGAGTCCTACGTCGCGAAGTGCAGCACTTTGCTGGGTCACGTGAACGGGCCGGTGGATCAGCAGGCTTTGCGTTTCGTCAAGGCTGCGAAGGCTGTTTCCCGGGGCTACATCGGCGCCCACACGAAGACGATCTTGACCTGCGTCACCAACCCGACCGAGATACGCATTGCAAATTTGTCGCCCTCTTACTCTTAGTAAATGTTGCCCAAGCATGAGCAGCCTGCTTCTCCTTGATTGAATCTGCATGACAAATTTGCATTTCGTTTTTTCTTGGGGGGCATTTGTCATGCATTTTATGTAAAGTGCGACGCATTTGCAACGCATATGAATCCCAGTTGAACGACCTGTGTACTGCGGCTACGAACGCGCAGAAGGTTTTAGAGCAGGGTCACCACGGCGCCATGCTGCATCTCGGGTCCTGCGTCGAGAAGTACCAGATCAAGATCCTCTCCACCGAGATGGACCAGATCAAACAGAAGCTCACGAATTTGAAAACCAGCGCCAATGCTACGGTCGCTATGTTTTGCAAGATCCTACACACAAGCACACAAACTACAGCAAAAGAAAATGCAAAACGCATCTCCACACGGGAATTTCGAAAGTAGCTAACTTGTCATGCGCGCTGCAGTTTGGTGCAGTGTGTAGAATTTTTGCATAGCATACTCTCGCAGATCGAGAACTTCCGCAAGGAGTGGAAGTTGAAGAAGCGGATCTTCATCCTCGACGGTCTGGAGGTGCAGAAGTTGAATCCGGAGTGCGTGTGGATGCGCGACTGCCAGCGCGAGAACGCGGACTTGTACACCGCGGCCCATCAGCAGGCTACCCTGCGGAACCCGGCCGCGCAGAACAACGCTGGTGCGAACTTCGGCCAGCCGAAGGGATTGAAGAAGGGCGCGGCCTTCTAGGTGGGGTGGTTGAAATCGTGATTAAAAATTTTGTTTGGTCTGAGAGCCAAAATGGAATCGGGTTGACCTGTTTCTATCAGATTATACAAAAAACGCAACACTAGTAATTTACAATCTTGATATCTAGCAACGAACGCAACACTTTCAACCGATGGAAAGACTCAAACTGCGACAGCAGCAGCTCGATGCTCTGCGTCAGTAGCCAAAACTTTTAATATAATGTGCGTCTAGAACTTCTGTTTGCAATCTTTACCTCTTTCTCCGATAGAACTCGAAGCTTATGGATGTGGTTGCGTCTGCATTCAGCAGGCCCAGCAATCAGCAACTATCCCTCTTTTGTGCAACTTCTTTCCGCCGGCGTGGTCGAGCATCCTCGAGCGCTGGCCCGGGCGGAAGCAGAAGTGGTTCGGTTTTCTTCCTTTCCGATCAAGACCTTAAACCAGTACTAAGAAAGAAGTATTTACATAATTTATGCTTCAGACAATATAAGCGACAAAAATTGCAATGAATATCAAACAGCATAGGGTAGATCTCCTCTATTCAGACCGGAACTGACGTTGCTGGCTTTTCTTCGTCAGCACGACTACCATTGCCCTTCTACAGCTCCTGTCTATTTTCATTCGAGCGACCACAGACCCGGTCTCCTCTGCTGGTTTTGTGTATAGATGCTTGACAAAAATTTCCGGAGCTTCTATCTAAGACTAGAACTTTACCCGACAGCAAGTTAGTCATATAGTATGTCATGGTGCGGCGGTGCGGCCAAAGGCTCGCCCAGCTTTCTCTTGTTTTGTTTATTTGAGATGCGAAACGCAGCGGCACTCCCAGTTTTGCTCCCTCTGTGCCAGCAGCTATCCCTGCTGTCGTTTACAGTTACAAGCCATGTCTAAATCGTCGTCATTACAGATTCCCACCGTGGTCTTTTACCAGGCTGCCCTGTTTCGAGCGTTTTGATCTAGATATTTTCGTCCGCAGCGCCTCTTTCTCAGGGTGTTGTTGTGGACTGTTTCCCGACGAACTCCTTATTCTTCAGGGGGGGCCCGTATCTATTTGTTTCCTCGCTGATGTGATCAGACCGATTGCGGTCAAATTTCTGAACAGCAAGAGACGAAGTTGATACGTGGCAACCCTGGCACTTGAACTAGAACTTCGAGAGTTTATATTTATACCTCTCTACCCTATGACCCGCCCTTCTTTCATCTGGATTCACCCACTTTAGAGCAACCTAGCTCATTCGACAAAACAAAAGAGGACTTTTAGAGGCTATGAACTGATTTGATGACGCAATGCTCGTCGGAGCTCCTGCAAGTAGACAGTGCCGGTCTGCTTGTATTCACACGAAGAGAAGCCTCCGAAGTGGGTCGACTACAGGTATGGTGAAGTTAGTTACAACCTATAGCTGGGGCCGTAGGTACAGTTTTGATCAATTTTAGCGATTTATAGCCCCCCGGATAAAACCAAAACAAAATCTCGCCAAAACAATTTTCCAGTTGGGCCCTGTTTTTGCTTCGTGTCGGGCGGCGCCTCCAATGCTACCTGTCACAAAGGGATTTGGGTGTCCAAGCCTTCGAACTTTTATTCATTTTTTCGCCTGTTTTATTTACCTTGTTTTCGTGTTTCGATTTCTCTGTCCACGCTCCAGATTTTCTGTCGCGGGGCCCAGGACTTAGCTCTAGCGCTTTAATATTGTGGCCCGATTCCGACTTCACGTCGAGAGGAATCGTTCCAGGCACTAAGAGAGGGAGTTAGGAAAGGAATCATTTACGACAAGCCGGTATATTTTGCCAATAGCAGTGGCCCGCTATAAGTTTCGTTTTATCGAGAAGCACCGCCTAGATATTCGTTTATACCCTAAACGAGTGGCCCACCCGCATGCTGGATATCCTCCATGTGGTTCGGCCCGTGGTTGTTTTGCCTCGTCTTCTAGATGTAACGCGACGTCATCGGCTCAATGGCTACTACGCTCTTCATATCAAATCTCTTCGAGTGATGTTATGGCATCGTAAGGCTAGTGCCAAATCGATAACGGCTGGAAGAGTTCGCACTTCATGAGCCAGCCAAGGGCTCGCGAGCAGATAGCCACTATGGGCTTCGAGATGTGGCGCACGATCACAATACCAAGAAGATAGAGACTGCGACAACCTAGAAACTAGTTTTCCTGTTTTCGAACTTTGTTTGGTTTTGGCGAAAAAAATCTGGAACGGCCTGAACAAAGTGACAACTGCTCTGGGTCAGTTGCGCTGCCACGAAGCCTACTGCGTGCGCGGTTCTCGCCATCTTTCGACGCCGACTTAGAGCGAGCAAAGCAGCCTTTTCGGTTTCTTTTTTTCTGCGAACCGAGTGACAGAGCCGGGCTGCGCATGAGCGACTTGCTGAAGTGACGCCTTGCATCGCGAAGTACCCACACCCCCTCGGACGAGCGGCATCGTAGGGAAGAAAATTTCGGAGCAGAAATGTTCGCGGCACCACGGTAAGGAAGGAAGAAGCAGGGGAGTTCGTATATTTAATTTACGTTTTTGCAATGTTGTTTTGGAACAGAATATAGCAGTGCCAGACTGCTCCTGAAATTTCAAAACTTCAAACTTTCGAAATTCACTTGAATTGCTCGAGAATATGAATTAGCGCACGGCCCCTTTGGAGTTAACCATAAGGAAGATATTTTTCTCGATCATGGATTCAAGAAGCATGTTCAATGTGGGATATTGTCTCGTCAAACAGATCAATCCATTGTCACAGAAACAATCTGCGATGTATCGGCTCCGTTTAGCCGCTGGCGATTGATATTTTTTCTTCTCGTGCAGCAACCGGTTTGCAGAATGCGTTGTTATTTGTTCATTTTTGTCCATCTCGCCTTTGTCAACATTTTGGCTGATTTTCTCGTTTTCCCTTTCATTTATTTCTTCCTGCTCTTCCTCATAACTTGGGACCGACCGGAGAATTATGCACGGTAAAAGCAAAGCGCTGGTGGTGGTTGTATTTGCATGCAACATTGCATGGAAAAAAGACGACGAGCAAACTGCGTGGTGCAGCTAGAAAGCGTCAGGTTTACAGACTGTCATTTCCACTTTGCAAAAGTCTAAAATATGCGACTTGCACACTTCCACTTTTTAATTCCTCGAGCGCGAGGACTTGCTTTTATAGTGCCTAAAAAAATGCTCATCGCAGCTGAGCCTGGTGAAGCTGAAAATGAAGCACACGTTGTCGTACCGCTTGCCCTATCAAATGCAAGAATGTCTAGGTCTGGAAGATTCTGAGCCTTGTCATGCATGTTTTGCATGACTCAGGATTGTGTGTGATGCATGCCCTACCATAACAGACTTTTAGAACCCTTCCTGATGCCTACTCCGCATGACAAACGCCCTCCCCGCGTAGCACAAACTAGACGCCTCTTGCTGGTCATGCAATACAGATTTTTTGAGAGTCCAAAGCTAGCATCACAAATTCCAACCTTCCAGACCCAGACATTTTTGCATTTGATATGCCCGCGAAAAGGTTCAGGTCAGGCAATGGAATCAGATCGCACGCGTTGGCATCCATTGCAAATGGAAGTAGATCTACTTCTAGGAAGTGGCGTGGAACCACGTTCACAGAGCAATCATTTTTTCATGCAGCTTGGTCCACTTGGATGCGTGAGTGCTCATCCTCATGCAACACAAGTTGGCCCTCGATCTCGAAGATGCTAAAGCTCCTTGGGCACAATCTTCTCGTCAGATCAACAGTGTGACACGACAAAAATGGAGTTTCTTGTGCGCTCTTGCAATACAGATTTCTAGATTTTGATCGGTTAGATTTGCAATGCGTAGTTGTAGAACAGGTTCGCTTCCAAAGGCTATCCTGAAGAAAAACGTCCCCACACCGGAGTCAAGATGGGGAATCTGCTAGACTAATTAACCAGCTTTGTGTTTGCTTGTTTCGCATGACAAGTTTTCCCTCGCAGTGTCATCCTGTTTGGCTAGTTCAGAAGCATCACAGATCTCTTATATCAGGCTGGTTCTAGCATCACAAATTCCAAAACACGCCTAGAAAATGCTTCTCACGGGGTTCCACGTGAGAAACTTTTGTGGCATGCAGATTTGCATGACAAGTCTGGGGTGAGGACGTTTTTCCTTAGAATAAAGGCGTCAGGTTGTAGTTGCTCGCGGATGCTCGGACGAAGGAATTTTTAGTCATGAAAAACCTATGGTAGGGAAAAGTACATCATCCATACCAGAAAAAAAGCGCGGCACTACAAACCTAAAGATGCACAAGAGACAACTTCTATCTAGGCAGATGCTTTTTTGTCATGCGACATCACTTCACAGGCGGCACGGCATTAATGCCGAAAATCAATGCTGAAAATTACATGATACGCGTGTACTTTTCTGCAGCGTAGGTGTTTGTCACGTCGGGTTTTTGGTGTGGGAAAAAGGTTTTCTCCGCAGTGCGAGCAGAGACAACGGGCGCTGCGGCAGACCCCGGCACTTCTGCTTGTTCATTCACAACCGCGGGGGTTTGCTTGACACCGTCGTCTTTTCCCGTACTATCACTTTCCCGAGGGTTCTTGAGGAATGATGCAGTGTCCGCACTAGAAGTCGCGATGGAGTACCGCTGCAGCCCGTCGCGGCACTGCAAACTGCGGCTGATCAGATATCCTGTGGAAAAACATTCCCACCCCACAGTGAAGATGGGGATCATTTGGTTTACACAAATTCAGAAGTTTTGGGGGTCACGCATGACAAGTTCCTCTCTGTGTTGTACGGCAGTTTCTCAAGGACAGCTGCATCACAAAAACATCTACTTCTCCTGATCCTGATGACAGCATAATTACAAATGCTAGAACACGGTCGATTGGAAATGCCCCTCAGCATATGGATGCGCATTACAAATGGTCCTGTAATTGCAAATCTGCATGGCAACTTTGGGGTGGAGACGCTTTTCCTTGGGATATCAGAGCGAGGAGAAGTTCGCGGTACCGTCCGCGGCACGTGGGGTGGATCAGAACGTCCTGCTCGTTCTGTTGCCTTTGCACTCGTATGCATTTTTACAAAAGCATCGTGCTAAGTACAAATTGCATTACAAATTCTCTCAAAATGAGAAATGAAGTTTGTCATGCTGAAGCTGACTCACCTTGGGAGGCAGATTTGTCATGCGTATCCGCAATTGGTACAAGTACGACACTTTTGCAATGCGTAACCCGCCACGCGTTGACATCCGCGACGGCGCACTGGTGATAGAGGTCGTTGTAAGAATTCCCGTAATATCAAATGCAAAAATGTCTGGGTCTGGAAAAATGCAGCGTTTGTCATCCATGCACATTTAATACATGGCGCATAATGTCGCTGATGTTTGTCCTAGCATCACAGATTTTCTGAGTCCTTTTTGATGCCTATTCCGCATGAGAAGCTCCACCCTCTTCGCGTACCAAAACCTAGACTCGTCTTGCTGCTCATGCAACACAGATTTTTTTCGAATCCGAAGCCAGCATCACAAGTTGCATCTTTCCAGACCCAGACATATTCGCAGTTGATACGTAAAAATTGCTCTGCGTGAAGTGGTTCGTCAGGGTTCGTTGCGGAGGAGGATTCGGGTGGTCCTGTATTTTCGCATCGGCAGTATCGCGAGAAAAAGCTGTGTCAGTCTCAAACCTTTGCAGTAGACTCAGCAATACAAATTTGCTCAGCATCACTTACAGTTTACAATTTACACGGAAAACCTGTGATGCGTCAAAATATACAACGGAAAACACGACCTTTGGAAGACGACTCTCTTGCATGTCGAGCATGACAAAGAACTGTGTCAAGGAAGTTGCGCATTACAAGTTGAGACTGAGACAGTTTTTTCTGAGGATAAGAAGGCCTGGTGCTTGGAGGGGGTGCAGTTCTTGGTGCAATTATTCCCGCTGCAGCTACCGACGATGATGAAAACCAGGCTCTGTTGTAGCGCAGCGCTAGGTATCAAATGTAAAAGTGTCTGGGTCTGGAAGATTGCAACTTGTCATGCTAAATCTGAAGCATGCAAAAATCTGTGCTGCATGATTGACAAAAGTCGTCCAGTTTTCACCCAGTCGGGAGGGAGTTTCTCATGCAGCATAGGCATGAGAGAGATCCTCGCGCAGAATCTGTCATGCTAGGTCCTGCATTCCAGACCTCATGGGTCATGGAAAAGCAGCATGACAAATCGCGCATTCTTCCAGACCCAGACATTTTTGCATTTGATACTAGGTTATTTCGCTGTTGGTGCGCGCGCACGTCGAGCCGGTCTTGTTTTGTTTCTTGTGCAGTTGTTTGTTCACCAGCGCCTCGCGGTGGTGCACGAGGAGTTGTAGGCCCTGTGGTTGTAGTTTCATTCGATAGAGTCGAAGTTGGAGTTTCAATTTCATCGCCCATCACCACATCGTCCGGAAGCACGCGTGTCTCCTGGTGCGTATACGGTCTTTCGGCCGACCGCGGGGACCGGCCGGCTGGGCCATCCCCCTCCTCGGTGGCATGCTCATCCAGTGATCCTGCGTAAAAATCTTCATATCGCCACCCCAGAGTTGCTTGTCATGCAGATTTTCATGATCAAAAAATAAATTACGTGTTGCAATAAAACTCCCATCTTGAGGACCCTGGGGTGGGAACGCTTTATTTGCACAGGATATTAGCTCGTGACTGTCCGTGTTGACCATGACCACCTCGACTTTTTCGTCCGCGTACCTTGCGCCGGAAATCAATGGAGTTGCTTATCAAAATGAAAAATCCCCCCTCCCCATATCAAAACGGAGATTTGTGATGCAGATTTGTGGTCACAAATCATCTTTGTCTTGCATATAGCGTCATACGAGCCATTTAAGGCATTTCAGAGCAAGTCTGTCATGCGCTTTCGGCTACTGCAAACCTGTTTGCCAAGCGCAATTGCTAGCCTTCTGCATACCCAAACAGGCTCAGGAAATGCCGCCACGCACTTTCTGCAAGACAAATCTGATTTGTGTACGCAAATTCACCATCAGAAACTTAGTTTCGATATTAGGAGGGAAGATTTTTCCTCTCAATATTGCTGCAGTGAGAGAAAGTTGGATGGTGTCACGCAACTTCTGCTGCTCTAGGGGTTGCGTGTTAGAGAAAGTGCCGGTTTCTTGTGATCCTCGCGCAAACAAAACATCCCGGCGCGCTTCGTCCTCCATCCTCCGCCATTTCAACGCTTCCAGGGTGCGCCACCGTCGAAACAAGCCGCGATCAAAATCCGGCATGCGTTCGCTTGTCGAATTGCGGAGGTACATGCTCTACCCCAGTGAAAAACGTCCCCACATCACCAGAGTTGTCATGCTAAACAGAAGCGCGACAGCACACTTTGCCTCCCCCTGTGCAAACAGCCGCAGATGGCTGTTCACGCAGGGAAGGTAGGTCAGGCGAATTTGTGTAGCAAGGACCCCATGCATCTTGAGGACCCTGAGATGGGGACGATTTTATTACACAGGATATGCTCAGCTCGCTATTGAACATGCATTTGCTTTTCGACGGGTTCTCCTGCAGGTCTTGCTGCGGGTGTTGCATCTTCGCGACCACCCGTGTACTTTCCTCGCTTGTTTGTTGTTCGCGTCGTGCTGATGCTGTAGAAGCGTTCGACGTCGTCGTGTCTACTTCGCTTTGGCCGGTGCTCGTCTCACCTGCAGCCGTAGTGTCCTCGGGGAGCTGACGAGGACCACCTCTACTAGCTTCGGAAAGAAGTTGTAGACCTCCTGCCTCTGCCGAGGAACCCTGCTCGGTAGAGGAAGTTTCTGCAAGAATTCTCAATTTAGTAGAAGAAGTATTTGCTTGTTCATTATTTTCCTGGTCCGCCTCCGCTCCTCCCGCAGCGTCTCCACCCCCCACGATCCCCTGCTGGTCCGGAAAGCTGAGCGGGGGGTTATCAAAATGAAAAATCTCCCCCCCCCCCATATCAAAGTGGAAATCTGTGATGCGGGATTTGCGTACACAAATCCGATCTGTCTTGCAGTAGAGGACTGCAGGCAGATGCAGTGCCTGAGTAGGGGCGTTTTGCCGTAGGCACCTAGCAGGGCAGGCATATCCTCTGTAGGCGATACAGCATTACAAAGTGCCTGCGAAACGCGGCTGATTCTCTGGCTTTGCCCTCTTGCAACACAGGGGCGATTTGTGGTCACAAATCAGCATCACAAATTTTCAGTAGTGCCCCTTTGTGGTATGGGGAGGGGGGATCTTTCCTTTTGATAGGGGTCGAGCATGCGCGCGAACAGCTTTTCCTTGGTCCGGTCCGCTTCGCTATGGCATGCAAATATGTCTGGGTCTGGAAAAGTGGAACTTGTCATGCGTGTCTTGCATTCCTGGAAAATCTGTGTTGCGTGAGCAGCAGAAGAGCCGCTTCTTTTGTCATGCAAAAACATCAGAAAGCGTTTCAAAAACTTGTCATGCTTGTTGGCTGCCATGGCAAGCGTTGCGATCAGCAGCAAATCAGCATCACAGGTTTCCAGACCCAGACATATTTGCAGCGGATATTCGCACGCGCGTGTCGTTGCCCAGTCAAAGCGGTACACCGGTGCGCGATAGTACAGCAGGGTGTTGAGGAGGTGGAGTTCCAGGTTGTAAACTTCGTAAATGGCCAGCTGCAGGAACAAGTGAAAGCGGGGCTCTTGGAAGCTGTACAGCCGGTCGAAAGTGAGGATGTCGGCGTAGTCCCGCGAGCTACCAAGTGCAAAAGTGTCTGGGTCTGGAAGAATGCAACTTGTGATGCTGCATCTGGATTCCAAAAAAATCTGTATTGCATAGGTACCATCAAAGGGAATGTCACTTTTGCTACGTGGAGAGGGCATTTGTCATGCGGAATAGGCATCAAGAAGCTCTCAAAAATCTGTGATGCTAGGGCATGCATCGCAAACATCAGGGCTCATGCAAAACGTGCATGACAAGTGTCAGAATCTTCCAGACCCAGACAATTTGACAGTTGATACGAGCAGATTTGGTACCAATCTGTCAATCCCATCGCATCCCCCTGGTCAAAGGGGACCCAGCAGCCCGAGGGCTTCTTTTCCTGTTTCAGAAACAGCATCTGTTTCAGAATCAAAGCCTGGTCGAGGTAAATCTTGATTTTCCGCACGAGAAGTCGCTTTTTCCGGTGACGGTCAGCGTCGTGATAAACATCTACCCGTTCCTGCGCGCCGGGGTAATCAAAATTATTCTCGCCGTGTCCAGTTTGTTCTTCCGAAATCACCTGCAATTTTACCATTTGCTTGCCAGTCGTGAGGTCTTTCGTGCCGTGCACTATCCCAGAGAAAAAAGCTGGCAGGGCATATTTGTATATGGAAAAATAAATAGACAAAAAAATCTGTATTGCATGCCCTAAACAGCATGCTATGGCCTCGCCCATGACAGATTTTTCTGTGTATTTATTTTTGCATTGCAGATCTCACCTGCCAGATTTTTTCTGTGGGATATGCACGACGTCGTGCAAATAGCGATCGGACTCCACGGTTGCCAGCGTCACGGGTGCTACAGGAGGTACTGCTTCGGCATCAGGGAGCTGGTCTTTTTGCGTTTTCATAGGATAATTATTTTCACCCTGTTGTAGCAGCTTCCTGGTGTAAAGAATCAGATCCGACAGCAGCCGGGCCAGGCTCCGCGCACGGTACAGCCATTTTGGTTCGGCCGGTTGCTTCAGGAGAAAGGCGAGGAATTTTTCTTTTCTGTCAGTACTTGTACCTCGCGCGGGCACCACTGCCGCCTCTCGTGGTCCTCCTGCTGCACCATCGGATTTATTGTCCTCCTCTTTATTTTCATCTGCATCCACCACTTCTCTGCTGCTCTCTAAATGCTTCAGAATGCGGGTAATTGGATGTGTTTCGTCGTCCAGCGGCGCTTGCCCGCGATAAAAGTCTTTTTCTGCGGGGGAGGTGGAGGAGGGTTGTTGCTCTCTGGCGGTCGTAAAAGGAGCACGAGTGTTTGCGCTAAAGAGTGGAGTACTGCTTCTGTAGCCCTGCGTATCGGGGGAAAAAAGTGTTGCACTGTTGTATTTCTAGGATTTTTGTGCAACGCGAGGTCGTTGTTCCTAGTAGGGGCTAACTACAAGGGTCAAAATGTCCACTTCCATCTTGCATTTGTAGCAAGACCACAGCCGCCTTTCGTGCGGAATCCTCTGCGTCACAAGTTTATAATAAATCCAGTGAAACTACAGCTACACCAGTTTTTTCTCGCGATACTGCAGGGCGGGCACCTGGTCGTCTCTTCCCAGGCTGGTGCGGAGTTTGAAGTTACTCGGGGTTCTCCTTTTCCGATTCGCTGTCTCCGGGCTGCCGCTTCTGCTCTCTTCATCCTCCAGTTCGGCCACCACCCGGAAGTCGTCCACCCTGACGTGTGGGGTCAGCCACAAAAGATCGAGCCGGCCCAGCGCTAGGTAGTCGTAGTGCTTCGTTTTTGCGGTGCTGCCCCGGTTTTTGTACAGAAATTCTTCCGCATTCTCGAACATCATCCCGCACAAAAACCCGTCGGCGAGTTGATACGCGCCGTTCCACGGCACGGGGACGATCTTTTATGCATTGCAAACATGTCTGGATCTGAAAGGTTGCCATTTGTGATGCTATCTTTGGGTTCTGAAAAAATCCGTATTGCATGACCTTTTTTACCCCTCAACCACAGTACCCCCTTTACAACCACTGCCTCTGGGCAGGATCTCGGGGGGGGGGGTAGGGTCAAGCTCTAACGGGGGTCGGACCCGAGTTGTGAAACCGTTAGAGTGGCAGCATGTCCTGGTCGATTCCGTTTTATTCCATGAGCAACCGCACGTATCCGTCAGAACCAACCAAGCAAAACACGAGAACGGACAAAGACGATATCAAGAGCACAGAGCAGAGGGATAGCTGGGGTCTCCGGCAGTACCAGCAAGAGCAGAAAGACTGTGTACTATAAGCGGAAAGGGCATTTGTCATGCAGTATAGGCATCAGGAAGGCCTCAAAAAGTCTGTGATGCTAGGGCATGCATCACAGACATCATGGGTCATGCAAAACGTGCATGACAAACAAGTGCACTCTTCCAAACCCAGACCTATTTGCATTCCATATGTTTTCCGGATCGTTGAAAAACGCCAGCAGCTCCTCGTGTATGCAACAAAAAAACTGTGTAACTTTTTATCTTGAAGGAATAGCATGACAAGTTTGCTCTGCATGACACAGAAAACCTGTCATGCGTAGCTAGAACGTGGAAACACTTATGAAGAGAGCCTCTGATGAATGTCCAGCATGACAGGCGTTAGTGTCATCTTCCATCGTCTGCAACACAAAGTTACACTTTACACAGTTTTTTTCTCGGATATCGTGCAGGCTATATTCACGCATCAGGTAGTGCCGCTGGATCGTGCTGGACAGAGTCTTGGTCGCGTTTGAGGTTGCACTTGCAGGAGAGTGACTCAACAGAAATTTTTCTAGCGGAGGGCGGATTGCACTCGTAGTTGTTTTTCCAGGAAGATGAACAGGATGACCATCATCAATTGTCGTATCAAATTTGAGCAAATCCCGCAGCAGAAATTGCGCCAATTTTCCGCTCAACTTCGCCGCAATCTTCGTGAAATACTGCCCGGGGGTTACCGAGGTTCGGCCGTAAACATTCACGCGGGACTGGAACTCCCGCTCGATCTCCGTCTGGAAAAGCTGCTTGGTGTAGTGAGTGACGACAGAAGTGATGTCGTGGATCATTTTTGTACTAGCAGCGGTAGATGAAGGTTGATTTTTTTCGCTGGCTTGTAGTTGTACCATGAGTTCTTGTTTCCGGTCAAGAACATCTTCTTCTCCGCTGGCAGGAATTTGCACTCCTGGCCCCGTGCTGCCACTTCCAGTCGTGGAGGCCATTTGTTCCAAGTTGATCCTTTCCACAACCTTTTCTAAAATCGTTTTCCTTGTGTTCCTTCTATCGTTTGTTCCAATAGTAGTTGTACCAACGACGGTGTTTGTTCTACTATCGCTACTATCCTTGTTGTCAAGAACTACGTCGTCGAAATACCAGTCGTAATCAGCCGGCTTGTAGAGACGCGAGGAACTAGCCTGATCGCTACTACTTATTCCCGACGCGTCATCAAGAGCCTCGCTTTCTTCCTCCTCTTGCTGTCCCAGGGGGCTGCTTTTCTCCTCCACTAGCACATTGCCCAACTTCGGATTTAATTGCAGAATCGCGCTCCCGTCGTCCCAATTTACCCCGTAGGGCGTACTGTATGCATTGCAAATATGTCTGCCTGGGTCTGGAAACTTGTGACGCAAGACAGGGAAGAGTGAGCACTGTGTGATGCGCTTCCCAGCATGACAAGTTTTTCCGTGGTTCTGAGTTGCGTACTCCGCATGAGAAACTGCGTTTTTGCATGACAGGCAAGAGGAGCTCTTCGCGGCCACGCAATACAGAGTGCAGAGTCATACCAGATTAGCATGGCTAATATCGTGGCAATCTCCCAGACCCAGACATATTTGCAGTTGATATACTGGAGCCCAATCCAAAAGTTTTCTTCCGCAAAACCTGCCGCAGCACGATGTTCGCAAACCGCAGGCTCGGGATCGGTAATCCGCCGAGGATGGACATGTGCCCGCGAGGCCCGCCGATCGGGTAGATTTTGACCTTGGATGGGTCGTATCAAATGCAAAAATGTCTGGGTCTGCAAGAGTCATGCTGTTTTTGCATGACACAGAAGGTCTGGCATGGAAGCTCTAGCATCACAGGTTTCATCGAGAAGCTTCCGGAATGCCGAATCCGCATCACAAATCCTCATTTTGGTGACAGAAAGTGGGCAGCTTTTGCTACCTATGAATGAGAGATTTTTCTGTGTTCTGAAATGCGCATCGCAAGTTTGTATTTTTCCAGACCCAGACATCTTTGCAATCCATAGGTCGGGCTTCCAGCCGTACATAATGCGGCCGAGGGAAGTATCCTGTGTAAAAACGTCCCCACCCCATAGTCAAGATGGGGATTTTACAACACAAGCCTAGGAGTTTTGGGAGTCACGCGTGACAAGTTGCACTCCGTAGTGTAATGCAGGTTAGCAAGTGCAGCCGCATCACAGATCCATCTGCCCATCCTGTTCACAGCATCATAAATTCCAAAACACGATTGGAAATGTCTACTATGGGTATGCGCATCACAAATGTCCTTGCTATTGCAAATCTGCATGACAACTCTGGGGTGAGGACGTTTTTCCTTAGGATAGGAAGCTTCGAGCAGCTTCCGGGCGGACCCGCCGACGTGTTTCGTGTAGAAGTCGTTCAGCTCAAAAGGGTCCGTGATAGAAGTTTGCAGGAAAATGCGGAAGAAGTGGTTGTTTTTCGCATCAAAAACTTTATTACCGTCTTGAAGACGAAAATCCTCCATTCTCTCCGTCCTATTCCGCACCACTTCCGCTGTGCACCGAAATTTTCTCGTTTTCTCTTGCCACATTTTCCTCCTTTCCGAAAAACTTGTCGTGTGCGCGGTTGCGGAAAAATAGGCAGGTTCTTGCTCTACTTTTGGTAGCTTCTCCTGCTGCTCCCGGTTCTTATCGGTGTGCGTTTGTGATGCGGTTGCGGGATTTGGAAAAATTGTACTAGGATGATTCTTATCTTCATCCGCCCTACTATTTTTGTCGTGGTAAAACTCTTCCACACACTCATGGCCGTTTTTCACGGTATATGAGGGTGCACAACTCCCCCTCCACCTTTTTTGTAATGCAAAATACCAAATCCATGCCTTGCCTTTAGGCTCTCTCTGCATGACAGATTTTGGAAGCGCAAACAGTACTACACTAGGCGCATAAAGAATTTGTGATGCGCAGGCTCCACGTGTGCTGGTGTTTGTATTGCTGTTCATGCCATACAAATGAGGGGGAGGGGGAGTTGTGCACTCTCATACGATGGCGTCGACGACCCGGTACCCATCCGGGGAAACGAGAAACAAATCCGCGTAATTCAGCGGCTCGAGCAGGTTAGAGACCATATAGGACGTTACGTTCAGCGGACTCTGCGTCTTCCCAATCAAACACACGCCGCATTTCGCCGGGTCGTTTTTGCTGCGTTTGTAGGAGGGTCCTGGAGAAGATGGAGCTGTGTCCTCTGGAGAGGAGCGACCGGTGCGACGGCTGCTTCTGCTGCCGGGTGTTGAAGCGGTCTGGCTAGAAGCAGCCACGATGCCGCTTGCGAACAAATAACCTCCGTAGAGCAGGTCGTGCAAGAGAACACGCTGCGTGGTCACGACCAACAGGACACGCCGCAGCATGAGACGTATTGACCGGATGGAAGACATCATGGCGAGGCGCTAATTGGGTGGGGGTACTAGAGCAGCACAGGGCTACTAGGGCTTGTAGGTTAATGCACACTTGTGGTGCTACAGCTACTTATGCGCTCATCTACTTGAAAAAAAAAGTGGCCGGGCGTTGGTTCGTGACTGGGTGATAAAATAGGTGGATCAAATAACAGCCTAAGATCATCTGCTACTACGGTCGGTCGAAAAACGGGTTTTTGGATATTTCGTCAGTTGTTCATGTGCATGCAGATGCACAAAGGACTCAATCTGAGGCACAGTGCGCCAGTGTCATGTCGTCCAAAAGTGTGCAAGACCAAGACCGCGAACAAAAAAAAACCTCGAAAAGAATAAAATCTTCATCTTCATCAAGACGAAAGGCACGCGCGAACAGAGGACCACAAAGTAGCCAATGAATGAAGCTCCGGCTCGTGTAGTGTTTTTCTTCAAGTAGTCCCTACTGCTCGGGGTTTGAAAATGAGAAGAAAATGCTGGCAAGTGATCAACATCTTGTGCACTTTCGAAAAGTCTTTTCCAGGAGGATGAAAAGTGGACTATTCACTGACGCTTTTATCAGTCAACAACGTAGCATGATGACCACAATCACACTCGTCTACACGTCGAAGACCGCTTCTGACCTCCCATGTTACACCCCAAGTCCTTCAATCACTGGTTTCAATACACCAACCTACTCCGGATCGCGGCAAACACCCGCAAAGGGTCTAGGAAGATCGGCCTGTGGGTGTAACTCTCGTTGTACGCCAGGGGGAGGTACTCAAACCCCAACGCATTCACGATTTCGTTTTTCCCCCGCGCCGGCATGCTCGTCTCACTGGCGACAAATTCCACGCAGAGGGGGAGCGTGCGCGTGGAGGGATGGAGATTGCTGTTTGCTTTCGCAGTAATTCCCGCTCGTTCCGGTGGTCTACTTATTCCACCCCACCTGCGCATAAACGCCGCGTTGCTGCTAGCGGAGCCGAAGGGGTAAATTGCGACCTATCAAATGCAAATATGTCTGGGTCTGGGAGGTTGGAACTTGTCATGCTAAATCCGAATCATGCAAAATTCTGTCTTGCATGAGCGCCAAAAGCTGTCCACTCTCAACCAAGTTGGGAGCAGGGAGTTTCTCATGCAGGATAGACATGACAAAGACCTCACAGAGTCTGCCATGCTAGGTCCCGCATTCCAGACCTCATGGGTCATGGAAAACCTGCGTGACACGTGTACACTCTTCCAGACCCAGACATATTTGCAGTTGATACGACCTCCGCATGCGCAAACCGGTCGATAGACTCGCGCAGGCCGATATTGGTGAAATTCTGAATCACGAGGTTGATGGGTTTGAAGTACATCGCGTTTTTCTCCTGATTTATTTCGGGGGAAAGAGTAGTTGCAACAGGTGTGCCGGGTTGCGTAGTTGCACTATCTGAGTCCCTTCCTGTGGTCAGTTGCGCTCTGGTACTACTGCTCTCCGATGGTTCTTCTACCGAGTCGTTTTTGTTTTCAAGAAAGAATTCCGCCTCCTCCGCGTCCTGTGAGTCGCTTCGCGGTGGAGTTGTTGATCCAAAAACCGGAGTAGCTCTGGTACCGACAGAACTGTCCTCATTTGATGCTGTCTCATCTGTGTTTAGCTTCACCAGCGTCGCTAGAAGTTTCTGACAGAGCTCAAACGCGGCTTCGAAATGGGTGTTGATAATTTTTTCTCTAGTGGATGTGGATGTGCTTGCCAAGAGTGTTGATTCTGTGACATCATCATCACGTGCTGCTACAGTTTGATCAACATGTAGTTGTGTTTCTTCATCTTGCATTTGTTCCTGTACACTCTCGTCCTCCTCCCCTGCCGAGTAAATGTCAAAAATATCCTCCTCCTCCAACTGGCATTCCTGCAACCTATCCGACCTCCTCGCAATCCCTCGGTTATACAGCTCGACCAATCTCACAAATATCCGATGCTCCACCCAACTACGGACCAAAAACGTGTACGGAAAGTGCCAGGCGTACTCCTTCTTTTTCATCGTTTCCACCGACCCTTCCCTTTGGATCAAAACCACGTTGAGAGAAGGTTTGTGTTGCTGGTCGACGTGTTGTTGTGCTCCCCCACCGTGATTTGCTTGTATTTGCATTTCGTTGGGTCGACGTGCTTGTGCCTCTGCTTCTCCAGGCAACATCTTTGGTCGTGCTGCGCTTCTTGAAGTGGTAGCAGTTCTTCTACTTTGATGCGGCATAGAAGCCGTATCAAAAGGGTTGCTGCTTGTGAAGTAGCTGAGATATTTCGAGATCAGTTTCGATCCGTGCGGGGTCATGACTTCCGCGTTATAGGTTGGAGCGATGTTTTCGCAGTAGCTCGGCGCCGCAATAATCCAGTATTTCGCGTAGAAAGCCACCATGGGGCCCTCCCAGGGAATCAGCTTAATATTGGAGTGGAGAATGTTTTGCAGGATCTTTTGAAAGCTGTTCTCGACAGAATTTTTATGGGATGAAGAGGAAATGGAAGAGCCAGAGTGGGATAGTAGGAGAGAATGGGTGATTGCTTCGTTCGTGTCGTATACACCATGAAACAGGCGGTGTATGGGCGAGTCCACTACTGTCGGGGAAGAAGAAGCAGGCTCCTGTGAAGAAGTAGAAGACGATGTAGTACCCTTTATCGCAACAGACCACATCATTTTCAGGTTTTGCCGTAGCAACTCGTACACCGTCCTGGCCAAGTGGTTCCACGGGACCACGAAAGTGTTACACATCTGCAAGAGCGGGAACTCGAAGTTGGAGGTTTTTTCCTCGGCTTTTGATGTTCCATCTTGCTTCCGCTTGTTTCCGTTGTTCTCACTTCTTTTTCTTCTTCTTTCGTCGTCTAAAAATGCTCTTTGCCGTCGAAACAGGTGGAAATTTTCGCGGACTAACTTTTCCAGACCAGAGAAGTTCTCGAGGATATTCTCTACTTTAACGTCCGGCTCTGCCCTGGACGCCTCTTGCGAATCCTCTTCAAATGTCCCACCGTAGTAGTGGTTGTGGTCCTCCCCGTTGGGAGAAGCTTTTTTACTGAAGATCCTGCTGTTTGGTTTGCCCTCGTCTAGTATCCGGAACTCGATTTTCAAATTTTCTTGAGTCGTTGACATGTTCGGGTGGTCTGCTACAACTTCATCACTTCTCACTTCCTTTACGTTTACCTTTACCAGTATCCTGGCTAAAGACTCCATGGTCCACAGAATCGCGGGCAGCAGGTCGCTCAGGAAGTGTCCAAACGCGAAGGGGAACTCGCGGATGAGGTTGACAACGCAATTGGAATGCTGTTTGTTCTGCTGAAGGAAAGTTTGCGGGGGCGTTTGGCGACTTCGTGCACCAGCTTCGGTCGTTACTTCCAATTCTTCTTCTGATTGATCTGTAGTTTCTCTTCGTTCGTTCTTGATTGTTGGTGCAAACTTATCTTCACTAACTTGTCGAGGACCAGCATCTTCTAATGTTTCATCCGGGACGAGGAGGTCTCCTGTTTCATCGTCTATCGTCAAGTTTCGCAGCGTCGGCTTGCAGCCCCACCATCCAATCCGCTCGTTTGGCGGTTTCGACCAGCGGTTGTGTTTCTGCAGCTGGATCCAATGCGTATGAACTGCAATTATGTCTGGGTCTGGAAGAGTCGGGGCTTGTCATGCACATTTTGCATGACACATCAGGTCTGTGATGCTGGTGCTAGCATCACAGATTTTTTGAGAGCGCCTTGATGCTAATTACGCATGAAAAATGCCCTCTCCGTGTGCCAAGAGCTGACTCCTCTTACTGCTCATGCAACACAGATATTTTCAGAATCCGCAGACAGCATTACAAGTTCCACTCTTCCAGACCCAGACATTTTTGCATTTGATAATGCGTGCTGTTAAACAAAATTCCCGGCCCGTGGTGCGGGCGAAACTTTCGCGTGACGAAGCGCCAGAAGAACGACTGCCCTTCATCGGATTCCATGTCCACCGCCCGATCGGACAGGTGGAAATCCTCGTAGAGCGCGAGGTGGTAGTCGTTGGATTTTTTCTGCGCCGTGCAGGGATTGAGCAGGGAGCTGGGGGAGGGGCGTAGAGGTTCTTGTTCAACGTCTTCAGTAGATGTTGCGCTGCCAGAGTAAAAGTCTTTAATATTGTTGTACATGTCCGCCCTACATTCTTCCCATTTCGACGTGAACTGTGGCTCACGGTCGAACGAGGGAATGTCTGTGACATGCCGACAGAAATTTTCCTGCACGTTTTGGACGATCTTCTCCGCGTAGGATACCGCGGTGGAGGAGGAGGATCTGTTTTGAATAAGCCAGTAAAAGTATTGAAACGAAGCATCTACATCAGGTAGACCTACTTTACACCTACGGTGTACAGTAAGTCCTCTTTTGCAGCATGTTCTCAAAAAAGACCACCAGCTCGCATTTCCATCAGACTTGATCGTGAAACACACTATACACCTCGCGATCTTGCACTTGTGCTGGTCCTTGTTGTCTACTTCTAGACGCAGCTCTGTCAGGTGGACCATCGTCCAAATCGTGTCCACTCGCCTCGAATATCTTCTGCGTAAACAAGATCTTCCCTCCGGTCCCAATCCCAGTCAGCATTTGCCGCTCAGGGACTGTGATAGAAGCTTTTTTCGAGGGCTTGTTTATTTGGGGTAGTTGTATTACATGCTTGTCTCTCGTCTCCGCCCTCTCGTTCCGTTCCTCCAAGTACGCCTTTTGCATGGCTTCGACCGAATGGTAGCAACACTTGTTGCGCATGGCCTCGTGAAACTGGTAGGCCGGCTTGGTGTCATCGATGCAGAGGCCGCGGAGACCGATTGTCGACCGCTTTTCGAGGTACTCCGTGATGTAGTGCTTGGGAGGTGAGATGCTGGTTTGATTGGGAGTTGTTGGGGCTGCAGATGTTTTGGGTTCGGTCACGGAAGAAGTAGTTTGAAGAATTTCTGCCGCGGCGGGTTGTACTAGTGCTGCGGCTTGGAGGAGGAGAAGGGTTGCTCCTGTGACGAGGATGAGGAAGCGCTTTGCGCCGGTAGGTAAGTTCTGTTGTTCGTGAACAGATCTTAGCACTTTTCGATGAAGGAGCGTCATTTTTTTTTTCAGTGCTACATGCCCTTCATGGATAATCACTACAGGGCTACGGTTACAGGGGGTACTTAGCAGGATCTGTGACAAGCACCTGACCAAATATATTTCGTCGAAAACGCTTTGCGGCAGGCGCCGTTCGGAGAAGGACAGAAAGCCGCTTGGCACGATCGCGAGTTTGATAGATAGGAACACGAATCTCCCACGTATTGGCTAACACAATGAGAGCGGAATCACGGCCCCCATAGGCGAGACGGAGAGAACTATCTGCTTCTATCGCTGAAGCCAGCTGCGCTGGTATGATTAGATGGCCCGCCGGGCAGATTCATGCCATGGTTGGCAACACGCGGCCCGACCGGCTTGGCGGAAACGGCTGCGGAGGCTGCGGCCGACGAGTCTTGCGCGCCTTGCTCGCCTTCGGCGCCTCCCAGCCTTGTCCGGTTTCGGGCAAAAGGCTTACAGCCTTACTTTCCACAACCAAACAACGAAAACCTGCCCGGCCCTGCTGGGCACGGGCGCCGTTGATGCCGCCCGGGAAACGGGCGGGGGGGGGGGGGCGCCTGCTAGGTTGGTAGACTGGGCCGGGCGGAGCTAGCCTCGTTCCTTGGGCCCGCCCTCGGTCGCGCGCACCCCCACGAGCGCAGGGGTGGGGCGACCGAAGCGCGCGCCGGCCCGGGCGCGCGGTGCGATGCACCGGCCTGCCAGCCACGGGGCTAGCACGCAGGCAGGCGCCCCCTGCGGGGAGGGCGGGGCTTGGGGCGAAAACGATGGACGGGGCGGGACGGACGGAGCGGGGCAGCCGCGGCACCAAGGGACGACAGTTTTTTAGTCGCTTGCGCCGAGCCAGGCCGGCGGCGCCAACTCTGTTGGGCTGTCCGCTGCCTCGATCGCCACGCCGCCCGCCCGCCACCGAGTAGGCCAACCGACGACGCGCGCGGGGGGGGGGCCCGGGTGCGGAGGCGCTCCCGCTTTTTCTGTTTCCCAGCGCGCTGCCCAATGGGATAGCTGCGTCCACTTATCTCCCTCGTCTTGGCCAACAGCGCTTGCCCTTTCGCGGGGCAAAACCGCCGCGGCGAAAGGATCGCCCAACCTCGGCCCGTACCAGCCCCACCCTCGGCGCCCAGACAGAGAAGGGGCGCCCGGCCCAGCCCCTTCCCAGTGCGACGCGCGGGCCCTTCGCAGGCAAAGACAACACCGACACGACACACACCGCCCCGGGCCATAGATAGCCTGCGGGGGCTTGGTCACCATAGTCGTACAGGCTAGAGTGCAGGGAACTGGTGAGGTCCCGAGGTTGGCGCTACAGTTGGGGCAAGCCCTAAGCGCTTCCCGCGTGATCATGTCGCGGGTCTGCGTCAGCGTTCCGAACCGGCTCAGCGCGTTGCTGCATCGGCCGCGACGCAACAGCAGGCCGCGAAGACGAAAACGCGACAAGGCCCCCCCGAAAGGCGCGCATCGGCTCCATTCTTCGCCGCCTCTTCTGGGGTTGTCGCCACCAACCAAACGACGCGGGTGACAAATAGATAGAAGCTCGGCGACCATCTAACACAAAAACAGGCGTATCTTCAAATGACACTGAACAGACATATGTAACATAGACCGTCGCTAGACCGTCGCGGAGCAAGGACTGCTCAGTCACCACAGCAATTCGTCGTGTTTCATTTTGACTTTCATTTGTAAAGTACTCCATTCTTGTTCTTCGCCCGTGACAAAAATTCGCCAGCGAGCCTCGATAAAAACACCTATCGTTCATCTCATGTATTTGTTTCAAAACCAACAGCGAAACCTCATCTATCATCCTGATCCTTTCACTTATCCAACTTTTGAATCATTTTGTCCATCGTCACTTGCGCCTTCTGCAACTTTTCCAGCCCACTGGCCGCCTCACTGTTCGGCACGTTCCCCTTGTACGCTACCAAAGCGTTCTGCAGATCCTCCTCGAAAGCCCGCGCCGCCTGCTCCACGTTGCCGAGCAAGTCCGCCCCGGTTTGCATCACGGATTTGATCCCCACGTTCCGCGCCTGTTGGAGGTTTACCTCGTCCGCCTTGTCCAAAACTTGCCTGGTTTTCTTGATAATCTGGTCCAGCTGGGATGCGTTGGGGAGGAAAGAGGACGGGGTCCAACTGGGATGGCGCGGGTGGTGATAACTATTTTGAGGCGCTAACATCTTCGTGGTGCTACCCCCTTGTTCTAAACTACGTCCTCGAGCCAATTGTCTGGCACTTGTGCCACTGGTCTGAAGGGGCCAAAGAGCCGAGTCGAAGAACGAAGTGGCGGTTGAGCTAGTGTTGGAGAAGCTGGCGCGTGTATTGCTTGATGAGGTTTCTCCACTGGTCATGTAGCCAGGAAACTCAGGTCCTGTTGTTGACAAAGTTTGCAGAAAGTGCGAGAGACCGGAGGACGGCATTTTGTTCGAGGAAAGGAACTCACTGCAGGTTCGCTGGCTTGCACACGCGGCACTTTAGTCTTCCAATTTGCTTGTTCCTTTTGATCCACAAAACACTCTGCAGATGGGTCATACTAGAATAATACATTCATTACTATTGAAACATTCACTCTGCGGGGAAAAGAAGTTGCGAAATAAATACAAATTCAGGCTATTTTCACGATGAAGACGGTAGGATGCGAATGCGCGATGCGATTGTGATGCGAGAACGACAAGGAAAAATCATTGTTTGCCACCAACGTACGAAGAGAAACGAAAAGCGATTTGGTAGATGCTCGAAATTTCGTGACCACGATGTCGAGAAAAACTCGGGTGAAAAAATCGAATCAAGCGAAGAGTTGACAAAACAAAGCACTTACCAGAGAGGATCGGAAGCGGCTGCGGGCAGCATGCCATAGTGAATACATCTGCTCAACATGCTCAGACGATCACGGGCACTTGCAGCGATAGAATGAATTAACCACCCTTTCAAAAAGTTTCTGGTACTAACATCAAGAGACATGATCAACTCATTGCTGAATTCATAGCTTGAGAGGATTGAGCAAAAAGCTACAAGTTTTTTGGTTCTTAAAAAAATTTTTTGTGCAGAAATTCAACAGCAGGTGACGCAAACAGAAATTCGGCTTGCACTCTTCTGGGTAAAGATATCGGAGGAGAAATACGTCGTGATAAACAACAACAACAAGTGCACGTAGAAATATAATATCTCCCAAGTCAGAAAAAAAAATGTTTTTTATTTTTTTAATATAGCCCAGGGCGCGCTGCTGCTGTGGCAAAAATATCACACAACAGCAACAAGCCTTCAGCTGACGGACCTGCTTCCTTTAGGCGAAGCGAGAGGACCAGTTGTTGCATTGAAGATACGACGACGGGCACCGCATGCAGCAATGTTGATCCTGCTTGAAACTGCAGGCGAAAAGATGAGCCTTTTTGTCCGTAAAGCAGTTCTTTAAAACAGTTCCAAAATTTGTGTTGTGAATGTGCCACACAAGATGAAGATCACGACTGGTCAGCACCGAGTTTTAGCAGTACAGAAAGAAAATGACCCCTCGGTGGATAATACTTAATATCGTGCTCGAAGATGAAGTTCAATTTGATAAAGCTGGAGTTTAATTCATAAAGGTCGTTTGCAAAAGGAAAAGACACTACGTAATATGACGGGCAAAAACTTCTTGCAATGTAGTTAGGGAAAAAATACATGAACGCTATGACAAATAACTCGTGTAGTATCTGACGGAGAAAAATCTGCCATAGCGTCCAAGTAGAAAAAACAAACTGACTGTAAGAATAACACTTTGATATCATGATAAACCTGAAACCGTAAAAACCCTAAAACCGATCATGTTGAGCAGTGCTCTGCTCCTTCGAAGTCTCCGTGTTGTAGTCTCTTCTTCCGTGATGTGCAGAAAAGCTTTATTTGTGAATAAAGCTTCAACTTCCACCGTCATCCTCGTACCCGTCGCCGGCTAAAGTTGTACACAGTAGGTACTACCTGAAAGGTCGTCGTGTCAATACATACAATACAATCTTCGTCCGCCGACTGTCTTTTGAAACACTTTCAATTCTACAGTGTCGTTTAAGTACAGCGCGACAGCGACTTCATCTTCCGGACGGAAGATCAACGGTAGAATTATATATATGCAACTAGAATACGCCATAAGAAAGGAAAATCCAGTTCATCATCCAAGAACTAAACTATACCTCACCTCAATTCTTGATTGTCGTTTTCAAATTCCCCTCAACTCCGGTTTGCCATCGCAACTTCCATCCTTTTCCGGATAATCTCGATATCCGCCGTGTTATGGCTTGCAAATATGTCTGGGTCTGGGTCTGGGAGATTGCGAAATTTGTCATGCTATTCTGGCATGACTCTGGGATCTGTATTGCGTGGCAACCAACAGCTCCTCTTGCCTGTCATGCAGTCACGCAGTTTCTCATGCGGATTACGCAACCAACAGAGCCATGAAAAAACTTGTCATGCTTGGCGGCGCATTACAGTGTGGGTACTATCATTCAGTGACCTGCATCACAACTTTCCAGACCCAGACATATTTGCATCTCATACGTGTTGATCGGCTGCAACAGCGGCCCGCGGCCGCTCGTCTCCGGTGCAGCTGGCAGCAGCGAGTTATCCAAGCAAATAAAAAGTTTTGCAGTTAGTACACCTTTGTTTGAACATGCTCGGTATAAAACAGACTCGGCATGACGAAGTAGCAACTAAAAATTTGCAATGCAAAGATCATAAGCGTCGAAAACGCGTATGAACCGACGCACAACGCAAGCATTTCCGGCATGAGAGAGGGCGTCTGTGCTGTCGCTTGTCCTGCACACAGACTACGATGTGCAAAAACTGTATTCACTTTATTTTCGCTTGCCTATGGTTCGCCCGTGATGCTGTCCAGCAATGGTTCCTCCGGAGGGGGCGGCGGGGGCGGCGGAACATCTGGATCACCCTCGCGCACCACAGCTCCGCCGAGAGCTCCAGAAGTTGCAGCAGCGGCGGTTTTCAGTTTATCCCGGTTGTCCAACACCATGTTGCGCCCGGGTGGATAGTTCGAGCCGCCGCGAGAAGAAAACGCGGTAGAAGGCCGGCGGCTGCTGGTATGGAGTAGAAATATCTTTTGGTTTTGTCCGTCCCCGCTGCGCTCAGTTTGTCATGCGAATGCATGTACTAGGTTAAAAAGGTTCATCATGAGACAGTCTGACAGGATAAGAAACTGTACCACTGCGTTCTGCAAGTGCAATTGCAATAGACTAAATTTGTCTTGCTGGTGGTTTTGCAGCATGTGCAATCGATGTTCCGCTATTTAGTTGTGTCAAGCTGGAGGTCATGCAACACAAATGTCAGTGCTAGTTCGGAGGCAAGAAAAAGCATTCTCACATTCCATACCGGTGATTATAGTCGTTGTGCCGAGTCGATGCTGCGCCCGCGCCGTGGCCACTGTACCACTCACTTCCCGCACGACTTCTTCCCCCGGAGCGGGATCGGCCCCGCTTGTGATGATCCTTATCCCGGGACCGGGATCGTCGCTTAAAAAATCGGTCGTGGTTGCGACTTGTCGTTTGCCCGCTGCGGAGGTGATGATCCGCATCTACTCGGGTGGACCGCTCCCCTCGGTGGTGGTAATTGTCATCCCCCCGTTTGCTGTTGTAATGATCCCGATGTCGCGTACTCCGGTCGCCATCCCGGAGGTGGCCACGCTTGTAGTGATGATCATGGTCTCTACTACTTTTAATATATCCACCGTGATTGGCGCGACCGCCCCCCGGAGTCGGTGGGGGGAGGACATCCCGTTTCATGTTTCGGTCCCGATGTTGATGCTGTTCACGCTCACGGTAATTATCCTTATTTCCAGTTGTTCCAGTATTGTCCCGCCCGATCGCCGGCGGGAGGTTGTTCAAAGAGGAGGAAGCGCTGTCCTTGCTCGTAATCTCCGACCGGCTCTTGTGGAAACCAGATCCCGCCATCGAGCTTCTGTGCGCACCACGCGCAGACGGTGCCCCGTTGGCCGCTGTAGTCCCCACGCCCCGTACCACGTCTTTGTCGACTAGGTCGGAGGTGGTTGTGGTTTGCAGGGACGATTTTGAGGTGAATTTGCTCGACCCGGCGAAGGCATTTTTGTGTTTGTCACGATCATCGTCCTCTTTTTCGTCGTCTGACAACTTCAAGTTGTTCGCAGCTGCATTGTTTCCCAATTCCCCGGCTTTGTACAAAGGTTCAGTCGCCGAGAGGAGGCCGTACAGCAACTCGGGCTCGGGCTCGTCCGGGTCCGGGGGTACCTCGTGCCGGAGCACGTGGATGCCCTTGGCAGTGTATAAGCGTGCAAAAACGTTGTTCCCACCGTTCCAGAGTCAAGATGGCTATTTCGCTACACTTTAGTTGAACCGCATCACATATAGACTACCTCATCCGGATATCAGCATCACAAACTCGTCCCGGACAGCATTGTACTTCGTGTTGTCCGGCAGCTGCACCTGCTCATGGGGCTGCGCATGAGAAGTAATATTTTGGGTTTGCAGATTTGCATGACAACTCTGCGGAGCTGGGGACGTTTTTACACAGCAGGATACAGTGTAGATTCCTTGATCGGTGTAGCAGACGGTGAAAAAGCATTGGTTGTGTAAGACCATGTCCTCCTGTTTTGTTATGTTTGTTTGTGAAGGGTACTTTTGCATCACAAATTCTTCCTCTCTTCCTATGTTTGCATGACAAATTATGTTCCGAGAAAAAACTGTACCTCCATGCAGGGGAAATCTTCCACGCGGGCCCAAATCGCTAAGTGCTCTTTCCCGTGGATCTGGATCAGACAGAACCCGAATTTCGGAAATGACTGAATGATCGTGCCCCGAAAAACGGCGCCGGCGCTGAGCGGGTGCGGTTGCTTCCGCCTGCGGACCGTCCGGTATTCTGGAGCATCAACCAGAGCTTGTTCTGCAAGAACTTTAGCGTCCTTCTCCTTATCCCGAGCTGCATCACGGTCGCGGGACCGACGACGTTCCCTATGAACGTCCTCCCGTCGATCGCGTGCTACTGGGGATCGACTTGTCTTCCGATTCTTGTTGTCCCGTTTCATCTCTCCCTTGCGGTCGTCGTCGTCTTTTTTCTCGTCTTTCTTTATCACAGGAAAAAAATGCTGCTTCACTGGAAAACTTGTAATGCAGAAAGTGTATCTGAGAAGTATTTGTCTTGCTACACATGCAAGACAATGGATTTGTAGCTGTGTTGTCCCTTAGGAATCTCGCATGGCAAATTTTCTCTGTGATGTAGAGCACACTTGTGATGCAAAACTTGCAAAACCCTTACAGTGAAACACTTTTCTCGTACGATATTCTTCTCCGCCGCTGCAGTACTGTCTCCTACTTCCCCCTTCTTGGGGGAGTTGTCTCCGCTTACCCCCGTGGTCAGCATTAGGGTCAAGACCGTACTCGCTTTGGCGCGGAGAACTTTGTCCGTGTTGGTATCCCCCACGACCTTCACAATGTCCGAGGTCTATGAGAGTGCACAGCTCCCTTTCCCCCTCATTTGTATAGCATGAACAGCAACACAAGCAACAGCAGGAGAGGGGCTTTCGCATGACAAATCTGCGCACAGATTGTAGTACTATTTGACTTTGAAGTTCCAAAATTTGTCATGCTAGCGGTGCTCATGAGCAAGGTGTGAAATTGGCATTTTGCATTACAGATGAGGGGGAAGGTGAATTGTGCACTCTCATAAGGTCTTCGTGGAACGCAGAAACTCGTTGGCCTCTTCCGGCGACTGCTCGCTTGTTTATCCTGTGTAAAAACGTCCCCACCCGAGAGTTATTAAGTTGGGACCTCTGCAACACAAATCTCCAAACTTTGCGAGTTATGCATCACAAGTTTACAACATCTGCAGTGTAGTGCTGCTTAGCAAGGAGAGCCGCATCACAAAGACGCCTGCTTATCCGGTGTATCGCATTACAAATTATGGTGCCAAGAAAACACGACTACAACAAATGGTTCTCGTGTGGATTATGCGCATTACAAATTTTCCTGTAGATGCAAATCTGCATGACAAGTCTGGGCGGGCGGGGACGTTTTTACTCGGGATATCGTCTCCCACCGTTTCAAACTCTCGATCAACGCAGCGATCTTTTTATCCTCTGCAAAAGTATCGTACTCGTTCTCGTATGAATGCAAGTCTTGCATTACAAATCTTTTTATTCAGGCAAATCCGCATGACAAATTCCATTTCTCATGCTAAGGAAATTTGTATTGCAATTTTTGTACTAGTACGTCGATACTTTTGCAATGCATACTTTTTCTTCTCCGCGGCCTGCTCCTCGAGCAGCTTCTCCTTCGCTCTTTCCGCATCTCGCTTGTGCCGGTCGTTGATCGCGTCGCGCTTTTCACGCTTGTCGTCGCGGTAGCCGTGTTGATCCGTGCGCTTCCGCGACCGAGACCGGGACTTCTTCCGGGTTTGATCCTGGTCCCGGTTGCTCGTCGTGCGCGGCAACAAATCGACACCTCCGCGCTTCTTCTATGCACTGCAAAAGTATCGCACTCGTATAAATGCACATGACAAATTTCCTCAGCATGAGAAATAAAATTTGTAATGCGGATTTACCTTGAGAAAAAAATTTGTAATGCATGATTGCAATACGAGTACGAGACTTTTGCACAGGATATCTTCTCCTTGTCTTTCTCCTGTTCTACTTGTTCCCGGCGTTTCTCCTCGCGCCGCTTTTCTTCGCGCCGAGTTCTATGGAAGCGTCAGAATCGAAATCGTCAAAGTTGAAAATGAAATAGTTTGTCATGCATAAAATGCAACCCACAAAATGCCTGTCTTGCAGAGTAGGCAAGACAGGCAGACAGTGAGCCTGTTGCGGGGTAGAAACAAAAGGCGTCTTCCTTACCCAAACAGCATTAGAAACTGGATTTCGGCTCTACCCGAATTTGTCATGCGTCACTTAGAAACTAGGCGCCAACTGGTATCCGTTTTATGCATCGCAAATTATTTCAACGCTGTCGATTTCAATCCTGACGCTTCCATAAGTTCGCTCGTCATAGTAGGCCTTGTCGTCCTTATACCGAATGTGTGAGAGTGCACAAATCACCCTGCCCCTCATTTGTATAGCATGAACGGCAATACAAGTGCCAGGGAGGATGCAGGTTTTGCATGACAAATTTGCACAGGATTGTAGTGCGATTTGGGCTGCCGCTGCCAGAACTTGTCATGCACACAGTGCTAAGAGGCACAGCCTGGATTGGGATTTTGCACGACAAATGAGGGGGTGGGGGAGTTATGCCCTGTCATAGAATGCCCCGGTCCTTCTCGTCTTTCTCGCGTTCGATCGCCAAGGCCCGGTGCAGCGTGGCGAGCTCCGCGGTGAACCGTTTGTCAATCACCTTGATGTGCGCGGCCATCACGCGCTCCGGCCGCTTCCAATCCTGCCGAAGTTCATACTCCACAATCGTGCGCTCGGACAGGAAACGCACGGCAAAGGGAGAGTCGAACTGGGTATTTTGTTTTCAAGTTTTTGCACACTGCATTTCAAGTCTATTCCGAGGTGTAAATATTATAGGCGCAGCAGTTTGACACAAAGTCGAATTCCATTTTTGATTGATACTGGGTCATAAATTTCCAATGCAAGAAAATCAACATCGCCAAGCAAACCAAATAAAAACCTCGTTGATGTGGCCGAAAACGTCTTGCGTCCAGACCCCGGTCGGGTCCTCTTCCCGGTAGTTTTCGGCGATGAAGAAGCAGTCCCTCATATCCTGAGGAAAAACTACGTCCCCCTCCCATTGTCAAAAAGGAAATCTGTTACACAAATCAGCAAGGTTAGGCTCACGCGCATGACAAGTTTGGCCGCGTAGTGTAAAACTCCTGCTCAGCTTGTTCAGCAGCATCACAGATCTTGCCTATTATGCTGACTCGAGCATTACAAATTCCAAAACACGACTAGACAACGCTTGTCATGGGGCTCCGCATGAGAAACATTTACATTTTGAGCATGCAGATTTGCATGACAATTCTGGTGTGAGAACGTTTTTACACAGGATACCTTTTGTGCATGATCCGCTGGATGCTTCCCCGGTAGATTTGATTTAACGGCATCGGGCTGGGCATCGTTTTCAAGTGCGGATTCCCCGGGCACTGCTGGTCCCCTTTCCCGCTCACAAAGTCGACGTAGTGCATGCGCTCCACGTGCGCGGTCCACTGCGTTAAAATTTTCTCCTTCTGGAGACACACGTCTTCCTCCTGCTGCCGCATCGAGGGGACTTCCCTCTCGTCCAATTTCGTGGCCCACCTCCGTTTATCAAGTGCAAACATGTCTGGGTCTGGAAGATTGCAAGAGTTGTCATGCTAGTCTGGCATGACTCTGCACTTTGTATTGCGTGACCACAAAGAAGGAACAGCCTCTCTCGCCTGTCATGCAAAAACGCAGTTTCTCATGCAGAATACGCAGCACAGAAGCATGAAAAAACTTGTCATGCTTGGCTGCGCATTACAATTCACTTATTGTTCCCTGACTTGCATCATCATCATCATCATGTAGTGGACACCCGCTCCCAGCGCCACAGGTCAAGGATCCCCTCCCCGGGGGGTGGGCGAGGAAGCACTTTCGGCGACCTCATCATACAAAAGCCGAGCGCTACCACGGCAAGTCGCCCCAATAAAAGTACCGACCAGTCGGGAGCTACCCACCACACCTGATCAGTACAGCCCGGCCAGCTAGCCGAGCGCGACAGCCCAACAAACAGAACGATCCAGGACCCGACCCATTTTACGCCATAAGTTTTTGTTCTCACGGAAGAGACGACGCACCCTTTTGGTTAAGGGGCGAGACTCTCCCTTAAGCCGCAACCCCGCCCAGACAGGGGTTTTCAGACCCAGACATATTTGCAATGCATACCGGTGCCCGTCTTTGGGATAGTCAAGGACTTTGATCCGGCTGGCTTTCACGCGGTGCGGCTTCAGCTCGTCGCGAACCAGGATGAACTCAACTTGCGTTTCCGTGTGGCGGGTGAAGACCTCTTTCATGTAGGAGTCCTTGCTTCGGTTATCGTACGAAAAAAGTGTTTCACTGGAAGGATTTTGCAAGTTTTGCATCACAAGTTTGCTTTACACGACAGGGAAACCCTGCCATGCGAGGCTCCTCAGGGAAAACACAGCTAAAAATCGCCTGTCTTGCATGTGTAGCAAGACAAGCACTTCTGAGATACATGTTCTGCATTACAAGTTTACAGTGAAACAGTTTTTTCTTGCGATATCGGTACGTGTCCGCGTAGTATTTCGGTTCCCCATTTTCGTCCAGTTTGTCCGATTTGATCAGTAAATCCGTGATGTGCCCGAACTATCGAATGCAAATATGTCTGGGTCTGAAAAGAACTTGTGTTGCTGGTCGGCGAATCTTGAGGAAACGCTACGATTGGCGCTCTAGCATGACAGGTTCCTGAGGTGCTAGGTGTAGGTGTTGTCTATTCTGCATGAGAAACTGCGTTTTTGCATGACAGAAAAGTAAGGCTTTTGAGTGATGTGCATGACAGGTTTCAGAGTCATGCTAGCCGAGCATGACAGACAAATCGCGCATTCTTCCAGACCCAGACACATATTTGCAGCGCATACGAACAAGGAGCACCCACTCGCTTCCCGGGGAAACAGATGCGCGTCTTTCTCGTGTTTGGTGAACTCGACGTTGATAAACATCACGTCGCACTTGTGCATGTCGAATTTCCCGACGTATCCAGGAAAAAAAGTGTGTAAGTGTAACTTTCATTGAAAAACAGCATCACAAATTTGCTCTACATGACAGAGAAAACCTGTCATGCGTTACTTGTAAGGGAAAACACACATGAAAAGAGGACTTCGTGGCTGTCTGGCATGACAGGTGTAACTCTGTTGCATCTTCTGCAACACAAATTTACACTTACACAGTTTTTTTCTTGCATACGACGTGGCCCCGCATGGAGACGCCGATGAGGTCGTGCCACTTGAAGCGGTTACTATCACGAGAAAAAAGTGTTACAGTTACACATTTGTTGGAGTTTCTGCATCACAAATTTTCTCTGTGTGGCACAGAAAACTTGTAATGCGGAGATCATAATGGAAAACAGGAAGGAAACGCGACTCCCAAGCATTTCCTGCATGAGAAAGGTTGTCTGTGTTGCCGGTCTTGCATAGACTATGTGTGTAACTGTAGCACTTTTTTGCTGTGATAGTTACCACTCGGAAAGTAGTACGCCCGGGACGCATCGTCGTAGCACATCGTTGGATATCAAATGTAAAAATGTCTGGGTCTGGAAGATTGCAACTTGTCATGCTAGATCTGCAGCATGCAAAAATCTGTGTTGCATGATTACCAAAAGTCGTCCAGTTTTGACCAAGTCGGGAGGTAGTTTCTCATGCAGGATAGGCATTAGAAAGGTCTCGCAGAATCTGTCATGCTGGGTCTCGCATTCCAGACCTCATGGGTCATGGAAAACCTGCATCACAAATCTTGCATTCTTCCAGACCCAGACATTTTTACATTTGATATTGGAATTTCCGAAACGCTCACGTAGGTGCTGTTTTGCTCTGGAACCCAAATATCATCGAACGCCGTAGTCTCGCCTCCAGACCGCGACGCTTTATGCCGTTTTTGAGCGTGGTAGAGCGGTCGGTACCCCGGGGGGTAAAACATCAGCAAATTCGGCTGCTCGTTTCCTTGGAAGCCGTACTTGTGGTGGTTCCGGAAGGCGCCACCCTTGGCGTGGAGGTCCAGGGTAGAAGTACCACCCTTGGTATTGTGGCTGTCTGCGTTGTAACCGCCGCTATTAGTACGGTGCGGAACAAACGCGCCAAGATGACCACTACCTCCGCCACTGGTCGTGTTTTGTATCAGGGTCATACCGCTGGCCACGTCGTGGTTCGGGTCGGGTCGGCGAGGTCCCGGCTTGTGGTACAGAATTTGGCTGATGTTCGTCGAGATTTCGTCTTTGGTCATCCGCGGAATTACCACATCGTCACTGTCGTCGTCTTTATTCCGGTTCTTGTAAAAATTATCCCGGCTTCGACGATCCTCATTGCGCCGGGACGCCTCCAATTCCTGTAGCCTCTTCTCTTCCTCCAGCCTTTTTTCTTCATCCAGCCTTTCTTGTTCCTCCAATCTTTTCTGCTCCTCTTTCTCCTTTTCAATTCGCTCTTCCTCGAGTCTTGCCGCTTCCTCGACCGCTCTTTCTTTCGCCTATGAATTGCAAAAGTATCGCACTCGTATAAATGCATTACAAATTCCCTCAGCATGAGAAATGAAATTTGTAAGACGGATTTATTTGCAATGCAAGACTTGCATTTATACGAGTATGATACTTTTGCACAGGATATCGCCTTCAGTTCGTCAAATTGTTCAATCGTCAGAATTTCCTTCGTATCAAACGCAAATATGTCATCTGGGTCTGAAAAAGTGAAACTTGTGTTGCATGTCTAGCATTCCTGACAAATCTGTGTTGCATATTACCCAGGATCAAAGGCGTTACTTTTTTGTGTCACGTAAAGACGCAGTTTGTCATGCGTGCTACGCATCAGACGGCGACGGCGTCAAAGAACTTTGTCATGCTTGGCTGCACTTTACAGCACCAGACTCATCCATACTTTAGCATCACAGGTTTCCAGACCCAGACACATTTGCAATACATACTTCGGAATCCCTCCCTGGTGGTACAGGTCCACGTCCTGGGCGGCTTCGCGCCGTAACTGGGCTTGCTCGGGGGTCAACGCTCCGTGCTTTTTCACGAACTGCATGGTCAAGTCGCGTATCCAGTGCAAAAGTATCGCACTCGTACCGTAGTAATTGCAATTATGCATTGCAAATCTCCATCCCAAGGTAAAACAGCATGACAAATTCCAGTTGTCATGCTGAGGTAATTTGTAATGCAATTACTACTAGTACGATGCTTTTGCAGCTCATATCGTGGAGCAGAATCCGCTTTTTCAGCATGCTGTAGTCGATGCGCTGGTGAAGGTCGTCGATCAACCTGCCGGTCTCGTCGGTGGTTGGTATGATTTCCGGGTCACCCTTATCCTGAGTAAAAATGTCCCCGCCCCAGAGTTGTCATGCCAAAAAAGTTTCACATGCGGACCCCCATGAGAGCCATTTTCTAGTTCTGTTGTGGAGTTTGCGATGCTAGAATCAGCACGATACGCGAGATCTGCGACGCTTCGGAACTAGCTAAACACGACTACACCACGAGGACAAACTTGTCATGCGAAACAACCAGAGGTGGCTGATTTGTCTAGCGGATTTCCCATCTTGGCTCTAGTGTGGGGACAGTTTTACTCAGGATACCCCTCCTCCTGCGCCATTCCGCGCGGGTTGGTATGAAGAGGGACAAGCAGAACAAAATCTTCATTTACTAGCATGATGTAATACCGTTTTATTAATAACCGCTCCTACCGCATTAGGATTAGATGTAGAAGTCCGGCAACATCATGTAATTGCAAAGAAGGCCGCAAATGAACAAGCATCTGTCTTAGGCGAACTTGTCGGCCCCATGCCTCCTGGGGCGGTGACAGCTATGCAAAACACGGACCTAATATGCATCGGAAGTCGGCGCTCATGTGGTATCTTACGCTAGAGTAGAAGTCTGGTTGTGATTCTGCATTTGATACTAGTACTTGTAGACCTCTTGAAAGATCAAGTTGCTGCGGACCTGCGGTGAAATGAAGAATGTTCATAAATTTGTTCCTCATGTTGACCACGCGTCGATCTAAGCTGTTACAACACCGTAAAAAATCTAACAACAGATTTATTCGGTAGACTAAAACACTTTGAAAAAACTGTACCAGCAAGCGCATTCGCTCGATGACTTTCCGCCAGTGCATGGTGAAATTGAAGATGGTATCGCCAATCTTCTTTTTGTACGCCAACACACTCTCTCCCTCATCGACCAACGGCTCCATCAATGCTTCGAAATTCTGCTCGCTGTAATGACGCATCCAGGGTTATCCTGTGTAAAAACGCCCCCACCTCCCCAGAGTTAAGATGGGACCTCTGCAACACAGATCCAGAAGTTTTCGGAGTCACGCATGACAAGTTTTTCTCTGTATTGTAATGCGGGTTAGCAAGGACAACCGCATCACAAAGCCATCCTGGTATCCTCGTTACAGCATCACAAATTGCATAACACGATTCAAAATGCCTCTCATGGGGGATGCGCATTACAAGTTTTCCTGCGGTTGTGATTCTGCATGACAACTCTGGGGTGGGGGCATTTTTCACTGTAATAAAGGTTCCAAGAACGCCTCGTCGGCGGGTAAATCGAAGGCGAGCGCGAAGTCGTAAATGGTTCCGTTTTCAAAATTATGAATTGCAAAAGTATCGCACTGGTATAAATGCATTACAAATTTCCTCAGCACGAGAAGTAAAATTTGTAATGCTGATTTACCTTAAGAGAAAGATTTGTAGTGCATGATTGCAATACGAATACGATGCTTTTGCACAGGATAAAAAGCCGCCGGGACTTTCTTTGAGTGGGGCTTCGGGTCCATGCGCGGGGGTACGATGACCGCGCGGGAGTGTAAAACTTTTTCGGGCGAAAACATCGCTTCCGGGTCTTTTATCTCACCGGTGGGGACGTGAACCAACAGTCCGTCTTCCGTCGGTTCGCAGGCGTTGAGTAGCAATTGCTTTTCCTCTTCTTTTTCCTTGCACAGGGTCGTGAAGTCCTGCAGCCGCGGCTCCCCGCTGTCCCGGCTAATTCTTGTGCTCTTCCCACCCTCGAGCGCGGCGTCGCGGAGCCGCAAGATCTATGAATTGCAAACATGTCTGGGTCTGGAAGAGTGCAAAGTTTGTCATGCACATTTTGCATGACCCATGGTCTCTATTTTGCATGCGTTAGCATCACAGATTTTATGAGGGCCTTGTGATGCCCATACCGCATGAGAAATGCCCTTTCCGCGTAGCAAAAACTGGACCTCTCTTGCTGTTGATGCAGTACAGACTTTATGTAGGAACCAAAGCCAGCATCACAAGTTTCACTCTTCCAGAGCCAGACATATTTGCATTTGGTAAGATCGCGGTCAAACTCGTGAACTGGGTGTCGAGTGGGCAGCTATGGACTGCAAAAGAATCGTACTAGTATAAATTGCATTACAAATTGGCTTAGCATTACAAATTGAATTTGTAATGCGGATTTACCTTGAGAAAAAAATTTGTGATGCATGATTGCAATTTCTACATGTACGATACTTTTGCACAGGATAACAGCCGTGCAAAAGCATTTCCTCTTCGTCGTTGTAGTCGTCAATCAGGTCTTGGTAGTCCGTCTCCGAATATGACAGCGCACAACTCCCCCTCCCCCTCCTTTGTCATGCAAAGTCCCAAATTCAGTCGCGTCCGTGTGGCACTGTTTGCATGACAAACTTCAAAAGCCCAAACAGTACTACAGTAGGTACTTACATTGATAAATTTGTGATGCACAAGCTCCAGGGTCGCTGGCGTTTGTATTCCTGTTCATGCAATACAAATGAGAGGGAGGGGGAGCTGTGCACTGTCATACCGAAATTTCACTGCGGAAGTCCTCGAACTGCGGCAGGTACTCCGCTATCAAATGTAAAAATGTCTGGGTCTGGAAGGGTTGGAACTTGTGATGCAATCTCTGGAACACACAAAAATTTGTGTTGCATGAGCGCCAAAAGCTGTCCACTTCTTGGCACGCAAGTAGGAAGTTTCTGATGCGGGACAGGCATCATGAGGCGTGTTCAAAACCTGTGATGCTTTTGCCTGCATCAGACGCCATTTGCGTGATCCGAAATATGCATGACAAATCTCGCAATCTTCCAGACCCAGACATTTTTACATTTGATATCCGCGACCCACTTTTCATAATCTTGCCCCTTCCACTTATTTTCGTCGACGCAGAAGTTTTTCAACTTGCTGTTCTCCTCAAACTTCCCGAATTTCTCCCGGTTTTCGCCGTGATGGGTGAAGAATTTGTTGTAGGTTTTGGCGTCGTAGCGGACGTGGTAATCCACGTTTTCTTGCAACTGCGCCTTCTCGTCCAGCATCGCGTCTATGTCTGCTATTTCCTTGTGCGGGTATTCGTCGCGGCGCTTCGCCTCCTCCTTATTGTCCTCGCAGAGGACGTAATTCTATGCATTGCAAAATACTCCTGCTCGTCGTACTAATTGTGGCCCACGCATTACAAATCCCTTCCTTAAGGTAATGAACAACCCGCATAATTACCACAAATTCCGCTCTTCATGCTGAGGAAATTTGTGATGTTTCCACTAGTAGCTAGTACGATCAGCATACTTTTGCAATGCATAACTTCGCCATCTCGTCAATCTCCGTTTGCTGAAAGTTATTACCTTCGAAATGCGTCAGCCAATCCGCGTCCCGAAACCGGTAGTCAAACGCCTCCATAAACGCTTCCGTGAGCGGCAGCAACGGGCTTTCCTTCTCCTCGTCTTTGCCGGTTTTTTCGTCCTTGTACCTCTCGATGTACTCGTCTTTCGTGGACAAGTGCGTCCGGGGGTGCTGTTTCTCTTCGTGGATGTACTCGCCGACGTTTCTCTTTGCCTGCATATGCATTGCAAATATGTCTGGGTCTGGAAATTTGTGATGCTAATTCATGAATTGTGTGGACACTGCTATAGGCAGCCACGCAGGACAAGTTTCTGGGCTCCTTTGTGTTTCGCTTTCCGCATGACAAACTACATTTTTGCATGACAGGTAGGAGGCCCTTTTCCTGCTCACGCATTACAGGTTTAAGAGTCATGTGAGACAAGCATGACAAACTTGCATCCTGGTCCTTGCAGACCCAGACATTTTTGCATTTGATACTGCAAATCCTCCGACAAATTCTCCAAGGGTTTCAGTTCCCGCTGCAGAAACTTCAGCCTGATTGTCCAGATTTTCAGCATGCGCCAGTTGTCCCGGCGTTCACATAATTCCGTCGACGTCATTGTTTTCATTGTCGTGCTATCAAATGCAAAAATGTTTGGGTCTGGAGCATTCGGGGAGTTTGTTATGCACAATTGTACATGATCCACGAGGCCTGTGATGCATGCGGTAGCATCACAATTCTCGCAAAACCTTGCTAATGCTTATTCTGCATGAGAAATGCCCTCTCCGGGTCGTGGCAAAAATTCCAGCACCTTTTGCTTCTCATGCAATACAGATTTTTCTATCGTCGACAGTTAGCATCACAAATCCCACTTTTTCCAGACCCAGACATATTTGCAATGCATACGTGCTGTTTCTGAATTTCTCATGCTTCTTCGTCAACTCGCGAATCCGCAAATCGCAAATGCGCTTTAAGGCTTCCAGCATCGTGTACTTCGCTAAAAGGGTCTGGTTCAAGTTGGCAAGGAAGCCAAACTTGTCTCGCACGGCTCGCGCGAGCGCGAAACTGGGTGCGCGGTTCTCCATACACACCTCTACGTCCTTGGCCCGGATGATTTTCTGTTGTTGAGAAAGGTGAATGTGAAAATTGGAAAATGTAGGTTGTTCCTGTTCGGTAAAAACATACTATTTCATTAAAGATTTTCAATAACTCCAAAACAAAACTATTGTATTCAATCGGTCATCATCGTGCCTTCCTGAAAATTTTTCATGACCCACGACAAAAAATTTCTGATTCTACCAGTCCCAATCTCGCCACCCCCTGCGGTATAAGCGTTCCACTGGTGATGTCCGTTTCATCGTGCCCGTTGCTGCCCTCGTCGACGAAACCGAGCGGCCCGGCCTCGTACAGTGTGATTTGCTTCGTTTCCCCCTCCACACTGCCCTCCACAGTACCCGAATAGGTTTCGCAGCCGGTGACGGTCTCGTGCGAAATCAGTTTCGCAATCAAAATGTACCCGTTGCGCAAAGTGGAGACGACCACCCAGTCCCAATCTTCTTCACTGTTATAGTACTCCCCACCGTCCTTGTGGTCCGGGTCACTGTACCAAATCGCGTCTAATTTGACCGTGGCCCCGACCGGTGGGAGGGTGTAGGAGGTACTACTATTCAGGGTCGCTACAGCTTTCGGCTCCGTCATCTCGGCCGCGCTGGGTTTGTTGTTGTCTTCGAGGGCTTTAGTCTTTTTCTCCTCGCCGTCGCTTTTTACCTTGCTCGACGCAGCATCGATAGCAGTAGATTCCACCTGTAGAAGCTCCGCCGCAGCGGCTGTAGTTTGTTCCCCATCAGTGAGACCAGTACCGGCAGTAGCCGCTGTTGTGGTCGTGCTGGATTCAGCAGCAGTTTGTCCAGCACTAGCCTTGCTTTTCAGGGCGTCTTTCTCGAACCTGAGTCTTCCCATGGATTTCTCCCGCTTGTGAGGGTCTGCTTTACCGGTGGGTTTGGTCATTTTTTTCACGATCACCTTCTTTTGCTCATGTTCCTCTACTTCCGCTGAGAAACCGACTTGCTTTTTCTTTACTTTATTCGAAGCCACTTCTACCTGCGTAGTGGCAGTGTTTTCTTTTTCATCGTTCGCAGCATTCTTTTCTCTTTCCGCTTTGATGTTCACAGCCGTGGTCTCCTGGTCGTGTTTCTTTTTCTGCGATGACGTCGTGCTGGAAGTCTTTTGAAGAAGAATCTCCGCAGTGGATAAATCATCTGCGGGCGGTTCCTCTTGTTCCGGTGCGGGGTCCTCTTTTGCAGTGCCACTACTCGCCCCCGAGCTGCTGGTCTTTTCCACGCGAGGCCCATCTGCAGAAGAAGTGGTTTGAATGGCACTAGTTGTGCCCGAAGCTCCCGGCTTCGCAATCGCCGCTGCGGCGGCATTCATGGCAGTGGTGGCACTACTACTTTTTGCAGCCTTGTTCTTTTGCTTTTGCTGTTCTGCAGATTTGCCAGGTTTTGCCGCCGTTCCCGGGATAGCATTAGCAGTTTGCTTCTTCACGATCTTGTTCCCATTCTTGTCCAATATTGTCTTGGATTTTACGGCCGTAGAATTATTACCAGCTGCAGCCCCGGAAGAAGATGAGATTTTGGTCTTGTCACAACTGCCTCCAGAGCTGCTTGGTTTCAACATCGCCGCGGCTTCCTTCTTTGCTATTTTCGGATTCTTCTCGTCGCCGGCAACAGCGGTAGCCGGTCGTTTCAGGTTCTTGTTAATCTCCGTAGTAGAAGTAGTTGCAGTAGTTTTTTTATTTCGCTGTTCTTCAACATTGTTTGCCTTCGCACCAACATCCTTTTTCGCCGTACTAGAAGTAGCTGCAGCGAGACGCTTTGCCTTTTCTTTTTTCTCGTGGAGGTCCTTCGGCCTTCTAAACGTTACAATCTTCATCTGCCCCGTTTCCTTGTCTAGAACGTGCTTTTTAACGTGGACCCACTCCTGGAGTTCTTCCGGCTTGCCTTTCTTCGAGGGCCCATCCGCAGCGGTTCCGCCTGTTTTTAGTACCACCTGCTTAGACGAAGCAGCAGAAGTGCCCGCTGGGGCAGCTGCATTAGTCGACGTAGTTGCAGACTTATCAGTTTTGGTCGTCGTGACAGAAGCTGCCGGAGCCTCTTTAGCACCCCCGGTAGGTGGCACGACGGCAGCAGGCTTCTTACTCGCTGTTCCGGTTGGTGCAGCAATAGAAGTGGTTGCTCCAGTCGTAGTTGCACCTGTGGTCTTCGAACTGGTCTTAGAAGTGGTCACAGGACCTGCAGTCGTGGCTCCTTTCTTATCAGCAGTAGAAACTGTTGTACCCGGCTCGCCGGTCGTGGTTTTTTTCGAATTGGTCTTATTTGCTTTCTCCTTCTCACCAGTTGTGCCTCCGGCAGCAACGGCCGGGTTGGTCGTACTAGCAGGCTTCTTGTTTGGCTGCCCGGTTTTTACGGTAGCAGCGGTTTTAATATTGGCCTCGGCCGGAGCACCAGCCGACGTACCAGCGACCGCACCAATCTTCGCATTACTCTTAACTGCACCTCCTGCCGCAGCGAGAAGTTTTTTGTTGTCGTTATTCTTTTCCTTCAGCGCAGTACCCGCGACCGTCTTCTTTGATCCTTGCTTCTTTTCTGCAGCAATCGCTGTGCCAGGCATGACTTGCTTATTCTTTGGAGCTACACCTTGCTTGTTCTCTTTCACCTTTTGCTGTGTATTTTCACCACCAGGAGGCGGTGCAGCAGCAACACTTTGCTCTTTCGGGTAATTTTTGTTCTTACCCGAATTTTTCATTTCTCCCTCAGTCTTCGACCCAGTGACGTTCTTGTCTTTCTCACCTCCACCTGTCGGACTGATTTTCTTCTTCGCACCAGTTGCAGTAGCCGCGGGCAGCTCCACGACCTGTGGTCCAGAAGAAGTCGCAGCAGCAGCAGCAGCAGTGGTCTTGTTCCCATTTTTACCTCCAGCATTTACTTTTTTCACAGCGCCGTTGGTTTGCTGTTTTTTGATCCCGACCGCGTTCTTGCCCGCCTTCTTTTCGTATGGAGTGCAAATATGTCTGGGTCTGGGAGGACGGAACTTGTGATGCTGCATTTGGATTCCAAAAAAGTCTGTATTGCATGAGCAGCAAAGGGAATGCAATTTTTGCTACGCAGAGAAAGCATTTGTCATGCGGAAGAGGCATCAAGAAGCTGAAGCCCGCAAAAAATCTGTGACGCTAGGGCATGCATCACAGACATCATGGCTCATGCAAAACGTGCGTGACAAGCTCAGAGTCTTCCAGACCCAGACATATTTCCAATGCATATTTCGTTTCCCGACCCCCCAGTCGAGGTCGAAGGTGGGGTTTTCTTCTTGGTTTCCGCAGCAGAAGTATCCTCTGCAAAAGTACCGTACTAATCGCAATCATGCATTACAGATTCCTTTGTTATGGCAGATCCGCATTACAAATTCCATTTCTCATGCTGAAAGAATTTGTCATGCGATTTCTACTAGTACGATACTTTTGCGCAGCATAAGAAGGACCACCAGAACTACCGGTTTTATTTGCAGCGGGACCTGCTGCAGCGGCGGAGGTCTTCATCGCTTTGACCATATTATTGGCTCCAGCACCAGGACGAGCCCCCGGTTTGTTCTTCTTGTCTTTGATCATATTTTTCTCGCCACTGCTCGTCTTATTATTCACGTTCTTGTCCCCAGAAGAAGGCGGTCCGCTAGCGGGCGCAGGCGGAGTGGTTTTTTTCGAAGAAAGAGCACCAGATTTAATCGCCGTAGCAGGTGCAGGGGGTGCCGACTTGTTCGTGTCAATAATATCCGTAGTTTCCATCTTGTTGGTGACAAGAACATCATTCTCCGGGCTGTTTTCATCTTGGGCTTTGTTACCTCCATCGTTCTCAATCATAGTACCCCCAACATCATCGTCCACGTCCATTGGGGCTGCGTCGTTGTCTTGCGTCACAGCCTTTTTCATCATCTTCTTGGACCCACTGTCACTGCTGTCTAGCTTAGGCTTCTTTGTTTTCTTTTGCTCTTCTTCACAATATGAAGTGCGAAAAATGAGTCGAGCTGTAGAACATAACGGTTTCCACCTTCACAAATCCGTCTTTTCGATGTGAGGAGCGAGCAGAAGGTGCGTCCTCTTCATGATGCAAAAAAAGAATTAAAAATCCACTTGTACTTCATACTAGACATGAAATGCTCCGCTAGCGGTTGTGCGCACCATGCAGGATCATACGAACTTTGTGCAGCTACAGCTTCGGTCGAGGATTTTTCATGTCCTCGGGGTGTGAAAAATTAATCGTCGTGTCGTGTCAGCTCTAAAAATTTTTCACAAATTCGTAACTCGTCCTCCTCATCGTCCTCTGGTTCCACTTCCGGGGTGCTGGTGTTCTTTTTACCTCCCTTTTTATCATCTTCGCCGTCCTCCTCGTCGTCACCACCTGTAGAATTGGTAAGGTAAAGCGAATGTTTTGATGTCATGAGGCTTCATTCTGCGCAAAACCTAATGCTAAAAACAAAATCAGTGGCACGAGGCAGGGGCTGTTCCGCTGCAGAAAGATGTCAAAATCAAAAAAATATTTTCGACTATCCTCGTATTACTACCATCTTTTCCGCCACCACTGCTTCCCTGACCCCCTCCAATGCCTGAACCCCCACTAGTGTCTTGATCTTTCCCGCCGTTCTTTTCGCCCGTTCCCTCTCCCGCGCTAGCGCCGTTGTTAGTAGTATCATGTTTGTTGTTCTCATCGTTTTCATCATCATTCCCGCCACTGCTGTCCTCTCCTTTGTTCGCCTGTGGTCGTTTCGCGACGCTGTTCTCAGTCAAAGCCGGAGCAGCAGCTGAGGACGACGAGCTTGCCGGCGCGCCGCCATCAAGTTGCTGCTGTCCTTGTTGGTTCATCTTCGGCAAAGCCGGAGCTGCTGCATCGTCAACATCCGATAAATCTCCTTTCACCTCCGACGCGTATCAATTGCAAATATGTCTGGGTCTGGAAGAATGCAACGTTTGTCATGCGTGTTTTGCATGGTCCATGACACCTGTAATGCAGAGCCTAGCATCACAGACTTCCAGAAGGCTTCCTGATGCCTATTCCGCACGACAAATGCCCTCCCCGCGTAGCACAAACTGGACTCCTCTTGCTGGTCATGCAATACAACTCTTTCTAGAATCCAGACACAGCATCACAAGTTGCAACCTTCCAGACCCAGACATATTTGCAATGCATAGCGCGGGGGTTGGGACGACGTCGTTGCCGCTTTCCGACTCCGATTCGTGCCCTTCGAGCCCCCACGACCCACTGTCACTGCTACTCCCGTGGTCGCTTTCTTCGTCCTTCTTAGCCATGACGTGCTGGCCCTCCGTGTACTTTTTCATCATGTTGTTGCCGTTGAACTTCCGATCGCGCGTAGAAGTACGACCTGCGAAAGGCGGCTGTTGGTGACCCTGGTTAGACGCTAACCGAGCAGCGCTTTTGTTGTACTTCAAATGTAGTTGATGATCCTTCGGCGGCGCGTCAAAAAAATCTTGAAAGATGTTCTTCCGTGTTGCCTTCTGTGGAGAACGAGAAACCTCCGTAACCGGCGGCGGAGAGAGAAAAAACAAATTTTTCTGCCGTTCGTAGTGCGCTATTGCGTTCTCCTCCCGTTCTCGGCTATCGGGGGTGTGCCCACCGGAAAAGGAAGACTCCCAGGTCAAATGCGGATCTTGCGGTTGGTTCAGCAGGGACTCCGGGAGCATCAAAGGTTCATGCTGCCCTTGTTTTTGCGAAAAGTTATTGAAACGGTAATCGGTGTCTTTCTTGTTGCTTTTGAGACCACAAGTAGAACTAGAGCTGGTCATAATCGTAGTGCGACCACTTCTGATGTAGCCACTGCCATTTTGAGCGGCACAGCGGCCGTCTCGACCATGATAGCGCTCGTTAGTTTCTTGGCCAACAGCTGCGGAACTGTAAATGTCTACTTGTTGCGTCTGGTGGTTGCAGTTGTACGTACGCGAGTAGCGATCTTCGTACGTACGCGAGTAGCGATCTTCACAACTACCTTGTTCTTGATGGTGCCCCCGGTTGTAGTTCGAGTTGTGCCGGTTAATATTACGGGGCCAATAGTTGTGGTTTTTCTTTTTGCCCCTCGACGAAGTAGAACAGTTCTGACTCCTCCCGTCGCTCTTCTGCCACCACTGCTCCTGACGGTTGGAATTGTAACTTTCCTGCCTGTAGTAGTTTCTATTCCAATCCGCGCTTTTGTTATTTTGATACCTGTTATGCTGTTGATAGTGGTAGTCACGACTCCGAGCAGGAGCAGCTCCCCCAGAGGATCTGTAGCTACTGCTGGCGTGAAAATTCCTGGTGTGGTAGTTATACTCGTCGTGGTGGTTGTGGTTCTCCTTCTCGTCCCGGGTGGTAGTGTTGTTGTTTCTGTAATGCTGGCGATCAGAAGTTTTTGTGTAGAAGCGGTTTCCTTGATGCAGAGCTTTCACTGGGCCAACGCCCCTCGTGGGCATAATTATAGGTGGAAATAGATGATGAACCTCTTATTCCACTACCAGAAGCAGCAGGTTTTATCTTTTTTTGGAAGGTAGATTTTGCTTTCTAATCGAAGATGATTTGCAATTGCAGCAAAAGGAGCAGGCTAGTGTAGTACACCATAAAAGCGTTGCTTCAGCAGAGCAATAAAGAAGCTTTTTGGTATGTTCAAATTTGTGGATTGAGCTACTACTTCCGTATGTATTGTCATTGACTTTGTTTTATGCAGCACAGAATTGATGGAACCCATCTACTATGACGTTGCAGCACAAACAAACCAGATCCTTGTCCTTGACTGTATCGTTCCTTACCATACAGGAAATCAAGCAAAATATTGACACGACAACTTCCTTATTCGTGTGACCAGAAAGAAACAATTTCATCATCATCATCGCGGCAAAAGCGCGGACACATAAACGAATCTTCTTCTTTTTCCGGAATGGAAAGAGATGCTCTTTTCCTCGCTCCGAAAGACGCTGCGAGGGAACTTCTAAAAATGACAACCAGAGTCCGCGTCTCAACGAGGAACGCTTCTACTTCAGCAAAAATGTCAGTGCAGTGATGTTGAAGACCGGTGGATCCAATCGTCCTAAGCTGTGCTTGTTCTAAACGCTAGCGGGAGTGAGAGTCATTCTGTGAAAACATCAAATTCACAGTAATAGCCTATCGGTGAGGAGATGGAACACTCGGCAGGACAGACTGAGTTGCTGTGCTCGTGATCATCCGCAACACAGGCGACCACGTGGTCGCAAAGCCACAGCAGCAATAGTAGATTGATATTCATTTGGAAACTGTTTTTACCTCACAAACGAAAATAAATCGTTTGCTCAACATCGTAGTGCTCTTTTCTTGGAAGCATGGACGCGGATCAACTTCATCAATTGTTTCGAGTTCGAAAAGTCAAGTTGCTCCAGACCACTACCCATCATCAAACCAGCAACCCTGGTTCAGAAGACAGAGTAAAAATCGACTGTCGTGTCAAGTTCCTCCTGGGTTAGCAGTTCCTTGCGACGTGTGAAGTAAATGAAGCAAACCACGACTCAGTCCCCGCCGCCAAAACTCACACTGCCGCCGCCGGGTCGAGAATCCCCGCCGCCAAAACTCACACTGCCGCCGCCGGTACGAGAAGCGGCCGCTGCATCATCTGTAGTTGTGCTCTCCGCGGCAGCACCAGCGGTTGCTTGTTCCGGGGCTGCTTGCATTTTTGTGGTAGAAGTTTCAGCAGCACCAGCTGACGTTGTTTCTGTTGCTGCAGGATTACTAACTAGAGGACCTGGAAAATTCGTTGTCGTACTACTGGGTTTCGTCCCCACGGGACTCATCCCCTCACCCAAACTGGTCACCACCCGCTTTTTCGAGTTTTCGACCACCTGCACGTTATTCGCCATCGCGTAGTCTGGAATGGACTCTTGCTCCGACTGCGACGCGTTGTTTTTGTCTTGCTCTTCTGGATGTGGCAGTTTTTCTAGTACCGCTGCAGGAGCAGGAGACTCAGCAGTAGGTCGCGGGGGTAAGATTGTAGAGTTCTCTGGTAAAACTTCTTTTCTATCTTCAGTTCCGTTTGATGCCCGCATTGCTCGGGAATTTTCCGGGTGGTCATTGGCTGTTGTACTATTCGCTGGCACGACATCTGTATTTGCTGCTGCTGGTTGTGTAGCTGTGGCAGTAGGGGATGAAGAAGCAGGTTGTGCTTGTTGTTTTGCATCTTCTACACCCGCCCCCTCCTCCTCGACAACTTGCACGTCCTCAAAAAACTGTGGTCCGGTTCCGGGTTCTTTCACAACATTGCCTGACGGCGCAACAGCGGGCTCCTTTTGTTGTGCACCAGCAGCTCCTGCTCCTCCCTCAGTTTTGCTGTTACTAGTCCCTGCATTTTCTATTTCCACTGCGCCGGTTCTAGTTCTTGCTGCTGCTACTGCTGTTCCAGTTCCACCCTTGATCCAATTCACCGAATCCAGTTTCGCTTTCAAAAGTTTTTTGCGTTGCTGAAACTGGGTTTTCAGTCGTTGAATCTGGTTCGTCCGGGATTCCTATGACCGTGCACAACCCCCGTTCCCCCTCATTTCTCATGCAAAATACCAAATCCACGCCTTCCATCCTGTCACTATTATGCATGACAAGTTCTGGTAGCCCGAATAGCACTATAAGTACTCCAATACAAATCTGTCATGCAGAACCGGCATTGTTGCTGATGCTTGTGTTGCTGCTCATGCGATACAAATGAGGGGGAGGGCGGAGAGTTCTTGTGCAGTGTCATAATTCCCGCCGAAAAGGGTGGTCTTCGTCCTCCTTGTGGAAGTGCGTTAACCCAATATCGTAGGTCACCCGCGCGTTCGGGATCTGGCTCGCCCGTTTTTTGGTGGTGGAAGTCAACTGCAAGTCCTCGAATTTGCTGTTGCGGTTCCAATTGGCGTGCGGCTTCAGGTCGTGGTCCGTACTACTGTCGTCGTCCTCTTCTTCGGAATGGTCTACTTTGTCCTCCTCTTTCTTACGGGGGTCTTGTTTGTCACCAGAAACTACAAGGACAGCAGTAGTTGTACCAGCAGGGCCCCCTCCTCCTGCTGCAGCTCCTCCTGCTGCTGTAGTTGTGCCTTGTTGTGAAGATGGTGGTGGTCCTCCAACAGAAGTGCTGTTGTGGTTCTCCTTCAATATATCCTTTTCCTGCATCTGCAACGCCTGCATTTTCAACGGGTTCCGGGTCATTTTCAGCTTCGCCAGGTCTTCGTCACTTCCGTTTGGGGAGTCGTCGTTACGCAAGCCAGCCAGGGAAGAGGAGGAGGAGGAAGAATTGTTGGTAAAATCCTCGATACTCAGAACGTATTCTGTGCAAAAGCATCGTCGGCGTTGTATCGTACCCACGACGGATAGGGAATGTCATTGTTCACAACTACAGATCCTCTACTCGGTTTATTTCCATACGAGTACAACAACCATAGCTGATGAGGTTTCTCATACAAGCTTTTCCTGGGTGGGAAGAACGATATCAAAGTCTGTATTAAAAAATTGCGAGTTCTACTCCGCCCTCGATGTCCACTATCAAACCGATGCTTTTGCAACGCGTAACGCACTGGCGTTTTGCTCTTCCTCGTATTTGTCCATTTCTTCCTTGGTCGGGAATTATGACAGTGCACAACTCCACCTCCCCCTCATTTGTCATGCAAAATGCCAAATCCAGTCACTTCCCTGTGGCACTGTTTGCATGACAAATCTCGAAAGCTCAAACAGTACCACCGTAGGCACATAAATTTGTCATGCACAGGCTCCAGGGTCGCTGGCGTTTGCATTGCTGTTTATGCAATAGCAGTACAAATGAGGGGAGCGGGGAGTTGTTCACTGTCATAGAAATTTGGTCCCATCTACATGCTCCACGTGGCCGTCGCGATCGAGGATGTCTTGCACGGTGCTGCCCAAAGAGGAGAAGAAGTTGCTGTTGTCGATTTACAGTATTTGTCATGCGAAGTTTGCATTCAAGTCAGAAATTGTCATGCTAGGACGGCACACACTATACAACCATGCAGCACACAAGAACCGATCAGCCAACATAAATTCGAAGCCAAACTACTATACGCGGCCGCCTGCGTCCCCTGCTGCACCGCCTGGGATGCGAAGCCTTGTGCACCACCGGCCGCCCCTCCCGCGGAGAAGCTAGTGCTGCTACCTCCTCCGCCGTACGAAATCCCCCCAGGCGTAGTTCCATCCTCTTTACTTTTTATCTCCTTCCCCTCGAGCTCCTTGAGAACCAACGGCGCCGAGTGGTGTTTTTGGTCGTTCAGCGGCCTTTTGTCGTCGAGCGGGTCCACAAAGTAGCCAGCTTCCAGTTGCTTCGTGGGGACCGAAGTAGAAGGTTTGCTGGGCTTCACCAGGTCTACAAAGTCCGAGTTGGTCTCTTGCGTGATGTAGTTATAGGTTTCAGCAATGCTGTCGGCGGAGTCCTGCAAAAAGGAGGCGATGGCAGCGGTGGTCATTTTTCTGTAGTCGTCCGGAAGAATGATCTATCAATGTGGGAGTTTATGTTCGGCTACTCTGTGATCAAGAAGTCCAGTCAAGTAATGTAAAGATCAGATGCGCGGCGGCTTTCATTTTGTTCCTGTTCCTGCTACACGGTGATAAGTCTGTACGATAGAGTAGAAGGTCCTCTTGGATCGTTCCCTCGACGACAATACACGGGAAGCCGACCGCGTTGCATGGCGATACGCATATTAAACCTGAACAAGAAAAATTTCACTCTTCGCTCCGACCCAATACAACCCTCCCGCTCTTGCGAACAGGCTTCTCTGGCTCTTCGAGTGAGACACAACGACCAGTACGACACTCAAGGCAATTCCAGTTGTCATGTGCTTTGCTGATCGCTCTTTGCACTTGCTTTTGTTGGTCCTTTAGCAGCGACTCGAATAAAAACACGAACGATCATGCCAAGAGCCAGGCGCCTGCGCCACACAATGGGCGGCAAATCAATGCGGGGCGGCCGGGTAGCGTTCTGCCCTTCACTGGCCCGGACAGATGGGCTTAGCCAGGCAGCCACGAAAAGCAGTCGGCATCTTAAGAAATAAAAAAGTACCAGTGGCCCAAACTAACCGCTTTCTTCGGCCAAGGAAGAGGTGCAGGCTGGCAGGTTACCGACCTAGCTACCAACGCCGGGCCCGGCATGGCAACACGGCGGAGCAGCGGAACTAACAGGCCCCCAGATTGATAGCCACGGAGGACGCCTGTTATTGCGCCAGAGGGAGGAACACAACCCCCCCCCAGATGCGCCGCGCCCCGCGCCCACATACAGACACAACGAACGGACGCACCCACGAACCACCGGCCCCGGCCGGCGTGCGACGGACCGGTCGGTGGCCAGGCAAACAAAGAATGAAAGCGCAACTGCTTCGGCCTGCCCCGCCCCGATCAGGGGGGGCCCACAGGCAATCCCACCCAAGCACCGACCAGGCGGGCGGAGCAGGCGGGGGGCCCCGTCCCCCTAGACGGCCGGGAAGGCCGCCCGCCCATTCAAAGAAGAGAGGCCCTGGAATGGCCAGCCGGGGGCGGCTTGGCCATCGGTTCCCGGGGAAAGATGGCGGCCGGGCGGGCGGGCCGCGCCCACTGCACACAACAAGCCACCGGCAACGAGAAGCCTGCGGGCCACGGGCGAGAGACGGCGGGCCGGCTCCGACGCTGTCACTTTTGGGGCATAGGCTTTGTACAGTTGCACTGCGGCGCCCGCCCCGAAGCTCCCGCGCGGGCGCGCTCGCCTGGGCCCCCGGCGCCGGCGGTGGGATATTCGTCCCGCCATTCCCCCGACTACAGGCGTGCCGGTCCAACATGCTGGGGGAACCCCAACCCGCCCCCCGCCTACCGAAATAGACCCGCGACGCCCTCCCTGAGCGCCTTGGCCCTGCTTTTGGAAAGGCTGCCGGCTCTCCACAACATACAGGGCCGGAGGGGGCGGCGCGGAAGGAATCGAGGGCCACGCCCAGCCCTTCTTCCGCTGCTTTGTTCTGATATGCAAATAAGTATTTCAAAGAAAAACACAACGCCAAACTTTTTAAGCCCACGCCCAATTTTTCGAGAGCCTTTATGAGGCACTGGCAACAGCGAGCTCGCTCCACAAAAAAGCCCTCGACGCTCGAGTTTATCGCTCTTAATCTTTTCTTCCAGAACAGAACTCCTCACCTGCTTGCAGGTAAGGCGGGTTGCAGTTTGCGAAGGTTTTTTTAAAGGTTTGTTGTTTATCATGAAGGTGATCATGTTGCTCTGGTTTATGATCCATGAGAACAATAAATCTTCTGTCACAACTCCCACATCTCCACTGCAACTGTGGGCTCCAAGTTGCTACCAGCGCCCCTACTGCAAACCGCGTCGAAGCACCAGCTGGCGTATTCCGCCACCGCTTTTTTCTCCATGAAAGACCCACCAGGCGTTGATGTGTTGTTCGCGCTCCCGCTCAAAAACGTGCCGAAGACGGGGTTCAAACTGCCGTAACTCTATCCAATGCAAATATGTCTGGGTCTGGAAGAGTGCAAGCTTGTCATGCTTGTCTCGCATGACTCTTGAACCTGTAATGCGTGAGCAGGAAAACAAGAGCCTCTTGCCTGTCATGCAAAAATGTAGCTTATCATTCGGGAAGGGGAAGCGAAACACAAGAGAGCCCAGAAAGTTGTCATGCGTGGTCGCAGCTTATTTCAGTGTCCCCACAATTCATAAGTTAGCATCACAAGTTTCCAGACCCAGACATATTTGCAATGCATAAACTCCCGCTGACCACCATGCCGCTGGTCGGGCTTTTCACGTGTTGCTTCAGCGACGTCTCTATGGATTGCAAATATGTCTGGGTCTGGAAACTTGTGATGCAAAAAGTGGATGATAGCCGGACTGCAATACGCAGCTATGCATCACAATTTTTTTGGCTGCCATGTCTTACGTATTCCGCATGGCAAACTGCGTTTTTGCATGACAGGTAAGAGGGTCTTTTCGTGCCTATGCAACACAGATTCTCGAATCATGCCAGACAAGCATGACAAACTTGCATTCTTCCTAACCCAGACATTTTTGCATTTGATAGTCTCGGAAAAGAGAAAATTCGCACTGTCGAGGTTGAAGCGGATAGGAGAAGGAGCTTTGGTTGAGGTTTCATCTACTTTGTTCAGCGTCTGGTTGTGCTTCTTCTCTTTCACGAAGTATACCGTGACATTGTAGTACTGGCAAAGCTATCAAATGTAAAAATGTCTGGGTCTGGAAGATTGGAACTTGTGATGCTGCATTTAAATTGCAAAAAAATCTGTATTGCATGAGCAGCAAAGGGAATGTGATTTTTGCTACGCGGAAATGGCATTTGTAATGCGGAATAGGCATCAAGAAGCCCTCAAAAAATCTGTGCTGCTAGGGCACGCATCACAGACATCAAGACTCATGCAAAACCTGCATGACAAGTCTAGAAATCTTCCAGACCCAGACACTTTTGCATTTGATAAAAGCAGCAAATCCAGGCGCACCCACGCACACGAAAGGAGCTGGGTCAGCGACTTGTTGTTCGTCGGCTCCGTAGTTGCAGCAGATGAAGTAGAACACGGCTGCACCCCCAAGGCGATCACCTCCGTGCAGAGTTTGGGGAGGAAACAGGGGTAGTATTGACACAGCAGCTGCTTCAGCAGCGGAAATGGCTTGACGGCCAGGTGCGGGAAAAAGAAAAACACGTTGCTGTTTTGTTCCGTTGTGGAGGTTGTGAAAATGCCGCAGGCCTTTTCGTATTCGGTGCAGAGGTCGTGAAAAATCGCTTTCAAACCAGCGACGTCTTCCTCCTTCGTGGGTTTCTGGATGGCGCACACCTCGTACCTCGGCAGACTGACACCGACAATACGGATCTGGTGACTTCCGGTTTTTGTATCAACAGCACCTGTAGTTCTAGTGCTAGCGTGTTGCTCTTCCGCGGCCTGTTTTATCAAATTTCGGCTCGAAACCGTTTGGACCGTGTCGAGGAAGAAGGCGGCGGGTGGCGAGCCTTCTTTCTGTTCCGAGGAGGGCAGGGTTGCTTTCTTCAAATCTTCCAACCGCACCAATTGCGGCAGGGGCAACCCGATCTTTTCCATTTGCTCCAGGATCTTCACGCACTTCGGCTTCAGCTCCACCGCGATAGACTTTGTGTTGGAAATTTTCCCGTCGATCTCTGTTTCGACGAACCCCGGCGAGACGGTGATTTTGTGGGGAGTGGTGGTGGAAGTTGTGGTTGCTGTAGTCGGGGCATTTTTCCCCTTCACCTGCTCCTGCCTTCGAAATTTCGGAAGCAGCACCGCGTCGTATTTCCTTACGATTTCGATATTTTCGGGCTTGATTTTCTTGACGCACAGTTCGATGGTTTTTTCCGCGTGCGGCAGTACCAATACCTCGTACCGTGCCGTCTGCAGGTCGAATTTTCCGACCTGCACGAGGAGCCCGTCTATCCCACGAAAAAACTTTTTCACTGTGATGATTTTGCAGGATCTGCCTCACAAGTTTCTTACACATGACACAGAAAATTTGCCATGCGCGCTGTCAAAGGGAAAACACCCCTAAAGAGTCAAGGTCTTGCAGGTGTAGCAAGACAAACAGTTCTGTGTTCCATTCTATGCATCACAAGTTCACAGTGAAACATTTTTTTCTCGCGATACCGTTCAGGTTGTGCGCACTGACCAGGTTCCTCAGCCGCCCGATGGAATCCGTGTGGATTTCTAGTAAATTTTTCGGAAAAATCTTCTTCTATTGCAATGAAAAATGACCCCACCGCCCCGGAACCTGGGAGCATTTGTATTGCAAACCTTTCCAAATGAAACGCCCGCCCTCTTGCATCTATCAGCATCACAGCTTATTTTCAGTCGTGAAAAGCAAAAACTTGCATTGCAAAAGACCCCAGCAAAAGCGGCGCTTGTCATGCAAGCGATGCTATATAATACGCCGAGACCCTGCATCAGAAAGACTCATGCTCCTTTCATGCATGACAAGAGGCTTCCATTTGGAAACTTCGCATCACAAATTATTGCAACTTTGGGGGTCGTGGGGGCATTTTTCACTGTAATATCTTCTCCTCGTGGTTCGCGGTCATCAAAAGGACGGAAACGCGATTTTGTTGTTCCTGTTGGTTGCTAGTACCGTTTGTCATGTGAAGATCCTCGCCGTTCAGCATCACGTCCTTTGCGACGTAGCCCATGATATCCTGTGCAAAAGCATCGCATTCGTAGTAATTGCAGTTTATGCATTACAAGTCTAGTTCGTAAATCCGTATTACAAATTAAATTAGTAATGCTGAGACAATTTGTATTGCAGTTCTTCATACTAGTACGATACTTTTACAATTCATACATGACTCCGTTCAAATGCTTTGCGTTCAGCAACCCGTGCAGCATCACTTTCTTCCCCTCCCCAATGCCCGAAGTGTGCTTCTCGTGCAGAAGTTTTTCCTCCTTCTTTCTGCGCTTTTTCTCCTTCTCCTCCTCAATTGGGTCCCAAAAGGTAGAATTGTTTGCGCCAAAGTTTTTATTATCAGCTGCGCCTCCGCGTCTGTTCTGGCTCGAGTTGATCTGGTCGTCGGGATTGGTCCTTTTATTTGAATTTGTTCCTGATGTACTTCTATGCAGCTCCTTCTCGAGTCCGGCATCGTAGTCGTCCTGTTGCCGAAAAGAGTTGTTTTCGAAAAAAAAAGGGTCCTCTTTGTTTTCGTTCTCGTCGTCAGAGTCTTCCAACTCGGCGTTTCTTCTTATGGCGTTCTCAACTGTTACATTCTCAAATGTTACATGAATTTGTGTTGCAAGAACAGAAATACTGAAAGGGGCAAGCTTGTTGCACCTTTCGCATTACAAAGTCGGCACAGATTTTAGCGCTGTTTAAGTTTAGCCCTTTGAAGAGAATTTGTCATGCGAAATAGCTTGATGGCGGCGTGTCTGATGGCATTCTTGCATTAGAAATTCATGTAACACTTGAGAATGTATACGTTTGAGAACGCCATACTTCTTCGCGTTTCCCGAATCTCATCATCCGAGGAACTTTCGCCGCCCTCCCCATCGGACACATCTACGAAGTCGTCGTAGTTGTTGCTACCGCCCATCTTAGCCTACCTTTAGCTAGTTCTAGAATATTTATCCACGCACCATTCGCAACAGATTAATTTATTTAGATTGAAATGGACACGACGCCACACAATAAATAGATGCTCTTCTAAAGGTTCGAGAGCTAGGCGCTTTTTTTACTATAGATTTTTGGGAAAAAGAAGTCAAAAATGGATCTCCCATACATAAATGGGTGTACAGAGAGGTTGAAATTCTTTCAAGAGGACTGTGGAGGAAACAATCAGAGGGGTGGTCGTCAAAAAAAAAAAGCTTCGTCAAAATGCAAAAAATAATGGAATAAGATGAGCGTAAATTAATATGTAAAAATTTTGCGATCACATTATGTCTGGCATTGGATGCTATTTGATGTACTTATCAAGAATCTGAAGGAGTTCTTTATCAGCTGCAGCCAGAGCAGGAATCAAGAGAAACCTTCCACTTTTCCACGCCTTGCTGGATATCATATCGAAGATCGAGAATTATAGGTACACAGGAGATCATGAGAACTACTCGAGCTGCATTTTTTTCGCCGTCGCACGAAATCGTTCTCCTTCTCTTCGCGCGGATCGGTTACAGCCACGAAAAGCAAGCTGAAGTTCCCTATGGAGGGAAAATGAGGCGTGATCTACTTCGTGAACAAAAGAACGCCGGCGCGGGGTGAAGATGTCCTGTCGTGCTGGAGACATCTGTTTTTTATCATCTTCTTTTCCGGGCGGAGAGCGGTGTTGCTTGCCGGGGGTCAATATTTTCAAAGTCTTTCACTACAAGATTTTGGCTTTCCTCCTTTAGAAAGAAAGCACGGTTTTTGATGAACTACATGCGCAGGAGCGTCCTCCCCTTGTGACGACGATAATCAAATTCTTGCTTCTCACAGAGGACTATGGCTATCATCGTGCAGGAGTCCTGTGGGCAAGCAGGTCACGATCAGTAATCGGCAGAACAAGCAGAAAACCCTTGATAATGTTAAACCGCTTTCTTACTGTTCTACGCACTAACTGGGACCTAGACAAGCAACAGCGATGTAGTTTTTGGGGGGCAACGCAACGTAAAGCTTTATGTTGGGTAACAAGACAAAACGGCACAAAGGATGAAGATGTGCTTAGTGCAACTTAGTGCGTGATCAATGTAACTACATTTACGAATGTTTCTCTCAAATAAAGTGGAAGTACCAGTCCGCCGGTATGATTTATCTATGTCTGAAGTAAAAGTATTGTACAGCACACCTAAGTTAAGTGGTCGTAAAGGTAAAAGTATTCGCATCACTGGGATGCTTCTTGAAATTCGAAGTACTCTCCCCTCTGACTTGTTTTTCTGAAGATCTTGTCCTTGTTTTTCTTTTTTCCAATCACATAGTATCGCAGCAAAGCCGGCCGCCCCGGCCCTCGCGGGTGCGGCAAGGACGGAGGCAAGTAGCTTCTTCTCACTCTTCCACCTAGCAGGGGCTCACGTAGGCCTCCATGCGCGCATATGGAGAGGAAAAAGGTCCCCCCCCATGTTGGCCCTGATTCAAATCTGCAACCCCAAAATTTGTCTGATATGCAGCCCCATGCGAAACGTCTTCGAAGTCCATGTGGGACGAGTTTGTCATGCCCTAATCAGAATAAGAGCATTGATTTGCGACGCGGTTGCAGGAGATATAAACAACGACTACTCGTCCACTTCTTCTTCTTCTAAAGGCCCAGCAAAGTAAAGAAGTTGTACTGTGCAACAACTGCCGAATCTTGTCGCCTTATGTAGCGACTTTAAATCTTGACTCTGGTTAATGTGTATGATGTGGGACACTTTTTCCTCAGGATAGTAGCGCCGCCGGGCGTCGGGGGAGCAGAGTGGCGACGCCTCCTTCTTCTGGATCTGGACCCTCCCGCTGCGGTACTGGAAGCTTCCGTGCGGGAGGGTCCGTTAACGTTAACACTTTTTCTTGTGATACATGTCCGTCGGGGACCCGGGGATGGCGCGCATGTACGCTGTGGCGTTTAGCTTCGGCGAGGAACTGGGGCTGGCCTTCGAGCTGGAAGCGCCTCCAGAGGACCGACCCCCTGAAACATTACCCCCACTGCCTCCGCCGGACACTCCCCTTCCAGACTTTTTCGTCATAGTTGGCATCATACGGGAATCCAGTAAGAGAATGTCAGTCAGCAAAATCCGCCGCTGCATCTCTTCCGGGTTCAAATCCTTCCGCATTTCCTGGTCGAGCGCGATGTCGAGCGCGGTTCTGCCGTCGTTGTGACCCGCTTTGATGTCGAGTTTGAGCAAGGGGTGCTTCAAAAGCAACTCCACCGCCTCCACGTTCCCGGACAAGCACGCGAGGTGGAGAGCGGTCTTGCCCGTGGAAGGAGAAACGTGGTTGACGTCGACATCGTCGTGGTTTAAGACAAGAAACAGCGGCTTCCAAAACACGTCCATGTCCAACGGCCTGGGGTCGTCGTTCGAGAACGCATGGTTGTCCCATATGGCGTTCTCAAATGTTACATTCTCAACTGGTACATGAATTTGTAATGCAAGAGCAGCAAAATTACCGCGGGAATATTTTGCGCCTCTTGCAATACAAATTTGGAAACTCGAGGATTCCTATGCTATTTACCCCTTTCTGAATTTGTCATGCGGATTTTGCTTAAGAACAAGATTTGTAATGCATGATTGCAATATACGAGTACGATACTTTTGCACAGGATATCTGACCGCACGGAGCGATGTTTTGTCGACAGCCCGACCGCGGCCAGGATCAAATTCACATAGTCCATCGGCAACTCCCGCGCCGCAGTTTTCCCCGTCATCAGATTGTACGTGTAAGAACCCTGCTGCGACTCGTGGAAGCAGACGAGCAGCATGTGCAACCACCAATGCGGGTTGGACAGCGGGTGGGCCAACAAAAATTCCAACATCCGCGTGGCCGACTGCCGGGAAAACTGCACGGCCATTTGCCCGTACCGCGTTGGGTCTTGGGAAAACAGCAAGTCGTAGATCCGGCTTCCGTCCAAACACGCCTCGGGAGAGTACTGAGGGTAGGTGGAGAGTAACTTCTGCAACAAATCCACATTGCCCAAAGTCTATCCTGTGCAAAAGTATCGCACTCGTACTAATTGCGTTTATGCATTACATATCTCTTTCTTTATGCAAATCCGCATTACAAATTCAATTTGTCATGCTAAGTCAATTTGTAATGCAATCTATACTAGTACGATGCTTTTGCATTGCGTAAAGCCACGGCGAATTTCCACGGGTTGTCGATCAGCACGAATTTCGGCTGGCCCGGTACGGAGAAGGAGGAAACACATTCGTACAGCCGGTGGTTTTTCGTAGAAGCTGGATCGTTCTTGATAACCAATTGGTTCGACCCGGCCTTCTTCGGGTCGTAGATCGCAAGGGAAGTGGAAGAGGAAGTAGAGGCTGCTGCCATTTTGTGCCCGGAAACCAGGGGAGATAACGGGTACTTGTTGGGCGAGGCGGAGCCGTCAGTGTTCGTCCCAGTTTGGAAGTACTCCTTCACGTACCGTTTCCCCCCGTCGCGGATGTACCGCTCGAGGTCCATCGACCGCCGCAGCCCCTGGTCTTTGCCGTGCTTCCGGCCCCGGTGCCAATCATTGTAGTTGGCGATGCGGTATCAAGTGCAAATGTGTCTACTGGGTCTGGAAGACGAGTGCTAGACTTGTCATGCAGGTTTTGTATTACCCATGACGTCTGTAATGCACGCCCTAGCATCACAAACTTGCAGATGGCTTGCTGATGCCTCTTCCGCATGACAAATGCCCTTTTCGTGGCGTAGCACAAACTGGAGTCCTCTTGCTGGTCATGCAATACAGATTTTTCTAGCATCCAAAGATGACAGCATCACAAGTTGCATCCTTCCAGACCCGGACATATTTGCAATGCATATGCGGAGCAGGGTGCGGTCGGAAAACTGCACCTCGATCAGCGGGATTTCGTCGATGATTTCGTCGTGCGATTCCGTGTCCGTCTCCGTGTACAACACAAATCCATGGTATGGGGGTGTCAGGATTGAAATCGACAACGTTGAAATAACTCGTAATGCATAAAGTCGATCCCAGTTGGAAGCCCAATTTCTAAGCGGTGCATGACAAATTTCGGCGCCGTCTAAATCCAGTTTGTCATGCTGTCTAGGGACAGCAGGCATTTTTTGTCATGCTAGTTTAGTAGCTCTATCGCAGAGGCAGACCCCAAACAGGCTGACAGTTGGCCTCGCTTGCCATCCCTGCAAGAGAGGCGCTCCATGCCTTGCAGTTTCTGCATGATAAACAAGGCCCACCCGAGCGACGCCTCCTTCTTCTGGATCTGGACCGGCGCGGGCTTCTTCTGGATTTTTTCTTGCCCGGCGCGGGCTTTCAAGATCTCCTTTCGGGTGTCCAAATGAAAATGTGTCTGGGTCTGGAAAGTTGTAATGCTGGGGTGGGACTAGTGAATGCTCTGTAATGTTGGACAGCCACGCATGAGAAGTTGTATCTCCTCTGCTTAGTGTAAGTGTTGCGTTTTTCGCATGACAAACTGCGTTTTTGTATCTATGACAAGCAAACGGGTGTCTTCTTGGAGGCGCATCACAAATTCTTCAGTCGTGGCAGACAAGCATGAGAAACCTTCGCCTTGCATCCTTCCAGACCCAGATCGATATTTGCAATGCATATCGGGTTTCCAAGTGCCGGTCAAACAGGCGGAGGCGCATCATATCCTGTGCAAAAGTATCGCACTCGAAGAAGATTTGCTTCCAAGAAGTCTTCGAACTGGTTTGGTTCATCTCCTGGTCGTTTTACTACTTATTTTGCATAGTTTATGAATACGTTCATAAATACTGCTTCTGCAGCTCACCTGCTCTGCAGAGCGATGCCTTGGTCTTCTTGTATCATAAACCAAAGTCCACAATCAAGCTGCGGCTTCCCTCAGCGGGTCGTGCAGCCGCAGGGAGTATCAAATGCAAAAGTGTCTGGGTCTGGAAGAATGCCAGGCTTGTCATGCAGGTTCTTTTCCATGACCCGCGAGGCCTGGTATGTAGGACATAGCATTACAGATTCTGTGAGAGTTCTATCATGCCTATCCTGCATGAGACACTTTTTCCTCAGGATAGTAGCGCCGCCGGGCGTCGGAGGAGCAGAGTGGCGACGCCTCCTTCTTCTGGATCTGGACCCTCCCGCTGCGGTACTTTAAAGGTGCAAAAAACTCAGCTCCCGAAACAGCTCCCAAATTTCTTAATTGAACGCCTCCGGGACCGTCCGCGGCCAGTTTTGCACTTCCGAAAGCGCAAAACCCTTCGACCACACTACACGCGCCTCTTGAAGTAGTCTTATTGGTCTTGTCATCGCGCACGACGATCAGACCCCGCGCTGCGTTCCGTTCTAAAATACCCACAAAGACGGCCGAGGTGCTTACTCGTGCAACAGGACTACTTATCTGCGTGGCTTTAGGCCATTTCCGCGCGATGGCGTCCCATCTGTGCACTTTTGGGCCATTTGTTCGCGATAACTTGCTATCTGTGCACGATAAGGCGTTATCTGTGCGAATACACCCACCAGAGGCCGTTTCCACAGACAAGCTGCGGAACAGGTTCCAGGACAAGTACCCGAACAGGTCAAAAAACGGCACAGAGAACAGGTCAAAAAACAACACAGAGAACAGGTCAAAAAACAACACAGAAAACAGGTCAAAAAACAACACGCCGAAAAGACAGCGCTAGAGGCGGATAAGCAATCCAGAAGAAGCATTCAATTTTTGACCTTAAAATGCCGCGCTTTTTCTGATGTCACGGAAGCTGGAACTCATGCAACTTTTTCTGTGAAAAAGTCGCGAACGTTCCGCATTACAGAACTCCACTCCTCCAGGCTGCGGCCTACACCTTACAAATTCCATTCTTCATGGAATTTGTAATGCGTGAGCAATTTGGAACGCATGAGGGATGGAGTTTGTAATTCCCTTTTGCGACGCCTCCTTCTTCTGGATCTGGACCGGCGCGGGCTTCTTCTGGATTTTTTCTTGCCCGGCGCGGGCTTTCAAGATCTCCTTTCGGGTGTCCAAATGAAAATGTGTCTGGGTCTGGAAAGTTGTAATGCTGGGGTGGGACTAGTGAATGCTCTGTAATGTTGGACAGCCACGCATGAGAAGTTGTATCTCCTCTGCTTAGTGTAAGTGTTGCGTTTTTCGCATGACAAACTGCGTTTTTGTATCTATGACAAGCAAACGGGTGTCTTCTTGGAGGCGCATCACAAATTCTTCAGTCGTGGCAGACAAGCATGAGAAACCTTCGCCTTGCATCCTTCCAGACCCAGATCGATATTTGCAATGCATATCGGGTTTCCAAGTGCCGGTCAAACAGGCGGAGGCGCATCATATCCTGTGCAAAAGTATCGCACTCGAAGAAGATTTGCTTCCAAGAAGTCTTCGAACTGGTTTGGTTCATCTCCTGGTCGTTTTACTACTTATTTTGCATAGTTTATGAATACGTTCATAAATACTGCTTCTGCAGCTCACCTGCTCTGCAGAGCGATGCCTTGGTCTTCTTGTATCATAAACCAAAGTCCACAATCAAGCTGCGGCTTCCCTCAGCGGGTCGTGCAGCCGCAGGGAGTATCAAATGCAAAAGTGTCTGGGTCTGGAAGAATGCCAGGCTTGTCATGCAGGTTCTTTTCCATGACCCGCGAGGCCTGGTATGTAGGACATAGCATTACAGATTCTGTGAGAGTTCTATCATGCCTATCCTGCATGAGACACTTTTTCCTCAGGATAGTAGCGCCGCCGGGCGTCGGAGGAGCAGAGTGGCGACGCCTCCTTCTTCTGGATCTGGACCCTCCCGCTGCGGTACTTTAAAGGTGCAAAAAACTCAGCTCCCGAAACAGCTCCCAAATTTCTTAATTGAACGCCTCCGGGACCGTCCGCGGCCAGTTTTGCACTTCCGAAAGCGCAAAACCCTTCGACCACACTACACGCGCCTCTTGAAGTAGTCTTATTGGTCTTGTCATCGCGCACGACGATCAGACCCCGCGCTGCGTTCCGTTCTAAAATACCCACAAAGACGGCCGAGGTGCTTACTCGTGCAACAGGACTACTTATCTGCGTGGCTTTAGGCCATTTCCGCGCGATGGCGTCCCATCTGTGCACTTTTGGGCCATTTGTTCGCGATAACTTGCTATCTGTGCACGATAAGGCGTTATCTGTGCGAATACACCCACCAGAGGCCGTTTCCACAGACAAGCTGCGGAACAGGTTCCAGGACAAGTACCCGAACAGGTCAAAAAACGGCACAGAGAACAGGTCAAAAAACAACACAGAGAACAGGTCAAAAAACAACACAGAAAACAGGTCAAAAAACAACACGCCGAAAAGACAGCGCTAGAGGCGGATAAGCAATCCAGAAGAAGCATTCAATTTTTGACCTTAAAATGCCGCGCTTTTTCTGATGTCACGGAAGCTGGAACTCATGCAACTTTTTCTGTGAAAAAGTCGCGAACGTTCCGCATTACAGAACTCCACTCCTCCAGGCTGCGGCCTACACCTTACAAATTCCATTCTTCATGGAATTTGTAATGCGTGAGCAATTTGGAACGCATGAGGGATGGAGTTTGTAATTCCCTTTTGCGACGCCTCCTTCTTCTGGATCTGGACCGGCGCGGGCTTCTTCTGGATTTTTTCTTGCCCGGCGCGGGCTTTCAAGATCTCCTTTCGGGTGTCCAAATGAAAATGTGTCTGGGTCTGGAAAGTTGTAATGCTGGGGTGGGACTAGTGAATGCTCTGTAATGTTGGACAGCCACGCATGAGAAGTTGTATCTCCTCTGCTTAGTGTAAGTGTTGCGTTTTTCGCATGACAAACTGCGTTTTTGTATCTATGACAAGCAAACGGGTGTCTTCTTGGAGGCGCATCACAAATTCTTCAGTCGTGGCAGACAAGCATGAGAAACCTTCGCCTTGCATCCTTCCAGACCCAGATCGATATTTGCAATGCATATCGGGTTTCCAAGTGCCGGTCAAACAGGCGGAGGCGCATCATATCCTGTGCAAAAGTATCGCACTCGAAGAAGATTTGCTTCCAAGAAGTCTTCGAACTGGTTTGGTTCATCTCCTGGTCGTTTTACTACTTATTTTGCATAGTTTATGAATACGTTCATAAATACTGCTTCTGCAGCTCACCTGCTCTGCAGAGCGATGCCTTGGTCTTCTTGTATCATAAACCAAAGTCCACAATCAAGCTGCGGCTTCCCTCAGCGGGTCGTGCAGCCGCAGGGAGTATCAAATGCAAAAGTGTCTGGGTCTGGAAGAATGCCAGGCTTGTCATGCAGGTTCTTTTCCATGACCCGCGAGGCCTGGTATGTAGGACATAGCATTACAGATTCTGTGAGAGTTCTATCATGCCTATCCTGCATGAGACACTTTTTCCTCAGGATAGTAGCGCCGCCGGGCGTCGGAGGAGCAGAGTGGCGACGCCTCCTTCTTCTGGATCTGGACCCTCCCGCTGCGGTACTTTAAAGGTGCAAAAAACTCAGCTCCCGAAACAGCTCCCAAATTTCTTAATTGAACGCCTCCGGGACCGTCCGCGGCCAGTTTTGCACTTCCGAAAGCGCAAAACCCTTCGACCACACTACACGCGCCTCTTGAAGTAGTCTTATTGGTCTTGTCATCGCGCACGACGATCAGACCCCGCGCTGCGTTCCGTTCTAAAATACCCACAAAGACGGCCGAGGTGCTTACTCGTGCAACAGGACTACTTATCTGCGTGGCTTTAGGCCATTTCCGCGCGATGGCGTCCCATCTGTGCACTTTTGGGCCATTTGTTCGCGATAACTTGCTATCTGTGCACGATAAGGCGTTATCTGTGCGAATACACCCACCAGAGGCCGTTTCCACAGACAAGCTGCGGAACAGGTTCCAGGACAAGTACCCGAACAGGTCAAAAAACGGCACAGAGAACAGGTCAAAAAACAACACAGAGAACAGGTCAAAAAACAACACAGAAAACAGGTCAAAAAACAACACGCCGAAAAGACAGCGCTAGAGGCGGATAAGCAATCCAGAAGAAGCATTCAATTTTTGACCTTAAAATGCCGCGCTTTTTCTGATGTCACGGAAGCTGGAACTCATGCAACTTTTTCTGTGAAAAAGTCGCGAACGTTCCGCATTACAGAACTCCACTCCTCCAGGCTGCGGCCTACACCTTACAAATTCCATTCTTCATGGAATTTGTAATGCGTGAGCAATTTGGAACGCATGAGGGATGGAGTTTGTAATTCCCTTTTGCGACGCCTCCTTCTTCTGGATCTGGACCGGCGCGGGCTTCTTCTGGATTTTTTCTTGCCCGGCGCGGGCTTTCAAGATCTCCTTTCGGGTGTCCAAATGAAAATGTGTCTGGGTCTGGAAAGTTGTAATGCTGGGGTGGGACTAGTGAATGCTCTGTAATGTTGGACAGCCACGCATGAGAAGTTGTATCTCCTCTGCTTAGTGTAAGTGTTGCGTTTTTCGCATGACAAACTGCGTTTTTGTATCTATGACAAGCAAACGGGTGTCTTCTTGGAGGCGCATCACAAATTCTTCAGTCGTGGCAGACAAGCATGAGAAACCTTCGCCTTGCATCCTTCCAGACCCAGATCGATATTTGCAATGCATATCGGGTTTCCAAGTGCCGGTCAAACAGGCGGAGGCGCATCATATCCTGTGCAAAAGTATCGCACTCGAAGAAGATTTGCTTCCAAGAAGTCTTCGAACTGGTTTGGTTCATCTCCTGGTCGTTTTACTACTTATTTTGCATAGTTTATGAATACGTTCATAAATACTGCTTCTGCAGCTCACCTGCGCCTAATAGCATTAGCACTCTCTGACTGGTATCAAAAAATCCCGGGATTCTTTCTTTAAGCCCGAAATCTCTATCCGCGTGTAGGGACTGTTCTTTTAGAGTTTGTTACTTCCGTCGCGGACAAGAGTCTTGCCCTCCAACAGAAACAACCAAAATCGACAAGAACTCCGTCTCTGCACACGGTATACTAGAGTTACGGCGCTTAAGATTTGTGATAATTTGATAAATCAGTAGTACAACTTCTGTGCTTGTTTCGGTCGTAAACAGAAGCGAAAGAGGACACCAGTCCTCGCTTCTTGCTCTCAATGAGATCATCGTCCAGATTGTCCAGCTGACAGAGCGTAGTTGTTAAAAGTACGGTTCATTTTCATTTTCCCGATAAAGTTAGTCACAGATTTATAATCGTCTCATGCTCATCTGTGATGAATTGGCGTATCATTTTGTAGGGATAAAAAGCAGTTCCAGTTCTTCGCATAGTTTTGTTTTTCCTTCGCGTGGAGGAGGTGATGTCCAAGGTTTGCATGGCATGGATCTGCTTAGATAGATACTAGAGTCAAATGTAAAAAAAAGCGCGCTGCTCTCGTGGGCGATCAGCAAATCTGATAATTCATCGCTTCAACATCTACCGCGATAAGGTCAAATTGACCTCGATTTTTATTTCCAGTAAATCCATTATCGTTATTTAAAGCTCGCTATTATTGCTTTGAAAGTAAGCAGTTCCGTCTTCTTGTATCCACCTTCCCCCGAAAAATCGGCAAAGATCCGATTTTTCTTTTGGTATTGCTATCAAAGGTCATGAGCAAAACTCCCTACTGTCCGAGAAAGCTCGAATATTGTCAACAAATCTCCGTTGATCTTCCATCTCCGACAATCGATAGAACTTACAGTCCCGGTGGACCGCCAGTTGCAACAGCAGCGGCCCCCGCGGTTTTGTTTTTCAGCGCCGCAGGTGTGGCCGGCGGCGTCATGTCATGCTGCACCCCAGCACTGTAGTCCAATGCGGGCGGCGGAAACGTCGGTGGCAGCGCGGGGTAGACCGGACTGGCGGCTGCTGGATTAACATAGCGACGCCTCCTTCTTCTGGATCTGGACCCTCCCGCTGCGGTACTGGAAGCTTCCGTGCTCTCCGCACGGCGGATCGCGCCAGTCACCGGCACGCTCCCGCCCCCCGTGAAGGCCGTTTTATCGCCGCGATACGGAGGGCCGTCGAAGAACGCGTCTGGATTTATCCCTTCGGCCTCCATCCGTTCACGGACCTGACGCTCGCGCGCGTCTTCGAACGCTCTGTTCTTGAGGGACTTCACAAGCTCCAGGCGCTCGGCTTTTTGCTCGGCGCTCAACGCCGCCTCGGCGCGGTCGGGAATTTCGTCCACGGTGAGCGGGTCCGCTTCCAGCAATTGCTTGTAGGATTCTTTTTCGCCCGGGGGGATCTCGCTGGCACCGTTAATCAACTCGGAGAAGCGTATCGCTGTGTACTCTGTGACTTTCGCCAACATTCCGGCGTCTTCGTGCGGTCGTCCCTAATATCCAAGAGAAATATTAAAGTACACCTCCGTAGGGAAGAAAAACGTATGAATTGGTCTTGCGGTTTACAGCAGCTGCAGCTCTCTTAGGCTGTTCACCATGACAAAATTTTTTTAGTACTTACACCTCTCTACTAATATCTAACCGTCAACCAAAATGACGAATTGCGCACTGCATGAGAAATGAAAACACTGTCTCTACTTTTGGTCTCCGCATTTTTACATAACTTTCGGTAACAACGACAGGACTTTAGCAACAGGATTTTTTCGTCTGGTACTTCTATGGGTATACTTAATTTATTTCTGTAGGATAGTCCCGCCGCTGTGGGGTCGAAGGACCGCGACGAGGAACCGATAGATTTGAAAGAAGCGGTGTAAGCGACGAAGTTGGGGGCGCGGGGGTCCTCGAACTTCGTGGACTTAACAATGTCCTGCTGGAGGATGGCCTTGATGTTGGTTAAGCATTGGCGAAGCTTCTCAGACAAGCCGCCCCCAACCGTTGACGAGTCCGGGAAGTTGATGTAGTTCGAAAGCGGGCGAAGCACTGGATTGAACTGCCGGCCAACCAAGGCACTGAGACAGAACATCACCTTGCCGTGAAGTTCTTCAGCCGCTGCCCGCGGAAGGTGGCCGCAGGCCAATACCTGGTTGATCTTGTGCCCGATTTCCCTCCGCCGTTCTTCCGAAATCCGGAACGTAGGCGGCGCAGAGGTGGTGTCGAAGAGCAACCCCAGGATTTCCAGAACCTGCGCCATTTTAACTTTGTCCGGGTGGATGGCCAGCCCCACGATTTCGAAGACCCGAAGGGCGCACCGCCTGGCGAAGTCTGCGACCGAAGACGCAACGGGGGCCGGGAAGTCATCGACATAGACGCCAATGGCTATGCCCACGTAGAAAACGATGACCGCTCGCAGAGCTGCCGAAATCCTGCACCACCCGACCACGCTGTGGACGTTCCCGAAGCAAAATGTCGCCGCCTCGTAGAAGTCGTAGACACCCTTCAGAGGGTTGAAAACACAAAACCGATTGAATCCCCTCTGGTCCGGCGCCACACACAGCGAGTTGTACGCCTTATGGACGTCAATGACAAGCATGACGATGGTCACGAGCAGCTCCGCGAAAACTTTCCGCTTCTCCGCGAAAACTTTCCGGACATTTTTAAACACCACAAGGGCGGGTCGACCTACTGTCGACTTATGGGTGGGAAAATGATGAAGCGCGAAAGTGCTCGCGCTTCGAAGTAGTGGTAGTGAGATATTTCTTGCCCTGTACGCCAAGTTTTAAGCCCTCAAATCTCTCGCTCTCTCAACACAGGAAGAAGGAAGGGAACAATCTCAGACCAATGCCAGGCGCGCCCATGCCGCAACTTTTGATCGCTCTGAAAAATTAGACGCTCCATTTTGTTAGTTCTATTAATTTATTTCTGTAGGATAGTCCCGCCGCTGTGGGGTCGAAGGACCGCGACGAGGAACCGATAGATTTGAAAGAGACGAGGAGGAACCGATAGATTTGCTTCAAAATCAGGCTGGTATCAACATCGTCGAAGGTCTTGTAGCCCGCTGCGAGAGCTACGGCAATAAAATTTTCGATCGTCCTGAAAGTGACCGGCCAGGGCTCCACCCCGCTAGACCGGGTAATGCGTTCATATTTCAAAATCTGCGACTTTGTCGTACTACTCGAAGCGAGAGAAGTAAGCTCACCCAAAAGCCGGACACACTGTGAGAGAGCCGCCGGATCCGAAGCCAACCTACAGGCAGCTTTCATCTGCGCGGAGGTTCTTGTTTTACGCGAGTCGCCTGAAGCTGGAAAAGTGAAGGCAGACGACACATCCCCAGACGGGCCATCTAGCGCTCGCGTCACCCTATCTGCTTCGCTCCGCCGCTGCCTTCGCCCCGATCTGCTTTCACCCTATCTGCTTCGCTCCGCGTCACCCTATCTGCTTCGCCCCGAGATTCCACTTCATTGTGGACGAAACGAGAGTTCTATCCGATTGTGGACGAAACTAGAGACCCCACTTCACACGGTGGTGGGGCTGAACATGAAGTGGGCCGATATCAAAAGGAAAAATCCCCGCTCCCCATATCGAAAGCGAAATTTGTGATGCTGTATTTGAGTACACAAATCAACTTGTATTGTTGGAAGGCAAAGAGGCGCAGTTGTGGCCTCGTTTGCAAGCAATTTGTGATCCTGTTTCCACCCATTTGCAGCTGCCTCGTGTGGTCATGCTGAAGATGCAAGGCTTTCCCACGCAGCCTAGCACTTCTACAGTCCGCATCTTTTTCCTTCTAGCATGACAAAGCTGATTTGTGACCACAAATGATCTGCATCACAGATTTCCGTTTTGATATGGGAAGGGGGGATTTTTGTTCTTGATCGAAGGACCGCGACGGGGAACCGATAGATTTGAAAGAGACTTCGCTCGTCCCTCCTGCTCCGGCGTTTCCAGCGGCACCACCACCACGAGTTGTATCAAGCAACGGCCCTACAGTCGACCCCTCCTGCAGGAGAGGTGAAGCCGCGTCGGCAGCGGCCCCACCTGGATCAGCAGAGGACGAAGCAGCGCCAGTCCAGTCCGGCTCGAGCGCGAGAGCGAGACGGCGAGCACGGCATTCGTTTCCGTTGAGTCCAGCGCGGGGGTATGGAGATGCAAAGATCTTCGATCTGGGTCCTCCTCCTCGTCAAAGAAGTGCAACTGCAATAAACCACCTGTCATGCCGAAGATAACCCGCTGAGCAGTCACAGCAAATACTAGAAATGCGTTCTTTCCCCAAACCACAGAAGTTGACGACTTGTTCTGATGCAAGATTATAGGCATGATCAGATACCATAGCCTCGTGAAAACATGTCGTGCCTACTTCCGCATAATTGCCATGCAACCTAGTTGTAGACCGCCTTCAAATTATACAATTAGTACTCAGGAGGTACCTCCCGAGAGGCAAAGGCATATCTATGCATTTGACCACAAACACTGTCGCTTTCTCAGTGTCCCAGACGAACATAAAATTGCAGTTGATAGAAGGAAAGAGAGAGCGTGAAGGCCACGTAGAACGCGGACGCCAGCCAGGCAAGAAACCGCTGGGCGAAAGGCATTTTTTTAATCTGTATTGCAGAAATTCTTTATAATTGCAATATGTTTCTTCTTTACAAGCCAACAGAGTTGTCCTCAGTACCCACGTGATAGAAGATTTTGCACTAGGGATGACGAGGAATTGGTGTGTCAGTACAAGAATGAGCCGACTTTTACTTTTTAGTCGCAAAATTTACACTTGAGAGTCCACAGAATTATAACGAGATAGAAATCTCAACTTCTATTTGAACCCTGAACAGGCAGCAAACACATTGATTTTATCGGGAGCTATTTTACTAGTAAGTGCTTTGATACAGTTGCCGGCTAGTAAAGAGCAACAACGTGATGTGCCCAATAGAATGCATTTTTCATTCAGATGATGAACCTTTACCTTGCATAGTATATTGCGCACGTTCATCCAATATGGACATTGATCAAGAACCGAAGGCTTAGCAGATGTTGTGTCACAAAGGCCGGTCCGATTTATTCAAGTGTCTCCCATCAAGACCGACGAAATTCTTGAATGATAGATTGTTCCCGGGATGATTTTTTGATCTTCACGCTCCGTGGTAAGTAAGTACCCAGTTTCTTGCCTACGAGCCGCGAGCAAACCGATCGCTCTTCGAAGGATGCCTGCTGGAATAATAACGCATACAAATACTCAAACTCATTACATTTGTTGTTTGCTGTTTGCGTGGCAGTGTCAAATTGATCTTGGTGCGCGTGGCTCGTTCCTGTGCTCACTCTTGATCCTTCCTTGCTCAAGAAAATTCGTGGAGACAGAAGTTATCCACGAAGTAGTGGATCCGCGAAGATCTTTTGTGTCGAGTCTCTTCTATCTTCCACTGCAGAAAGCTGCACCATCAACAGTTGATCGAAGCTTTTTCTACCGAGGATTTTGTTGCACTTTTGATCTGCGGGTAGCAGCACGCATGCCCATTCTCTCTCGTTGTTCATTCCGTTGGTGTTCGTGAACAAAAGTGATTTAATATTTTCGTCTGTGTAGTTGAGAATAAGACCGACCGGAAGATCATCATTCCGGTACATCCTGTCTTCGCAGTCGTGTCTTCCTAGTCCTGAGGACTATCTTCACGCGGCCCATTGTAAACATATACAATGCAAAAGTAAGGACGGGCTGTACTACAACCCTGCTCCCGCAAAAGCGTAAGCGGCCCTGGTTTTTATATAACGAATACACGACTCCCTTGCTGTAGTTGCTGTTCCCTCCCAGTCGGGACGAAACAGTGACTTCTTCTACCATGCAGGGCCTTCTACCACTCCGAAGCGGTGAGGAAAACATTGGCAAAATTGTATGACTTCTAGTGTAGTACTAAAGGGTCATCTTAGCGTGTCTGTAATTTTGACAACAGATGACACTGTTCGAAAAATATAACTTGTTCAACAAGGCGCAGGCGAAGAATAATTGGTTGCGAAGAGGATTTCGTTCTTGTGCTCCGGCTGGTGTTAGAAGTAAATAGAAAAAAGACAAAGAGATTTAGTTTTAGTTGCGTCAACCTCATCATCTTCGTCGTGTAAAAACGCAGCTGCAGCTTGCATTAGGAGGGCAGCTTCGACCACGCAATTTGCATCTACAAACAGGAAGAATTATGGCGTATGTGATGATCATCTCCGATCGGTATAATGCGATTCACAAATAGATCTGTGTTGTATAAAGATAGTACTGCACTTCGAATCGTCGTCCTGCTCAGGTATTCGTATTTATGAAACGCTTCACTTTAATATTTGTTCGTCTTCACGTTTCGCTTGCGCTTAATTGTGCAATGGCACATCTGCCCGGCTCCTGGTCCTGCGTTGTCAAGTGCATTAAATTTTTGCATGACAGGAGCTCTTTGCGGCTACACAATAAGTACTTACAGAGCTCAGAGTCATGATGCCAGACTAGCGTGACAATCCTATCAAAATGAAAAATCCCCCCACCCCATATCAAAATGGAAATTTCTGATGCTGATTTGCGTGCACAAATCCGACTTGTCTTGCAGCAAGGCACTGCGGCCAGATCCGCAGCCTAGGTGGGAGCGCTCAGGTGTAGTCGTTCAGTATTGCAAACGGCTACCCACTAGGACCAACAGCATGCCAAATCGCTTCCACAATTGGGCGGATGCCTCTGCACTTGTCTTCTTGTAAGACAAACCTGATTTGTGGTCACAAATCAGCAACACAAATTTTTGGAAACATACCTTTTCAATATGGGGAGGGGGGATTTTTCCTGTCCATAAATCCCTGCTCCTGTTCTGGATAATCCCACTTGACCAAATCCTTCACAACCATTTTCATGGACTATGGATTACAAACATGTCTGGGTCTGGAAACTTCTGATGCTGAATGGCGAATAAACACGAGGACCGCACAAGTTGTACCGGCTAAGCGTTCTTGCTAGGTGTTGTCTAAAAATATTCTGCGTCACAAACTGCGACTTTGCTTATTGACAGAAATAATGTTGAGCTTTTGGACTACAACGTACATGACAAACTTGAGAGTCACGCTAGCCGAGCATGACAAACTTGCGCTCTTCCAGAGGACCCAGACTACAACATATTTGCAGTTGATAGTTGCCCAACATCACTCAAGGTCGAGTGCTCAACCAGTGATTTCAGGGCGGCCCTCAGTTTCACTTATCCATTGCAAATATGTCTGGGTCTGGAAGATTCTGAGACTTGTCATGCACATTTTGCATGAGCCATGATGTCTGTGATGCATGCCGTAGATTTTTTGAGGCTTTCTCGATGGCTATAATTCCGCATGACAGATACCCTCTCCGCGTAGCAAAAGTTGCGTTCCCTTTGCTGCTCATGCAATATAGATTTTTTTGGATTCCAGACGTAGCATCACAAGTTAGAAGATTTTTCCAGACCCAGACATTTTTGCAGTTGATACCACTTCCCGAACTTCCATATTCCAGAGTTCTTCCTGCTGCGTGCGGCACGGATCAAAGGGGGAATATATCAACTGCAAAAGTGTCTGGGTCTGGAAGAATGCCAGACTTGTCATGCAGGTTTCCCATGACCTTGACCCATGAGGTCTGGTATGTGGGACATAGCACGACAGATTCTGTGAGAGTTCTATCATGCCTATCCTGCGTGAGAAACTGCCTCCCAACTTGGTCGAAAGTGGACAGCTTTTGGCACTCATGCAACACAGATTTTTGCATTATTCGGAAGTAGCATGACAAGTTGCAATCTTCCAGACCCAGACATTTTTGCAATCCATAGAATAGGGGGTCGCGTGTTCACGCAGACCTGCGATGAATTCCGCCAGTTTCGCTTTCATGGTGTCCACGTCCGCCCAATATGCATTGCAAATATGTCTGGGTCTGGAAGATTGTAAACTTGTCATGCTGCATTTGGATACTACGATAATCTGTATTGCATGAACAGTAAAAGAGGTCCAGTTTATTTTGCCACAGCGAGAGGGCATTTCTCATGCGGTAATATAGGCATCAGGGAGACCTCACAAATAAATCTGTGATGCTATGGCATGCATCACAGACGTCAGGAGTCATGCAAAATGTGCATGACAGACCTTGCATCCTTCCAGACCCAGACATATTTGCGTTTGATACCCAATCGCCGTCCGCAATTTCCTCGACTTCGTTCTTCAGGCCCTCCTCCCGTTTTTTGGCGCTTTCCACTTCGTTCTGCAACTGCGGCTTGTCGCACTGCTCCAGTGTGGAATCGCCTGTATTTTCCGGGTTGTGTTGGCTTTCACAAGCAGGTTTCCGAAACGCGCACCGAGCAAACGAATAAGAATCTAGTACACAGTCAACCGAGGGCTCGAACACTACCCACAAGCCAATAGTGTTCTTTAGGCGCAAGCAGAAATAAATCTAGGTCAAATGTATTCCAAAATAGGCACAATATCCATCAATGTGTTCTGGCTGGACCCAGTCCAGCCCAAGCGTAGCAAAGGTTCGACGTGCTTCATTCTAACGCATCGCGTAAGGTCCCTAATGTTCCCCGTGGTGTGGACGTTCCTGATGTGGTGAAGACAAAAGCGGCGCGCATTTAGCCAATGCAGAAACCTAGATCACGCAGCAGCTTGCTCTGCGCTTCATTTTCTGAACCCTACATCGGATTTCCGGTCCTACTAGTGGGAACAGGGGCGCCATTTTGCGCCTTTTGATCCATTTACCATGCATTTTCCGACCTAAAATATGCCTTTTTTAACCTGAACCGGTTCTAATTTGAGCTAAAATAGAGCCTAATTTGTTGAAGTTACGTAAAAAAGGTATCTGTACGTGGCAAACGCGGAGATTTTCCCAACAGCGCTTTGATGCGAGCGGCGAAACCAGCCAGGCGACCCACTTTTTCCGGCTCGGCCTTTTCTTTGTTTTGCTTTTTCCAGATCAGTATGAATTGCGAAAGTGTTTGGGTCTGTGAAAGAATGCAGATCTTTGTCTTGCTGTTTCTGCATGACACAAAATGTCTGTCATGGAAGCCCTAGCATCACAGATTTCGAGAAGCTTCCGCATTGCTTAATCTGCATGACAAATGTCGCCCCATTTTGGTGACAGGAAATGGGCACCTTTTGCTGCCTATGCATGAGAGATTTGTCTGTGTTGTGAAATGCGCATCACAAGTTCGCATCCTTCCAGACCCAGACATTTTTGCATTTGATAATCAGCGTGCGAGCACGACAAAAAGTAGTCCCAACATTGGTCGTCCACGTGGTCAAATATGAACTGCAAAACAAGTCGCATCACTACTTGTAGAAATCGCATCACAAATTTGGTCGGCATGGAATTTGTCATGAGGGTTTGCATTAATTAGAGAGACATTTGTACTATATGCATAAACTGCGAAGATTTTTTTTTTTAGGATTACTACGAGTGCGATACTTGTTTTCCAAGTGCATATCAAATCAAGCAGCAGCAGCGGCGCGTAGCACCACAGGAGGAACTTTTTCAGCTTGGTGGAGCAAAAAGCGGCCATCATTTTTTTGATTTGTTCTGATGTAGCTCTTGTTCTTGCAACAAGAAGCTGATCCAATTTTTTTCTTGCCGTTGGTATTGCGAAAGCAACAGATTCGCCTGGAGGGGGGCTGGTGAGTACTAGGAGATCGAAGAGCTTAATTGAACTTTTGTGTCGTGCGTGCCAGCAACAGAAAACAAGACAATACTTACTTGTATTTTTGTTAAACGCGTATGCGATTCAGATGTTGGTCCTGCCGTTTGTATTCCAAAACCTTTATTACAATAGCGAAATATGAGTAAGTAACTGAATGAATATCTTTCTCTGAAAAGCAAAAAACAACGGTACAGAAAAACAACCCTCCTTGTAGTTACCGAGTGGCTTTTATTGAAGACCACTAGCATCAAAAACCGATGTTGGTACTTACTAGCTCGACCGATTCCGATCATAACAGTTGTTCTACTACGGTAGAAAATATGTAAGGAAACCGAAACCGAAACAATGACTGACAAGTATTGACAGATGACCCAAATATTATAAATTGGCGCTGGATTCGGCACTGTGACAGACCGAAGAAGCTACTTCTCCGAGTCACGTTGTAGCATTGTTCCTTTAAAAAGTTATGTGCACGAAACGATGATCGTAGAGGCTCCACAGAGCACGAATGCCATCCACTGCAAATATGTCTGGATCTTCTGGATGTCATCGCTGGCATCACACATCAAATGGCCGCCTGGAATGCACCCAAAAGCACGACAGATTTTGCAATTGCTTATTTATGGTAGTGCCTATCCCGCATGAGAAGCTTGCTCTTTAAGATGTTGCAAGGAATGGGAAGCTTTTGACGATCATGCAGCACAGATTTTTGTCTGATCAGGAGTTAGCGTCACACGCGTGCATCGTTCCAGACACAGGCATATTTGCAATGCATAACAAACATCACGAAGTTTTTCCTGACGCCTCCGCTAACTTGTGGCCCTCGCAAAGACCCCTGACAGAACACCTCGCTGTTTGATGCGGCTCTGGCGGAATTTTTACCGGAAGCGTTGATAAGATCTATCAAATGCAAATACGTCTGGGTCTGGAAAGTTGTGATGCTGAGCTGTCGACTCTGACAAAAGCACTTTCGTACGCAGGCAAGCATAAAAAGTATGCAGAGCGCTTTCTCATACGCAGTCCGCATGAGAAACTGCGTTTTCGTATGACAAAGCAAGCCGCGACTTTTGTTGGTCGTCGCGCATTACAGATTTTAGTTTCACAACATTCACAGGACGACTGTACTGTAGGACCAGCATTTTAGAATAGTTCCATACTTTCCAGACCCGGATCGAGAATATGTGCAGTCGATAGGATTCTGCGGAAAACAATATCTTGACAGCGCAGGATTTCGGTGGTTTGCAGGTGCAAAGGGACGGGGTTTCGCAGGCGCGGACCTGTTGGAATTCCGCCTACCGCCCCGGCAGCGCTGCCGCCCCCACCCGGAGGAACAACCCAATACACGCCACGACTACCACACTCCTTGCCACCCAGAAGCGCCAAGGTTTCGTACCTGACACTTCCGTACTTCAAGTACACCTGCTCGTGAAAAAAGTTTTCCAAATCCGCCTTGCGTTTTAGCTTCAGGTCTGTCGGATTACTGCCACTGCTGCTGCCGTCGCTGCGCTCGTAATACGGCGGAGGGGCGTACTCGATTAGGAAGTAGTCAATTTTGTACCTTGTAAAGTCGATCCCCTTTAACACCTCTAGTTCGTTGCCTTCCACGTCCAGGGAAAACAAGTCGATTTTTACCACCGCCTCCTGGCCGTACTGAATTCTGTTCAGTCTTTCCGGGAACTGTTTCTCGATGCCCTTCGCAAACAGGTCGGTGTCCCACAGAAAAAAGCTGGCAGGTCACATTTGTAATGCAAAAATGAATACACAAAAAAAATCTGTATTGCGTATCCTAAACAGCATGCTATGAGGCCGCCCATGAGAGATTTTTCCGTGTATTTGTTTTTGCATTACAAATATGCCCTGCCAGCTTTTTTCTCTGGGATAGTCGGTCAGCGAGACACAGGGGACCGACACGACCCTGTTATGCAAGGAAAAAACTGTGTAAGTGTAACTTTGTCTTGCAAATGTTGCAATACAGTTACACTTGTCATGCTGGATATGCATCAGAGGCTATTTTTTTACGTGTTTTCGTGTACTAGCTACGCATGGCAGGTTTTCTCTGTCATGCAAAACAAATCTGTAATGCTGTTCCTGCAAAAAAGTTACACTTACACAGTTTTTTTCTTGGATACCTGTCTCTACTGTTGTACTGCGAATTGTGCTCTGCCGCTTCCGCTGCAGTCCTGTCTGACACAACACCAATATCCGGGAAAAAAACTGTGTAAGTGTAAGTTTCTTGGAGGAATAGCATCACAAGTTTGCTCTGCATGACACAGAAAACCTGTCATGCGTAGCTAGTACGTGAAAACACGCACGAAAGTAGCCTATGACGCAGATCCAGCATCACAAGTGCAAACAGTTTTGCACTTTCTGCATCACAGACTTACACTCACATAGGTTTTTTCTTGCATAACCAAGCCCACTAGTCCACTCGCTCCGATCCACGTAGGTGAGCAGTATAACCCGCTCAGGTGTTACAATATCAAACGTTACAACAATACAGTCTGAGATTTGATGTCTTGCATGATCAGCATGACAGACTCGCAGAGCGTTCCACTTTCCGCAATACAGATTTCGCCAAATTGCAGCGGGGTTTGGGGCTCCGGAACTTGTCATGCGCAATCCTATGAGAGTTGGCTAGATCACGCACTCTTGCATCACAGATTTCCATATTCTGTTGTAACGTTTGAGATTGCAAAACCTGAGCGGGTTATACGCAGTTTCCCACTCTTCTCAAAATCGGTGAGGCACCCGTTAAAGTAGACGTTGTTTTCCGGTTTTCGCAGCCCGGCGTTCACGATTTGCTCGAACTCAATTTTGCTGGCTTCCACCAGCAAGCCCTGCCAGTTGCGGATGCGCTCGAAGAACAGGGTGTTGCTGTGCAGAAATCCATATCCATTGCAAATATGTTTCGGTCGGGAAGATTTTTGCAAGACTTGTCATGCAGATTTTCCACGACCCAAGATGTCTGTGATGCATGCTTTACTAGCGTCCTCACAGATTATTCTGCGACGGCGGTCCGATGTTGCCCATACCGCATGATGCCCTCTCCGCGTAGAAGCAAAGTCTAGACGTTTTTTGCTGTTCATGCAATACAAATTTTATGTAGAATCCGACCGTAGCATCACAAGTTCTTGCACTCCTCCAGACCGCTAGACACATTTGCAACACATCATATACCATCGGAGGCCCCACACTCGATGTAGAACCCGTTTTTTTTCCTCTTGAAGATCTCCTCGTCAAAAAAGTAGTCCTGCTGTTATGAACTGCTGAAACGTTACAATCTCAAACACAAACGTTACATATAGAGTCTGGGTTCTTTTGTATTGCATGATGAGCATGACAGACTCGGAGAGCATGCCAATTTCTGCAATACAAATTTCACCAGATTGTAGTGCGGATTGGGACTCCAGAACCCTTTTGTCATGCGCAATGCTATGAGAATTGGGGAGGTAGATAATGCACTTCTTGCAACACACATTCCAGATTCTATTGGAACGCTTGAGATTGTAATACCTGAGCAGGTCATAGCTGTGTCTGCGCAGCGTGCCACTGCCGCGGCAGACGGGCGAGCGGCAGGTCCTCAAATCGCTTCACGTGCAGCTTGTAAACCTTCGGGTCTTCGGATATCTGCTCGGCTTTCTGGAACCAGTGAGAAAGCAGGAAGGGATCAGCGTGTAGTTCGGTCTGCTCGTCTGGCCTGTTCTTGACGCGAATCCTTTTTTCACTCGTACTAGAAGTTGTACCCGGTGCACTTCTTATTTCCTGAGGATTCTGCGCAGGTTCCGTATTTTTTCTTTTTCCGACGTCCCTCCCATAGACGCCAACTGTAGGCGTGCCAAGGCCATTACTAGCAGTTGGCGACACAAGTTGTGCCTCGTCGTCCTCGTCACGGCGTAGTACCGTCGTGTGCAGCTTTTTCAACGCAGGTTCTGTGGAGGCCCGCTTTGATGGTACTAGTGACGCTCTTCCGGTAGTTGTACTGAGCTGATTGATTTCGTGGTTTATTTTGCCGCGCCACGACTGGAAGGAGGCATGTTGCAGACCCCCACTTGTGATGTCTCTGGACGAAATGAAGTGAAGCAAGTACACACTTGCCAAACACAACAGATTCGTGAGTTGTCCTACCATTCTACTTGGGGCGTCAAAGTCTCTAGCATCGTGCTACACTTCTATTTTTGCCGCCGTTCATCTTCTCGCGCAATTTTGAACAAGGGATGAACAGTCCTCGATTGGTTTGAGCACTACTTTTTGTGAGAGTACTTATAATGCGACTATACAGAGAGAATGATAAAGCCTCCTTCTGCCCTCGTTCATCTCTCTTGTTCCACCACAAAGCAAAAACGACAACGCAGAAGGAGCGCTCTGGAAAAAAAAACTTGTTTCAAATAAGCAGAAACCGAGAAGATGAAGAACCAGCCCGATGTCCGATGAACACGGCGCGACCATATAATTCCGCGACCAACAACATGCGCATCGTTCCACCACCCCGAACTAGCATAGCAACAGGGTTTTTCTTGTTTTTGATTTTCAAAAAACGCAGAACCACAAAAACAAAACAACATTTCAAAATGTAGTTCCAGTATAATTTTTCATCTCGAGCACGTGCACGTCAGTGTAGTGCTGACGTGTAGTTTTCTTGTTCATTATACTCTCCTCTTTTTCATCAACACCACATGGTCTTTACGTTTTCAAATGTCGCTGTTCGATTTTATCTCGCTATATGGTGCTCCTATGTAGTTCTAGTTGTAGCCTTGTTCGTCAAATAGCAGCATTAATCCTACTCGAATTTTTCCAGTAGGAACAACTAACCTCCCAGCAGCACGTTCCATGTATTGCTAGCGAGGGTGGACATGGACTACAACTCAATTCTGTACTGCTATCGGGAGATTGATCATGAGGGTCCATCTTCTAGGGGGATTCGGGGGAAGAAATCGAAAAAAGGAATAAATCCTCGACGTACACAGAAATGAGAAAGACCTGGTAGTTGTACCATGGAACTGATGCTACCTGGTCATCTACTTTTGTGTAGTCCGGGCGACCTCTCTTCGACTTCACTTGTCTAAGGGAAAAAAGCGCTGCACTTCATAAAGGTCAACAACTGATGCTGAAGACTCTTATTGTGCTGCTGATCTAGAATTTTGTATGGTCTCGTTGTCGTGTTCTTCTTCCATGGTGGTTCTTGCTCGCACGCATGTGCTTAGTTTGGTTGAAATTTGGAGAAATTTGATTAAAACAAAGGGAGGAGATCTGTACTGCTAGCACCATTCAAGAACTTGCATTGCATAATAACTCGTACAACCAAGTATCAGTATGCAATCACGATAGTCAAATACTTCTATCAAACCCTCTGCAAGAACGATATCTGCGGGGCTGCTACGACTGTTCTTGACTAGCATAGTACAAGAAGATCACCAGTTTGTTCGGGGCATGCATCTATCCCAATGGCAGGCGCTTGATGTATCAGTATCACTCAAGCGGCCTGTGGGAAATAAAGTTCTTGCATGATATTTCTAAAAAAAACCACTGAGCCAATAACTGATATAGTCAAGAAATACGAAGAAGATTTGCTTCCAAGAAGTCCTCGAACTGGTTTGGTTCATCTCCTGGTCGTTTTACGTACGTAGGTGCTGCTTCCTCTTCTTCTCCTGGGCTGCTGCTGCTTCCTCTTCTTCTACGTACGTAGGTGCACCCTACGCTAATCCGCAGGTGGCTGTCGTCCCGATGCCAGCAGTTGTACAACACCATGATCTTGCGGGGGCTAGTACAACAGCTGCGAGCCCGCCTTATCATGGAGCTTACTACGCAGGAGTTCCTGCACCTTCAGTTGCAAGCCCTCAACATCAATATGGATCTGCTCCGTTTGTAATGCTACCAACACATCATCATCAGCACTTCTACGCGCTCAGCAACAGTGGCGGAGGTTCCACGACGAACGCGGCAGGATCTAGTCCACATGACCACCGGTTCCATTTCGGCGAATCAGAATACGATGAGAATGAACCAAAGACGTAGAAGTAGGAGTAGCTGTGCTGCTTGTGGAGTCGGTGCAGGGGAAAATCCAAGGGCCCCCCGATTCGGCCCGCGGGGTCCGGAAGGCCATTCCGAAAAAAACCCAGACGCGGTGGGTCGGTCTTTTTCACAAACGCCGAGGACCCACGGGCGGTGCCCCGAATCCGCGATCTCGAGCTCTTCGTTTAGCTCGGTTACGGACTTGTTGTTTTGCCTCAGGAGCTGCTCATCCCCATGTTGATCACCACTGTGCTGATTCACTTCGTTTTGCAACGCCATGATTTTTTCTTGCCCGGCGCGGGCTTTCAAGATCTCCTTTCGGGTGTCCAAATGAAAATGTGTCTGGGTCTGGAAAGTTGTAATGCTGGGGTGGGACTAGTGAATGCTCTGTAATGTTGGACAGCCACGCATGAGAAGTTGTATCTCCTCTGCTTAGTGTAAGTGTTGCGTTTTTCGCATGACAAACTGCGTTTTTGTATCTATGACAAGCAAACGGGTGTCTTCTTGGAGGCGCATCACAAATTCTTCAGTCGTGGCAGACAAGCATGAGAAACCTTCGCCTTGCATCCTTCCAGACCCAGATCGATATTTGCAATGCATATCGGGTTTCCAAGTGCCGGTCAAACAGGCGGAGGCGCATCATATCCTGTGCAAAAGTATCGCACTCGAAGAAGATTTGCTTCCAAGAAGTCTTCGAACTGGTTTGGTTCATCTCCTGGTCGTTTTACTACTTATTTTGCATAGTTTATGAATACGTTCATAAATACTGCTTCTGCAGCTCACCTGCTCTGCAGAGCGATGCCTTGGTCTTCTTGTATCATAAACCAAAGTCCACAATCAAGCTGCGGCTGGGCTTCCCTCAGCGGGTCGTGCAGCCGCAGGGAGTATCAAATGCAAAAGTGTCTGGGTCTGGAAGAATGCCAGGCTTGTCATGCAGGTTTTCCATGACCCGCGAGGCCTGGTATGTAGGACATAGCATTACAGATTCTGTGAGAGTTCTATCATGCCTATCCTGCATGAGAAACTGCCTGTCGCTTAAGTCAAAAGTGGACAGCTTTTGGCAATATGATTCAGATTTAGCATGACAAGTTACATCCCTTCCAGACCCAGACATTTTTGCAATCCATATTGAGTAGCCTCTTTAGTACAACAAGAAGGCGGTCAGAGAACATTATGCACTGTAAAAAATCCTTAATACGCAGATGATTGATGATGATGAAAAACCATATGTAGCTCATTTTCTATGAAGAAAAAAACAACCGCAACACCACAAATTAGAGTGGTGTACTAGTAGTTGCCTGTTTTTATGCGCAATTTCGTCCGTACTTGGTTTGTTCTTGTAAAAAATAATCCTACATTTGTTCAACTCGAGAAGATGAAAAAACTAGTAACTATAACTGCATTTTCAACAACATCAGACCGCATGGTCTGTCTCGTTTTTCCTTTTCCGGGGTTCTCTCTTTCCTCTTTTTAACGAAGGAAAAGGCAAAAGTTTTATTTCCGATTTTCAACCGTGATGATGTTCATGTACTTGTTGCTATTGCATGTGTTGTTTTTGTTTTTCATTTTTCATCCTGACTTCGGCCGTCGTCGAAAATGAGGTTTTATCTTCCTGTCCTATGTGGTGGAGTTATAGAATAGTTATGGATAGAGTACAACTATAGATACATAGATTTTGCGTTCAATGTCAATCGAAGAAGAAAAGTGAAAGTCATTCACAACTTCTACCTCTGCCGGTTCTTTAGCTGGGTAAGGCAAGATGGCAGCTCAGGCGGCAACCGCATGTTGGTCGTCGGGGGACTACTGGTCACGTTGCCCTGCAGAGCAGACTGGTGTTGTTCATCTGGGATGATATTATGTGTCGGCGACGGCAAAGCGTTCGTAGCAGCACCGCGATCTGCCGGACTGCCGGAGGTAGTAGCTGCCGAGGAAGAGGAGCGGCCGCTGCAACTCTCCGACTCTTCAAAAACCACCTCTAGTCCTGGAGGCAGACGGGAGATCAGGTTGTTGTTCTTGCCCCTGTTTCTGCTCGCACTAGAAGAGCCACCACGTCCACCAGAGACAGCGGCTCCTCCCGCTTTCCCTTCACCATCCAGCGACGAGGGTGGCAGGTCGCCAAAAGTGACGGCTTTAGGAACTTTGATGTTCTCATACGCAGGACCTCCTCCACCCAAGGGATGATGAACAAGAGCATCGTGCTGAGGACTGTCATCATAGCCTGCACCATCGTAAGATGGACCTCCTACACCTACAGCTGTAGGATGATCGTAAGAACCATAGCCATGCGTGGCCGCCGCATGATGGTGGTACATCATCGGATCGTCGGTCGCAGGATCGTAGTACGACGGACCAGTAGCTGCAGCGGCCATGGCCGCCGCCGCGTGGGCCGCCCGGGCCGCTGCGTACTGCTGCGAAACCACCAGAGCTGCGGCGTACTGCTGCTGCAACAGAAGCTGCTGCTGCTGCTGCTGCATCATTAACTCGTCCTGGTTCTTACCAGGAGCCGGGGCGTGAGTGGGGGATGCTGTCGGAGGAGCGTTGTAAAAATTTTGCTTCTGGTGCTGTTGCATATACTTCTGCTGGTGGTGTTTCCCCCCGGAGGCGCCGGCGCCCTTATTGTTATTTCCCCCACCCTGCTGCTGGTGTTTTGCACCATTTTTCTTGTTACCTCGGTTGTTGTGGTGGTTGCAAGTTATGCAAGAAAACAACTGCGTAAGTGTAGTAACTCTGTTTACAAAATTATAGACAGCCATAAAGTCCTCTCTTCATGTGTGTTTTATTTCCCGTATGAGCCACGCATCACAGGTTTTCTCTGTCATGGAGAGCAAATGTGTGAAGACGCTGTCAGCAGAAGAAAGTTACACCAACACAGTTTTTTTCTTGGATACTACTAGCGTGATGACTACTACTGTCACCCTTATGCTGCTTCACTTCCTCAACACTGTCCTCCAAGCTAGTTCTTGCGCTTTCCAAGCTACTTGACGTCGTCACAGGAGCTGGGTTCTTCTTGTTGTTCTTTCCACCACGACCACCTTCTTCGCCACTCGAACTCGGCTCCTTACTCGTTCCCTTCTTCTGCTTCGCCCGCTCCACCTCCTCCATACTCGCGTACACCGGGATCAAATCCCCATTCGGCCCCGGAACGTAGGCTGTCGGAATGGGTTCGCCCTCCTTGATTCGAGGCACCGGCTTCGTGATCTCCGGCATATGATTCACGCCAGTGGAGCTGCTCGACATAGCCTGTGCATTTGCTGGGGACGAGGAACCTGCACTATAGCTCTGCGGAGCTGCAGATGGTGCAGCAGTGTTGCTATCCACTTGCGACATTTTGAAAGACGAAGAAGTGGCGGTTGCAGCGGTCGTTGTACCAGTGGCGCTGCAATTTGTTGTAGAAGTACTATTCTTTTTCTCCTGCTTGGCCGCTGCCGCGGCCTTGGCCATATCCGCCAGGAGCGCCGGCTGGGGCCCGTGCTGGTGCGTCAGCGCGGAGTTTCCCTTCTTCTGATAGAACTGTTGTTGTTGACTCCCGACGAGCAGTTGCCCGAGCCCCCCGCCGTTCGGATTGCGGAGGGGCAGATGTCCTCGACCACTACCTGCAGATCCGGAGGTAGAAGCAGAACCTGCGGCCCCTGCTCCACCGGGGTTGTAGTTGTAGTCTTTCATGGCGAGTTTTCCCTGCTCATACTGGTTCCGCTTCCCGGAGACGGACTTCATCTGAATCCGCCGTCGCATGGCCGCTTGCGCGGTACTGGCCGCCGTCGAGCCGCTGTTGGTGCTACGCAGCGTGGATGCGGACAGAAAGGCGGTCGATCCGGAGAGCGACTGGTGGTTCAGGTAGAAGTTCACATCCCGGGACAGAGGCGGAGACTTGGTCGCCGCGGCTGTTGCTCCTGTGGTGCTCGCGGCACTAGGATCCTGGGTCACGGATGAATCCGGAACATCTGCCACCGCTGTGGTCAACGCAGTAGCCGTCTCATTCTTCGGTCTTACCGCCACCTGCACATTAGGCGGCGGCGCGGTGCAGATTTTCGGCCCCACCGCCGGAGAGGTGTGGCCGGGAAGGGACGCTTCCCGGTTTAGAGTGCCGGCGGCACTGCTAGGGATAATCATTTGCTCGTCCTGGCTTGTAGTTTTTTCAAGAACTACTACGCTGTCAACAACTCCTACATCTGCGTTTTGGTCGGAATGAACACCAAACCCTGTGCTCACGGTCGTCGGGTAGTGGAGGGGACCCTTTGATGAAGAAGGCACTTTACTCGAAGCAGACGCTCTTGATCTGCCCTGAGAGGACGGAGGTGCAACTACCCCCACGTTGTTCTTCGTGTACAGATGCTGATGAAAGGGGTCCTTCGGAATCTCCTCACTGTTCACGATCTGGTGCGCTTTGGCCAACCGCGCGGACGCGGTGTCGTTTAGGGATTCGCCGACCACGTAGTTTCTTTCCGTAGTGTATGCGTTGCAAATATGACTGGGTCTGGATTTGTGATGCAGGACTTCGGGGACAACAAGATCTGTAATGCATGAAGACCATTTGCCAGCTTTTTTGTCGTGCTGGACGGCAGTTTGTAATGCTAAACACGAATGAATCCGCAGGGAGCCGAGGGAAATTTCTCATGCTGTCATGCCGTACAGCTACAGGCAGCCAGTTTGCAATGCAAGTATAAGCAACACAAGTTTCCACACCCAGACATATTTGCAATCCATATAGTGTTCAGCCACGCGGCGGGGTTCTTGCGCAACGAAAACTTCTCATCCTCGGACGAGGTGAGCTCCCGAGAATTCCCGCTCTGCGTGCCCTCGGGAACCTGGTTCTTGTTCTTCGATAATGATCGGTGGGAGGCACTAACTGTCGACGGGATCATGAGAGGTCCTGCGCCGACTGCAGGAGCCTTAGTACTCTCAAGAGCTGCAACCTCCTTGAGACCACCGTCCAAAGTATCTGGTTCCGGCAAAGGCTCCCGGAAGGACTGCGTGCTGGCCGTTGACATGTTCGCCCACCGGTCCAGGCCCGCGCTCGACACCGAGGTCAGGCTGCTCCGAACATTCAAACTCCGGGACGGCATTTTGGCGATTTTTGATGTAGCGTAGGGTAAAAGTAAAACTTCCTTGTGGAAATCAGATTTCAATGCGTAACAGCAACGCGGTTGTTTACAGTATTTTTCCGTGGTGGAAAAAAGTTAATTTCTTCTTCGGTAAATTTAGAATTATACAGAAATAAAGACTAAGACACGACTACTTCAGTCAAGGCTCTTGTGCACTAGTTCTGAAGCAGCTCTTGATTGTCGTGGAGATTTTGGTAATGAAGTTGTTTGTTGAAAATAAAGACAGTGGTATAAAGTCTAGTTCTGTTGTTGTTCTGATGCTGTAACAAGAAATTGGGACAACAATTTTTTTAAAGTTCACTGATAGCTTATAGTGCGGTGTCTGGACGTCTTGGTAGAAAAGTAGAAAATATATCGTGCAACTGTGACGCAGGAAACTTCTTAGGAGTTGTTGCACTTGTTCTTCGGCGATCTTGTTGTTGCGCGGGAAAATAGATACTTATGATCCCGAAACCGTGGTTTTATCGCCAAGAAATTCTATTCGCGACTTTCCTACTGGACGTCGAAGGGGTGTTGTGCTGTGATTTCTGTTGTTGGGGTTGTGTAGGGTAGATTGGGGGAGTAAGTTTGTTGCTCTTCAAAAGTGCTTGTGCTACTACTGCTACTAACTCCTACTGCTATGCTTCTTTGCTACTTACAGATTTGGTAAGTTTTCGTGCAATAAGTGGCTACGACCCACGACTTCCTTTTTTTCGCCAGAAACAAATGACAACTAGACCTACGAGAGGATAATGCTGCCTGCTTTACAACTACTGCGAAACTTAGTCAGTAGTGTATCTTTAACTACTGGACGAATGAGGTAAAAGATATTTTTTGGAAGAAAACGACACTGGACGTCGATTAGAAGTCAATGCAAGAAATAGACTTCAAACTCTTCGATTTACTCGGGGTCGTCGGCTAAAATGAACCAACGATAAATCTATACGTCCGGGATAATGTATGTACCAGTGTACACTAGAAAGTTGTTGTTGGATTTTTGTCGTATGGACCACAGTAAGTATACTTTTTTGATGATCGTTCTTGCAGAAGTAGTTTTTTGAAGCAGCAAGTTGTAGCGGATAAAATGTTTTTTTGTAAAGAGAGAAATAGAGAAAATACAAAATTTAGGGCAGAAGTTTTAATACGAAGATTTTTTGGGTCAAGTGGAGTGAGCCGAAGGTTTTTCACTGTGACAGGTTTTTTTCAAGAACAGATAGCGTAGTTCGTGAGTATGAAGTTGTATAAGTATAGACTACACTTTTTATTTCAGCCGGTACCATCAAAGATCTTCGTGCAGCATGCCTCAGATGTTGACTCATTTGATCGCACATCAGCTTCAACATCCTGGAAAAGCCCGACTGAGTAAGGTCTGATCCTGATCAGACATCGATTTTCTTTCGCGATGCCGTCCTTCTCTCTACTGTTATTTTCGACACAGATGTTGGAATCGTGAACCAGCACGGGATCATGGATCCGGTGTTGAAGTGGAAACCTTTAGATTTATCGCTCATGATGCACTGTAGATCTACTTATTCACAAGTAGAACTACATCCAAATAACTGTTGCAGGATGTTGCGGATCTACAATTTCGGAATAAACCGACACTGTTCATCTACTTTCCACGGAGCGGATTTCGCACTCAGATCCTCGATCGGTTGGAACCTCTTCAAGCACTCGTCTACTTTTTTACTTCTATTACTTTCGATAGATTTTGAAAACCGAAGTCTTGACTGTCACTGTCACCGTCATGCCTCGCATGAAAAGCACCTCGACAAAGAGCCCTTCCGCGTCAATAACCGATACCCAATTTATTTTTTCTTTTTTGAAGAACACATAAAAACTTCGCCATCCCGTTTTCACCTTCGCTGTGAAGAGAGATGAGGGGCGAAGCGTGGCGGCGCTATCGCGCTCGGGAGGGCCACGCTTGCTTCTTGGGTTAAAATGGTTTTTTTTGGTGTGGGCTAAATCAGCTCGAATTTTTTGAATCCATCATACAAGGTTGGTTGTGGTCGTGTGGTGCATCTTCAACAAGGCGAGTCTGGTTGATTGTCATAGTACCTCTACTCTTCAAGTGGCAGAATTATTCTGCCACTGATGTGTTCCCGTTATGTGCATTTTCATTTTACTCGATTGATTTTCTCCATCAATGAGTCTAGTGGTTTTCCATTTCCCCACGTAGTAGATAGTAGTAGTCTACTAGGCGTAGGCACTTTCGAAGTGGTCATAATTCTCGTTTTTTCTACCACTGATCGTTTCATCTTGCGAGCACTTCATCCAATACTCAAATTGTTCGTCAAATTACGTTTTATAAGGAGGTACTCGGTTTCTTGTTCATCTGCTCACATAGGTGCTGTTCTTTTGTCCAGACCTTGTTGTCGACTACAAAATTTGAATCGTAGCAATAGAAATCTACTTCCGTAAAAAATTGTGTTCTTACCACGCGGCCAGAGGACCACGACGCATTTTCATAGTAAGCACTGCTACAGAATAATTCTGGCTACGATCTGGCACTAAAATTTTGATTCTTCTTGTGCCGATCATTTTTTACTCCGAATGGACGTTGACAGAACGGATGTATTAGCTTCTACTCTCCTACTACCGCCACGTATAAAAATTATACCTGTATAGATGGACAAAGAGCTGCTAAAAATCTTGTCATGTACATTCATCTTCGGGGAAAAATGACATAAAAATACTGATAGATATACACTTTCATAAAGGCACTTCCAGTTGTGACCGTGCTTTCTTCGAGTGGTTTGTTGTCAGTTCAGTCTTCCTGGTGCGCGGCCTTTGGTGTTTTTTTCGACTAGAGCAGGGCGCATTCTCATCTTCGGTCTGCAAGAGCTACAGACGTTCTGAAAATACCGAGGCGTTGTTTGAAAATATAAAAATGCAGTAGGCCAAAATACAGTCGCATAAAAATTTAGCTTTTTTCTCCTGTGTTCTTCTTATCGAGACGTCGATTTTTTCAAGCCATTTTATCATAACATGCGACCAATATACTACAACAGTTCATGTGTTGTCGTGTTCAAAACATGGAGGAAATATACTACATCATCCGCGTAGCTATCTTCTTAGGGCCTACGTATACTACCTATTTCGTTTGTTTATGATTTTTTTCACTCCGAAGTAGGAGAAAATCTTACTCTAAAAGAACTGCATTTTTACACCGCTGCTACTAGTTTTCGGATAGTTTACTTTAGTTCCGTGTCACAACAGCAACACAAAACAATCCTCCTCCGATTTGTTCCGCTCGAATACATTCAAATTGCTAAAAAAGTCATGCAACTTTCTAGGAACTTGTACTGATTCATGTAGTTGTTTGCCTTTGCTTGTGTTCTTGTTCGGGCTACAACCATGGATGAGAATATTTTTTGTCGTCTACAAGAAAGCCTGCTGCTGCTCGAAGTATTTAAGCTGACAAAATCTATAAATTTCTCATCTCTGGTGCTAGCCTCCTAGTCGTTATGATTTTTCCATCATATTTTTGTCGCGATTTCGCGCCCCTCCAAATCGCAGCAATTGTGGCAACAGGGGTCGTTGCCGCCTTTGGGTTGATAAAATAGAAACAGAGCACAGTTGTGAAGAAGATTCTTTTTCTTAACAACTTGCTCATGTTACCTTCCATGAAAAAATTTCGCAGGGTAGAAAAGTCTGAATCTTCGTCGTGTAAAAATTGTTCCCCGGGGAGCGGGGGGCTCCCAGAGAACAATCGACGTCCTAATAGAATACCCAACTGAAGCAAACTCCTGCTTGCGTGTAGGAAAAGAAAAAAAAGTTATAAAAACTATGAGCGTAAAAATTGTGCTGCTTTTTGCATAATCGCGCTTCATCTTTACAGCAGAAAAAAGTTAACGTGAGCTGCACCACCCCACTGAACGTGAGAAAAACTTGTAGCCAAAAAATCCTCTAGACGATGTCAAGCTGTGGACAACAGAAATAAAGTTCGCGCATCTACTGGACAGTAGAACAATCTTAGGTAAAGATACCTTTCGAAAGAATTAATAGTACACTTGCATAAAAATTTTCATCGCACTTTCAAAAAATAGCATTAGCACTCTCTGACTGGTATCAAAAAATCCCGGGATTCTTTCTTTAAGCCCGAAATCTCTATCCGCGTGTAGGGACTGTTCTTTTAGAGTTTGTTACTTCCGTCGCGGACAAGAGTCTTGCCCTCCAACAGAAACAACCAAAATCGACAAGAACTCCGTCTCTGCACACGGTATACTAGAGTTACGGCGCTTAAGATTTGTGATAATTTGATAAATCAGTAGTACAACTTCTGTGCTTGTTTCGGTCGTAAACAGAAGCGAAAGAGGACACCAGTCCTCGCTTCTTGCTCTCAATGAGATCATCGTCCAGATTGTCCAGCTGACAGAGCGTAGTTGTTAAAAGTACGGTTCATTTTCATTTTCCCGATAAAGTTAGTCACAGATTTATAATCGTCTCATGCTCATCTGTGATGAATTGGCGTATCATTTTGTAGGGATAAAAAGCAGTTCCAGTTCTTCGCATAGTTTTGTTTTTCCTTCGCGTGGAGGAGGTGATGTCCAAGGTTTGCATGGCATGGATCTGCTTAGATAGATACTAGAGTCAAATGTAAAAAAAAGCGCGCTGCTCTCGTGGGCGATCAGCAAATCTGATAATTCATCGCTTCAACATCTACCGCGATAAGGTCAAATTGACCTCGATTTTTATTTCCAGTAAATCCATTATCGTTATTTAAAGCTCGCTATTATTGCTTTGAAAGTAAGCAGTTCCGTCTTCTTGTATCCACCTTCCCCCGAAAAATCGGCAAAGATCCGATTTTTCTTTTGGTATTGCTATCAAAGGTCATGAGCAAAACTCCCTACTGTCCGAGAAAGCTCGAATATTGTCAACAAATCTCCGTTGATCTTCCATCTCCGACAATCGATAGAACTTACAGTCCCGGTGGACCGCCAGTTGCAACAGCAGCGGCCCCCGCGGTTTTGTTTTTCAGCGCCGCAGGTGTGGCCGGCGGCGTCATGTCATGCTGCACCCCAGCACTGTAGTCCAATGCGGGCGGCGGAAACGTCGGTGGCAGCGCGGGGTAGACCGGACTGGCGGCTGCTGGATTAACATAGTGGCCTGCCGCACCTGCAGCACCTGCAGGTGTCGTGTACGCCGGGTGGTACGCTGCTGTTCCCACAGGACCGAACTGCGGATGATGCCCTCCCGCGGCCAACCCCGCCGGACCGTAGGGGTTATTTCCCATTGCGGTAATTCCTGCCATAGGGTTATAGCTGGCCGCCGCGGCCTGGGCCGCCGCCGCAGTATTCATCATCTGCTGTTGCTGCATGCCCGCCTGGTAGGCCGCCGCTGCTGCGGCAGCCAACGCCTGCTGCTGTACCTGCTGGTAGGCCGCGTTTTGGTGCTGGTGGTACTGCTGCTCCTGACGCTTGCTCCAGTTCTTGCCACTCCCGCCGTGTTTATTGCTGTTGCTCACACTGGAGGGGCTGGACTGGTGGTGGCTAGAAGTTGTAGAATTGTACATTTTATCAAGTGTAAAAATGTCTGAGTCTGGAACTTTGCTAGACTTGTCATGCAGGTTTTCCATGACCCATATAATCTGTAATGGAGGACCTAGCATGACAGATTCCGTGAGATCACTATCATGCCTATCCTGCATGAGAGAGTGCCTCTCAACTTGATCAAAAGTGGACAGCATTTGCAAATCATGCAACACAGATTTTTGCATGATTCAGATTTAGCATGACAAGTTCCAACCTTCCAGACCCAGACATCTTTGCAATCCATACATTTGTTGCTTCCGTTCCATCTGCCGCTGGTGCCACTGCTGCTCGTATATCAAAAGGAAAAATCCCCCCTCCCCATATCAAAACGGAAATCTGTGATGCAGATTTGTTGTCACAAATCAGCTTTGTCATGCTACATGGGAAAAGATGCGGACTGTAGTGCTGGGTGCCGTGGTCAAGCCTTGCATCTTCAGCATGATAGGAGGCAGCTGAGAGCGGGAAACAGCATGACAAATTGCCTGCAAACGAGGCCACGACTGCGGCTCTTGGCCTTCTAGCATGACAAGTCGATTTGTGACCTCAAATACAGCATCACGAATTTCGTTTTCGATATGGGGAGGGGGATTTTTCCTTTCGATATCGTAAGACCCATTCTTGTGGTGCCCGGAACCGGCGCCGCCCCGCCGGTTTTGGCTACTATGATGCTGCAGCATCTGACTCGTGGAGTTGTGGTACTGCTGCTGTACATTTCCGCCCCGGCCCATCGACGCGTTGTTACCACGGCTACTATTGTTACTGTTGTTCATTCGTGCGGCCGCAGCTGCAGAAGAAGAAGCCGATCCCTTGTGGTGTTGCCCGATCGTCATGGGCTCAATCAAGCTGTGATGACCCTGACCCTGACTCGCACTAGAGGACGTCGTCGCGGCGAACATGTTATTCCCCTGGACGGGTTCAAAGAACAGCTCTTCCCGGCCATTCCGGTCATTTTTCCGCACAACCGGAACGAAATTCCCGGACCCATGAGAGTTCAAAACTGCCGCGGAAACTTTCATGCCCCCATTCAGGAAATCGGTTGTAGTTGTTGCGGAAGAGGAAGAGGTTGTAGTAGCCTTCGCAGGAGCTGTCGGTGAGGAAACTAGAGGTTTTTTCGACACCTCCGATACTACGCCACTTTTATCCGTTTTGGGAGAGGAAGATGCAGCAACAGTATCATCGTCCTCGTGCTCAACCACTGCCGAGGAAAACGTGACCGATTTCTTCCGCGAAGTAGAAGTATTGGCGTCTGTCTTACTAATATCTCCCACGAGAACAGCAGGAACGGGACTGGTGCTAGTGGGTTGCATCGGTGGGTTCAACAAGTTTCGGCTGCGCTCTTCGGCCTGTTTGTTATGCACTGCAAAAGTATAATCGCACTAGTCTGAGTCGCATGACAAATTTCCCCAACATCGTCGTCGTCGTTGAGAAACAAATAGAATCTGTAATGCGGATTTACCTTGGCAAAAAAAATTGTAATGCATAAATGCGATGAGTACGAGTACGATACTTTTGCAATGCATATTTGTTGTACGTAGACAGCAAAGCCTTGATTTCGTCCCGCAGTTCGACCGAGGTGCGCAGTGGGGACATTGATGATGAACTAGGTGCATCCTTATCTTGATCATCTCCCTCCTGCTCGTCGTTTTTAGTAGTTGTACCAACAGCGTTCTTGTCTGCATCAAGTAGAACTACAGGATCGTCGTTTTCGGTCGTTGTGGACAAATCGTGGGCATTATTGTTTTCCTTGTTGGTCTCCGATGGACAAGATCCGGCATCCGAACTGTTGCACAGGGCGTCTCGGTCTCCGTTTTCGGACGACCGGCTGCTGCTGCTCCCGGATTTCATCTGCACTTCAAGGGATAACTTTTCCCGCAGTTCGTCCGCGAGACACTTTGGTTCCTTCTTCTGGTTTTCCTTCTTCGCCTTTTCCGCCAAATGCTCCCGGGGGATCACGTCCGCGCCGATGGAAGGGATAGTCGCCGTCACGAACTGCCGCCACTCCGCGGCGTCGATCGCACCAAGGAAGTGCGCGGCGATGTCCTATGGAAAGGAAAAATCCTCCCTCCACATATCAAAAACGAAATGTGTGTTGCTGTATTTGAGTACACAAATCGTTGTGTATTGCTAGAAGGCCAAGAGGCGCAGTTGGTCCCTCATGTGGAGGCAATTTGTTATGCTATTTCCCGTTTCCAGTTGCTTCCTGTCATGCTGCAGACGCAAGGCGTCCTTGCGCCAGCCAGCACTACAATCTGCATCTCTTCCCTTCTAGCATCAGAAAGCTGATTTGTGACCACAAATCTGCATCACAGATTTCCGTTTTGATATGGGGGGGGCATTTTTCATTGTAATATGTCCAGACGCTCCCGTTCTTCCTCGATCCGCTTCGTGTGGTCCTTCAGGAAATTCTTCAGGAGGTACCTGTATAAGCAGTCACGCATTACAAATCTTTTTCTCAAGGTAAAATCGGCATTACAAATTTTATCTCGTCTGATGCTGAGAAAATTGTAGGACTTTTCATTTCGACGACTAGATGGGACGAAGAATTTTATTCCCTCTTTGATGTCGAGCTGGTGTAGTTCCACTTCAAGATGAGGAAGGTGCGGTCTGTGACTCCTATACGTTGATGCTTACTTCTAGTTCTTCTACTTCCGGAAGATGAACAAGCAGTTGTTGCTGGTTTAGGATTTAGGACATCAAAATCACGTACGACGGTTCATCTTCAAGAAAAAAGTATTGTGGCAGGCAACCAAAAGAAAGAATTTGAATCAAGTATACCGCAAATAGTCCTTGGTCATCGGGCGTTTGGCGTCGAAAGAGGGCAGGTCCAGTGGAATTTGCCCGTTCGATTGCTTTATGCATTGCAAATATGTCTGGGTCTGGAAAATAGCAACTTGTCATGCTAAATCCGAATCATGCAAAAATCTGTGTTGCATGAGTGCCAGAAGCTGTCTACTTTCGACCAAGTTGGGAGGGAGTTTCTCATGCAGGAGAGGCATGGCAGAGACCTCACAGAGTCTGTCATGCTAGGTCTCGCATTCAGGACCTCATGGGTCATGGAAAACCTGCATGACAAGTGTACCCGCTTCCAGACCCAGACATTTTTGCATTTGATATGCTTGAACATCTGGTTGGACAGCTCAAACCGCATAATCATGCTGTCGTTCGTCAGCAGTCCCAAGCGAATCGCAATCAGCGGGATGTCTTCCACCGAACACTCCCGCTGCAGGTGGTGATTATTTTTGTATGCTGCAGATGAACAATTTTTATCCTGGCTCAAGCTCTTCTGCTGTTCAAGCGACTTCTGTTGAGCAGACGGGGAAGAGGGCGAGGAGGATGGAACAGCATTATTACTGCTTTGATGTTCGACCTGACGCTCCTGCTGCGCGACATGATTCGTGGCCCCCGCCGTAGTTGCAGTGGCCCCACCACATCCGGGAGAGGTGGACAAAGAGGAGCTGCTAGAAGTGCTACTTCCGGGGACCACAGGCGTATTAAAGTGCGGCTTGGAAGATGATCCAGACGCGAGGTCCGAGGCGACAGAAGACAAGTGTGAGGTTGGCGGCAGCAGCGGGCTGCTGCAAGTAGGAGCTGTCGTTGCGGGCATTTTTCTTTTTGCAATAATCAGTATTTGCGGGCGATAACAAATTCTACTTCTCGGGTAGTGAAAGTTTTTTGCAGGTGGAGGTACAAGAACTTGTGGTAGATTTTACAATTTTACACAGCGATAAAAACTTTCTTATCGGAATGTTTGTGGAAAAAAATTGATTTCGGATTCTGACCTCTATATTACTGAAGATGCTGATGTCTTAGAATCAATTCTGCCCCTAAGAATTGTTGTTTTTATGCAGTAAATGGAGTCAATGTGATGAGTTGTTCTTTTTTGTTGTTGTAGTTGTTGTGCTGATAGTATTCTTAATTCTGTGCACTATAACGCGATGTAAAAACCGACGTCAGTACAGAAGAATTTACAATAGAAGGATACTAAGCTAGTAGGTTCTAGCAAAAGCAGCATGCAACGACGATCAGACACGAAAGTGGTTTGACCGTGATTACAGCCTAGTACTATTAAAGCACAAAATTGTTAGCTTTGATGTCAGCAATAGCACCAAAGCCTTGGTGTTTGTCCGAAATACTATTTGGATACAGGGGCTTTTATAGTTTTCTTTTCAAGAAAAAGACCACAAACCCTGATCCACGTTGTTCTCTCTTAAGATTTTGATATAGCAGTAGTTTTTTCAATAAAAAACGACTACGATGAAGATTTCCAATTCCGGTTAGAGATTTGCCTCCTGCCACCTTTCAATATGCGATAGTAACTAGTAATTTGCGATCCTCACGATTTTAACACCTGGTGGGCGGGTACTACTTAGTTTGTACAAGATACTTTTAGAAGAGGAGGATATTGTGCAGGTAGAGGCAAATCGGATAAAAGAACGAGGAGAATTAAGGGTTACTTAATTAAACTATACTCGTTTAATGAAAATAATACAAAGACCAAAGGAAAAATGGTAAATAAAATTGTACTTTCAGGATAAAAGCGATCAGTAGTTAACGTATCAACTCAGATCAAGCCTTCTAGTTGTAGATCCAGATCTAATTCTGAAAGCACAAAAATCAGTACGATGGCCTAGGGAAAATTGGTGTTAAATCAGAATTGGAATCAGTAAACAAGTTGTTGTTGTCCCAGCAGTTTTAAGTTATAAGTAAAGTCCAGTTGTTGGGGCACAAATGTAGTGGTTTATATACGAATGAGTTCGAGTGGTTATGTATTGTGAGGAAACATCCCCCCTCCCCATATCGAAAGCGAAACTTGTGTTGCTGTATTTGAGTACACAAATCACATTTGTCTTGCTGGAGAGGACTGCAGACCCATATCAAGCCTGAGTAGAGAGGCTTTGACTTAGGCGCTTAGCATGAAAAGCGTCCGTGATTTTGGCTCAACAGCATGACAAACCGCCTCCATACTGGGACGGAAGCTGCTGCCCTTGTCTTCTTGCAACACAAACGTGATTTGTGACCTGAAATCAGCAACACAAATTTTCGAAAACCTACCTCTTCAATATGGGGAGGGGGGATTTTTCCTTGCGATATTATGGTTTGACAATAAAGTGGGCGGTAGTGGATTTTCTTTTGGAGGGTAGTTGAGAAGGTGCGAAGCCGGCGCGAGTTGTGGCTAGTTAGCACAAATCGGCAAACAAAAACGGCACACTGTTTGGTGGTAATGGATCGAAAAGAAAGGTGAAAAATTGTGGACAAGGAATCGCGATCCGATCGTCCTCTCTTCAAGAAAATTACATGTTCTTGAGCATGCACTGTCTCATCACTTTAGATCTTCTTGCTGGTCGTGCTGTGATCGATCTGGATTTTTTCTTTCTCTCTCCCGCAGACAGATCTTGATTTATTGCCTGTCTTCAGAGTGCTTCACGATGAACTGACTGAAAGTGTACACTTCTTTTCATCTTTTGGAGCCATTGTATCCTCGAAGTCATACAATCTAGTTGAACGTCTCGAATGATCACTCTTGCTTTTCGTCCGAACTGCTGATTTTTTTTGCGACCGAGACTGTGTACTTTTTCTGGCACCTTTACTATAGATACTATACTTACTCTCCCCTGCAAGGGCAAGATCAAATCAGACATTCTGTCTTTTCGCTTTCAAGATTTTTTTCTAGGTCATAATCTATCACAGGCGTCAGACCGATTTCTTTCTCCTTCTTTTTTTCTGCTCTGATCATGCTTCTTGGAGGGTCGTGGTTTACAACTAAAACCGACCCATGGATCATTTCTTGGTCATGATGGTCATGCAACTTCAGTCAAATCGTGATGAAATACAAATAGCAGGTCATCGTGAACAACACATCTATTTTGCTACTGCAACTATGGCAGCACTAAGACTTGCCAGCTGCTTTTCTTCTCCGCCCTAGAAGGCTGTTTTATGGTTTTTCGATTTTTTTGCGGCATAAAAGGGTCGTGAGAGGTAGTTTCTTGCAGCTTCTACATCATCTTTTTGTTTCCTCGTCACTAGGTGAAATTTGTTCGGGTCTGGTGAAAGGTAGGAGTAGAGCAGCAGATTAAGATACAGATCGACGCAATCTGAACACTATCGCGAATGATCAACAGCTGCGTAGTTATTTCTTGCTGCTGCTAAAGATCGGCATGATCGTGATCGTCCGCATGTCGTGTAGTTGCTGTTGTTGACACCAGTGCAGCTCTAGATAGGTACTTACTTACTTCTCCCCAACAACTGCAACTACAGTTGTTGATGTTGCTCAGAAGCTGCAATCCACATCGTAATTTCGCTGCTCCCCTCCAGTAGTACAGCAACTCCAACTGTCGGTGAAGAAGGTTCATCATTTTCCTCTCCCCATGAAGATCCTCCTCCTCGTCGTCCCAAGTTGCTGGAATTATGAACAGGTCGTGCTTGAAGTTGTACAATTTCGACACCTCCAGTTTCAATATTTCCTCCTTACTGACCCCGATGCACCTTGGAGCCAATATTCGCCGCAGCCGTGATCTTCGCTGCATGCGCGCCAACGTTTCGTCCCTTGCCGCGCCCGGCGGCCTGCTATGAAGGTGCACAACTTCTTACTTATTTCCCACACAATTCGCAATGCAAAAGATCAAAAATGAGCTTCTTGTTTTTCAGCACGACCACTGCTCGCATGACAAAAATTTCCAGGGCTTGCCCCGAGAAACAGTTCTATCACAATCAAGCCATTTTTATGTGCGGAACAAGATTTGTCATGCGGAATGTGAAGTACTTCATCTCTATTGCTGCTCATGCATTTTTCCAAATGAAGGGGAAGTTTAGAAGTCTTGTGCAGTCTGATACCTGCTTGGCGTGCCCGGACTGGAGAATACGGGTATCAAATGCAAAAGTGTCTGAGTCTGGAAGGATGCAAGGTTTGTCATGCACATTTTGCATGACTCCTGATCGATCTTCGATGCATGCCCTAGCATCACAGGCCTTGCGAGGGCTTTCTGATGCCTATACCGCATGAGAAATGCCGTCTCGCCGTGGCCAAAACCAGACCTCTTTTGCTGTTCATGCAATACAGATTTTTGGATAATGCAGACGCAGCATCACAAGCTGCATTCTTCCAGACCCAGACATTTTTACATTTGATAACGGGCGTGCTTCAACAGCTCCGGAAGGGAGAAGATATGCATTGCAAATATCCCTGGAGGATGTCTGGAAGGATGGAACTTGTGATGCGTCCTCTGGATCACACAAAAATCAGTCTTGCGTGATCAACACAAGACCCCCTTTTCCGACCACATGCAGGACTCACATGCAGGGAGTTTCTCATGCAGGACTCGCATGATAGAGACCTCATGCAGAATCTGTCATACTATGGCCTGCATTCCAGACCTCATGGGGCATGGAAATTCTGCATGACAAGTTTGCATTCTTCCAGACCCAGATATATTTGCAATTGATAGAAGAGCCGGATGTGGGAGCCGCGAAGGTGGACCTGCTCCAACGTCTGCGTTTATCAAATGGAAAAACCCTCCCTCCCCAGGTCAAAAGGAGCTCTCTGATGCGGGGCCTGCGTACACGAGTCACATTTCTCTTGCAGAAGGCGCTTGGCGGCAGTTTCTAAATCCTGTTTGGGTCGTATAATGCAGAAGGCTAGCAATTACGCATGGCAAACCGCTCTGCAGTAGTCGAAAGCTGCGCATGACAGACTGGCTGCGCAATGCGCCAAATGGCTTCCATTACCCTGTAGTCAAGACAAAGGTGATTTATGACCACAAATAAGCATGACAAATTTCCATTTTGACATGGAGAGGGGGGATTTTCTCTTACGGTAGCGTTTCACCGGTCTTTTTCGTCTTGGTCATATGAACTGCAAAAGTATCGCACTCGTATAAATGCATTACAAACTTCCTCAGCATGAGAAATAAAATTTGTAATGCGGATTTGCCTCAAGAAAAAGATTTGTAATGCAAGACTTGCATTTATAGAATACGATACTTTTGCACAGGATAGGTCACGTTCTCGAGCAAGACGTTCATGGAATCCTGTGGTATCCTCTGCAAAAACGACGACCCTAAATTTGTCATGCAAATCTGCAAGAAGAACCCTAGACCACTGTAGTTTCTCATGCGCGACAACGAAAAGAAGTACCCAACATCTCGACTAGAAAATGCTTCTTCTCATGGGGCTCCGCATGAGAAATATTTTCTTTTTCACTACATGCAGATTTGCACTACGACTACGGGTAGCTGGGGACGTTTTTGCAAAGGATATCCAGGTTCGTCAGCTTCCCGCGGTACGCGTCGCCGTTCTTCATCTATCAAATGCAAATATGTCTGGGTCCTCTGGAAGACCGCAGAAGTTTGCCATGCTGATTTTCCGTGACACGAAAGGTCTGGCATGCGGGCCCCAGCATTACAGGTCTACTTGAGAAGGTATGGTAAAGCTCAATGTCTAATCCGCACTAAAAATCCCTTCTTTCGGTGAGTAAACATCAAAGTGGGCCACTTTATTTGCTGTCCGCGCATGACAGATTCTTGTGTGATTTGAAGTGCGCATGACAAGTTTGCATCCTTCCAGACCCACACATATTTGCAATGCATACCATCTCCACATTCACCATGTGGTCCACCGCTTCATAGAGAAGCTTGACCGGAATCGTTGCCTTGGACTGGGACATTTTTTTTGGTCGAGAACAATAGAAAACTTCTGAAGTAGCCGCGAGCGTAAGTCTCTGGCGGTTCTACTTACTTTCTCTGTGATGCTGCCTCCTGGAGGTTTCGTATGTTTTCGTACGAAAAGCAGAACAGAGCCTCTATCTATCTGAAGATCAAATGAAGAGTGTAGTTTCGTTTATTGCCTAGAAGTTTTTGTCATGCAGGTCGTTATTGAGGATGTTGAAAAAGAGTTGTGACACGAGTATGAAAAAAAAAATCCACTTCGCAGACCAAATTGTCGAGTTTGTAGAAATAACTGGTCGGCGACACAGAATTCCACGGCCTGTTGATGATGTTCATGTTGCAAGAAAAATAGCAATGGAAATAAATAAAATACGATGGCCGAAAATAAACGGAAAAAATCGCGGCGCGGGATCTAGTATTTCGTCTTTCTTCGTCGTGCTAAGTACTTAGATTGATCACGAGCATGCGGTGAATTGTGCTCATCGTTTCCTTGGAGGAGCGTTTCATTTTCGGTATTTGTACGTCGCACCAGCAGGTGAAGGAGCTACTAGTTTGAATCCGCTGCGATCTTCGTGTTGCACACAAGAACATTTGTTTCTGTTTTGTCGGTGTAGGATTTCTTTTGGAAAAATTGAAAAACAGAAGGACCAGAACAGGATCTGCGAGGACGAGCTTGTAAAGATTCATCGGGATCATGATCACACGAAAGGGTCAAACTGACCTTTCTTTGGTCAATTCTCGCGTCGGAACCTTTAGTGCAGGACTTACGGTTGTATACTACAGTCCGGTCGAGATTCTGTCACGGCTTGAGAAAATGCCGAAAGTCCAACTTTTTCACTCTATGTTTCTTATGCTTGTCTGCTTCATTCTCAGCAATGCTGGAGAATGTGAATCTTGCGACCTACTTCCATCAATTTTTTTTTCCACGTTAGTTCAAAAGATATATAGTGCTACTTTTCATCATACACGAATGTGGAAAATCTCGAGGGTATCCCACTGCTGATACCTGCTCAACGCATGAAGTTCTGTACATAATATGTGGTGTCTCGTGTGTCACTTCTTCTTACTTCAAAATGTAGGTATGTCCTTTCTCATGTAGTACTGGATACTTCATCGTGCAAATTGTAAATGTGACGGACTAGTTTGAAGATAGGGCCTGTAAATTAAAATTATGACGATCATGATGGTGTGGAAAACATGGCTTCGGTCTGCTTCAGCTGAGAAACGAAAGTGAATGCGCTTAGACCTCCTGTAGGCTTCGCTCCGACGTTTCCGGAGCTCCGCGTGCAAGCTTGTTTGCATACCTACAGTGGTGGCGCAGATGCTGAAATATAGTTCTTGCGCCCTGTAAAAATATTGTACACGGAAAGAAGTGCTACTTGTGCTGAAAGTGAAGAATGATATTTGTGTGCTTCGTGCTAGACCGGTGAGGATATCGACTTTCTAGGTATTGTCCACGTAAAAAAGAATGAGACTCATAGATATCCCTACTCCTTATCCTCACCGTCAGAAGGGCTTTGCTTATCATCATCGATCTTGACATTGGGCTCTCGTACGCCAATGTTCTAGATGGGAAGACTGACTTCTTTTCACCGCAGCGTCAGCCATACACACAAATCTACTACACCCATCAGACCATGCTTTAGTTCGAAAAATGGAGGCTTTTCGAGTAAAACTAAGCGACTGGATGCTCCCTAAGCGACTGGCGTCGATCGTCCAGCGACCACTGCGAGTGCAAGCTTACGCTGTTGTTTGGCCCGAACCGAATATGGGGAAACTGCACCTCCTGATAGTATTTCGTATTCGACACTCCTGGAGTGTTTCCACGGGATTCGAACGCCCCGTACCTGCGAAGCTGGTGGTATTTCCAGAAAGACAGTTTCTTTTTCTGGTCGCCCTCCACGCTGTCCTCGAGAAAAAACTTGGATTTCACAAAGCGGTCTACCTCTTCAAAAATTCTCACACCGCGAAACAAAGTTATGAAAAGCAAAACTGCAAGCCACGGCTGCACATGTGTCAAAATATTTTTTTGTGTATAAAAAACAGAAGGTACACAGAGGGGGCGGCGCTTCTCTTTCGAAAGACAGACACTGAAATACAATTTTCACCATGTGGTGCGAGTATCACATGAGTATCCTGCACGTCCGTGAAGACGTCTAATACCTAGGATTCCTTGCCGGTCGTGTCGATGGCTTTGATGTAGTACCAACCCCCGCTATACGCTTCATGGTGACAAAATGAGAGCAAAAGCCAGGCCTGTGCCTTGTTTCGCTGCCGATACTTCCAAAAAGAAACTTGTCCGCGTCGCTGGGCAATCCTGAAAAGTGTCCTGAAAAGTGAAAGTTCCACCGGAGCGGCTGGTCGAAATCTGTGCACCCCAGCAGCACGCCTCTAAAGTTTTGGGGGAGGGGAAACTTCCAGTCGGTGATAAGAAAGTCGTCTCGAAATACAGCAGCCCAGGGCTGGTGCCCCTTTATGCAGAACGATCCTTCCCAACGCTTCCGTGTCTCGAAGCACAGATTGCGAAACGGCAACGCATCTTTTATAGAAACGGGGTTGATGGGTGTAGTTATCGAGGAGAAGTCCCACTGGTGTACTGGGCCGTAGCGTTCCTCGGTCACGTATGCATGAGAATCAATAAGTACATCTCTCCAGTGTCGCATTGCGCAGAGTAGCGACAGAACGTATCTGCTTTCTCATACAGAAGCACGTCCACGTGCGCATAGTTGCATACGGGACATCATGATGTCACCACATTCTTGTGGGCATGTAAGGGTAGCCGAAGATGCACAATGATCTAGTCGCCGGGCCGCGACTGTGATCTCCGCTCGGCGCAGCGTGTGCTGCAATCAATGCAAATGACAATGAGCACCAGCATGAACATAAATTAATACAACAAACGCTGAAGAACCAATAATATCGAGCCGGCGCGGGACGACGTCTTTCCTTGAATCTACTTCTGCGCAATGCGACGACGTCGAAGACAGACAAAAAGGTTAAGTGCGTACTTCTTGTCGTTTCGCTGCAGCCTCATCTTCACCCATTTCCCGTGGATTTCGCCAGTACTCTCTTCTCCAATACTCGGGGCCCATGTCAAACGCAGCGTGCTGCCAAAATGTAATGGCTTCTGTAACTTCATGCCAGCTCCGAAACTCGTAGCCCGACTTGACAACGGCCTGGAGGGAGATGCTGGCGCCGACTGGTTGACATGCCGTGTTCGTGGGAGAAAGCAATACGTCACTGATTCTCGTCTCGCCCAGAAGCGGTAGGAGATCTTGCGATCCACACAGAAGACTTATCTCCTTCAAAATGCGCTGGCCCTGCTCCTTTTGTGATGCGATTATGGCATTTGCGATCTGTTCTCCGATCTCTCGCGCCGATAGCGGCTGCCACTTGGCAAAGGCGAACTTTCTCACAAGTGTGCCGCCAAGAGTGTGTACGATCAACTCAGGCTGCTCGGACGCTAGGTCGGCCCGGTCGTGATGCAGCTGAGCACTGTGTTCATTGTCACACCCTTCGGCACCCAACGTGCCCTCTTGTGCCACACGAAACAGCAAGTTCTTGAAGAGGGTCGTTGGGAAATCGGATGCGAGCATACCCTCAAAGGCACCACGACGATGGAACTCCATGAACCTATCGCGCCTCGCCTCTGCCGCGGCCTGTCGGGTCGCCCCAGCAGCAGAGCTTCCCGAAAAAAATGCCGACGACACGAACGCGCCGACATCCTGGAATGCGTGCACCCCGAAAAACATACCTTGCATTGTGTCGACGGTGGTGAGATCCCAGTGCAGAGGCTGGTCAAAGTCGCGGCAGTCCTTAAACATGGAGCGCATGCTCCGCACGCCGTTTGTGTTCCAGTGAGAGACGGATGGAAAGCGGGCGCCCGGGCTCCAAATGAATAGGTCTCCTGTCCTCGCACACGAAAATAACTCGTCTAGGTTGGTGACGCGAGACACGTTCCAGAAGCGAATTGGGCCGTACTTGCTTTGGATTTCCCTTCGTTTTGTCGACGCCCTTTGCGCGTTATCCTCACGGTGGTTATACGCACGGTGGGCGTCCTCTCTGTGCCTTTCGATGATGTCGGGGTGTGTATAGTTCCACGACTTCCACCACGAGAGCGCTCGGGCAAGTTCGTTTCGGTTTTCGAAAGCCTTCCAGTTTCCTTCCTGGCGGTGCGTGTCAGCGCACCGTTGGGCCGCGCGGTCGACGTTGCGCAGGCCCTCTTTCTGTTTGGGCGTCAGGTACGGTGCCCACGGCTCTAGGGCGGTCCTCAGCAGATCGCCTCCAGCGCCGGGCCGTGCTATTAGTCGTGGTTCTTCTGCTTCCTCTGCTGAGTCAGATGAGGCTCTTTTCGAGAGATCCTGGTGCGGATTATTCGAATCGGAAAAACGCGGCGTGCTGGACGACGGATTGCTACCACTGTCATCTTCGACCGATGCAGAGCTTCCGCCGATGGTTGGTGTTCCCGCATCGGTATCAACTGCAACTATGTCTGGGTCTGGAAGAAGGCAATATTTGCCATGCATCTCGCTGACCACGCACACGAATTTTGCAAGACCTTCTTCATGCCTATTCCGCATGAGAAATCCTGGAGCACATCCTTTTAGCGTCCATGCAGATGCAGCATAGATTTTTTTTTTTTGTGATCCCGACTTAGCATGACAAATTGCAGTCTTCCACCAGACCCAGACATGTTTGCATTTGGTAATCGTTCGTTTCCTTTTCTTCCGAAGCTCGCTCCGCGGACGCAGCTGCGGTAAAAAAATTGGTTTTATTCACCCGGGGCCGCCTGACAGAACCAGAAGTGCTCCTGTTTTTCCCGCTTTTCTTCTTCTTCGCCGTCTTCAAAAATTTCGGCGAAGCGGCTACACCTCCGGGCTTTTTTGATGATGCGCTGGAACTCTTCATGCCGCGGGTCTTGTTCGTCCTCTTTCGGACGAGTTGTTGTACTTTTTTTGCGCCAGGGACTACAGGGGCGGCTGTCGTGACGAGGCCACCTCCTGCAGCCTTTTGCGTTACGGCATCGTCGTCCGAGTCGTCGACCGCCACAGAACGGGGGGACGTATCGCATGCAAAAATATCTGGGTCTGGAAGGATGTTGTAAGCTTGTGACTCGGAGTCTGGAACAATCAAAAATCAGTATTTATTTTGCGTAGTTACAACCGCAAGGCGGTCGATTTATGACTCGTTTAGGACGAGAGAGCATTTCTGATGCAGACACGACATCATGGAGACCCCTCTTTGGAACTTGTCCTGCTCCGTGTGCTGCCCGCCTTGTTTTTGCAGATGCAAAACCTGAAGACAAATCCAGACCCAGACGTATTTTTTTGCACTTGATAGGACCGGGAATAATCAGAATCATAATTAGAATGTCGGCCCGAGCCGTCCGAATATGCTTCACTCTGCTCCCCGTCTTGTTCGGTTATTAGCACTTGACTTGAAGATGGCGCGCCCCACCCTTCGCGCATCGCACTAGGGCGCGATGCGAGTAGGTTCTCCACCATTGTCCACAGTGTCGGAACGCCAAGTCTTTCAGAAGTGGGTGCTCCAAACTTTAAGAGGAACTGCTTAACCATTTTGTCCTTCTCTCTTGTGATTACCGCCAAGTCAATGAATCCATCCTGCCAATATTGTTCACGTCTTGCGTCGTAACTTCTGCCATTGTGGGTCGCCTCTTCTTGTTGTAGCTTTGCCAACTGTTCGGGACGCAGGTTTTCTGGGCGACGAAACACCCGTGCCGCCGAAAGAATGCCATCTGCTTCCACGCCGCCGGCGCCATGGAGAGTCAAGCTGCCCCAGGCCGACAGATCCTGGTTGAATTTCTGGGAATCGTAAAACATGCCCCTCATATTCCTCACACTACCGATGCTCCACTTGTTCAGGGGCTGATTGAAATGTCCCGTCCAGGCAAACATGAGCGCCATGCTTGTTACGCGGACCACATTCCAAAAATGCAGCGGGTAGTTGTAATGTTTTGCCGCTTTGAACATTCCGGTCATGTCGGTGACGCTGCTCACATCCCAATGAAGTTCCTGGTCGAACTTGTCCGTGCGCATAAACATGTGCGCCATATTCGTGACGCGCGAAGTGTCCCACCGGCTGATGGGCGCGTTGAAATCTCCTGCGGCGAAGAACATGTGGCTCATGTCAGTGACGCGGCTCACGTCCCATTGCCCGATCGGTTGATCAAAGTTCCCAGCGCCGGCGAACATTTTGCTCATGTCGGTCACTTGCCCCACATCCCAGAGATGGAGCGGCTCGTTGAAACTTTCGCAACCCATAAACAGCCCCTGCATGTTCTTCACGCCGCGTGTGTCCCAGTTGCTGATGACAAAGAACCGGACGTCAAAAGCCTTATACCACGAGTTTCTGTGGTCCATGCAGAACTTCGAAAAAAAGAAGCTCAAGTCCTCGACCTGAGACACGTTCCAGTAACCGACGGGACCATACACGTCTTCTATCTTGTCTCGCTCCTCTTGGGCGGTAGGCTCTGGCTTCGACGCAGCATCAGGCACTTTTGACGCGCCATCCGCAACGAGAGGCATCTTCCGAAACGGTAGGACCGCCGCTTCGAGCTCCGCGCGGCTGGAGAAGGCTTTGAAACTACCTATTCTCTTCACAAATTTGGTCTTCACGTGCCGGTAGCCACCCTTGATGGCGCGGCGCAATCTCTCCTCATCGCGTTCGCGCACGGAATCGTCCTCCAACATGGCGTTGGTTTGGAGAATTGTATCTTCGGCACGCTGTCTTTGCCGCTCTTGCAGCGCCTCGGCAAAAACCTCTGCATCCTGCCTTCGGTGCAGTGCCAGCATAATCCCATGTTCCCGCTCCCACGCGCGCTCGTACTCCTGCTTCCCCCAAACCCAGGGTCTAGCGGCAAACAAATGCGCAGTTTGTCGCTCCGGGTAGGGCGGCGGTGGGGGAGGCGTGGCACGATGGTCGAGGTCGTGAGCGATGGTGAACGCACCGTGCCGGCGAAGCCCGAGAAACTTTTCCAAGGGCATATGCTGGTACCGAAACTTTCCGTCTTCTTCAAGGCGAAGAGTATCGAAATCGAACCGGAAAAAATCAGACTCCTGGAACATGATGATGTTGTCAAAAATACGGACATCTTGAAACATGCCACGAAACTTACTGTAGGCCAGCGCCGCGGGCGGGTCCTGGCCGTCCAGATCAAAGTCCCACCGAAGGGGCTGGTCAAAATCTCTGCAAGAAGCGAAAAGGCCCTTTACGCTGTAGTTTTTGGGCAACGTTTATCCTACAGAAAAGCACATCCATACGCACATTCGCGAAAATACAATTTTTTGGGCGACAGCCCCGGTTTTTTTTTTGTGTGAAAGCGGTTTTTGCTCTCCGTTCAAAATCACAAATCTTATATGGTACATCTCGGACAAAAATTCTGCATTAGCAGCATCTCCATTTGTTGACAGGTTTTCCTCCCTTACGCAGAGCAGCATGGCAAAGTTTTTTGCGCCATGCAAATTCTTTTTTCTCCCGGTACGGATGAGCCTTTTTGTAGGATAACGTCCAATCGCTGATCCGGACAGGGTCTGGCCATCTATGTTCCTCGGGCAGTTCATCGTAGATCCTGGTGCGTCCAAAAACTATTCTAGAGAAAGGCAGGCGCATACCAGAAGAGAAATGAATCTAATATGTTGATGTTTTTCTGTCACAAGAAGAAGAAACTTCGTCGTGATGCTGATCTGCAATACCAGTACTTAAGAACCTGGCATGCTTGAATTGAGCACACATACACAATGCGGACTAGCAAGACAAAAGTCGCCGAAATATTTGTCACGCGGAGCACAAGAAAATATAAAACTAACAGCATGGCAAATTGTTTTTGTTTCTGGTATGTGCGTGTCCGAGCTTTGCTGTAGGATAAAAAAAGTTCTCCAGCTGTCCCACTTTCCCCATGCTTTGCAATATCGACTAAAATTGATTCCAAAGAGGTCGGCATTGAAGTCCACCGTCGTGCTATACAAGAAAAAAACTGTGTATGTGGGTGTAATTCTCTTGGAGGAACAACATAACTAACAAGTTTGCTCTGCATGACAGAGAAAACCTGTCATGCGTAGCTAGTGCATGAAATGACGCACGAAAAGAGCCTCTGTCTGACGCATGTCCAGCATGACAATTGTAAGTAAGAGTCTTGCATCGTCCTCTGCAACACAAAGTTATATACACTTACACACTTTTTTTCTTGGATACGTGTCCCCCTTGGGCTCTGTGGGGGGTGTGCTGACAAGCGAGAAGTCCCAGTGCTCTATCGGCCCGTACGTGCTTTCAATGGCCCGCCTCTCCGGCCCTCGCTCGTCAAAGGGGGGGATGGGGGGCTGCCCTCGAAAAAAGGTTCTATGCCAGAATCGTCGCACAGGGTCGCTGGCATTGAAGCTCTCGAAGGTCCATTTCTCAAACTTCTCCACGAGGACCACTTGCAGCGTGATCGCATCGGGATACCCCGATGCCCGTGCCGACGGGAGTAGGAAGTTCGCAAGCGGGTACGGCTCCACCAGTGACAGCACATCCTCGACGCCATACAGAAGCCTGATGGTTTTCGGCCTACGGGCGCCGTGCCCGAGGCCCCTTGTTTGTAATCTGATTCTTTCCCGGACATCCCCGCCGACGTGTGATGGGCTGTAATGCTCCCAGTTCGCATAAGAATAGGTGTGCACGATGTCACCCGCAAGATTCCTTACCACCAGCTCCGGATGGTACACGAAAGCACTTTTCCCCGGAATCAGGCCCGGTTCGGGAAAATCCAGGAGCGGTGAAGCCAGTGCGCTCTTGTTATCCAAAAACCATCTCTCCGCGGGCGTGCCGGCGAAAGCGCCACGCCTGTGAAACTCCAAGAAGCGGTGCCGGGTGAGTGCGCCAGCTGCAGGAGAAGCTGTCCTCTGGTTGTAAAATTCAGATGCAGCGAAAGCTTCCAAACTCCCAAAAATACCGCGAATATATTGGGATGCGTCATGAACATGACCTATTGGAACATTATAATCTTGGAGGAACATACCCTCCATCGTCTCTACGGTACCAAGGTCCCAGCGGAGCGCCTGGTCAAAGTGGTCACAGTGGCGAAACATGTGGCGCATACTCCGCACGCCGTTTGTTTTCCAGTCGTGAATTTTCGGAAAAAATTTTCCCAGGCCCTTGTCGCAGCCGCGCCTGCAGTTGAAGAAGTTGTCCAGGTCGGCGATGCGCGATACGTCCCAGCTATGGGTGGGGCCGTACCGTGCTAGCGTTTCTTTTGCAGCTTTCTCGTGACGACGGCCGCCTGGTGAAAGATAGAAAACCCACAAATGGAATACTCTGTCCAACTCTCTGCGGCTCTCGAACGCCTCCCACTGGCTGTCCATTACTGATTTGGCCGCACGGTCCACGGTCCGCAAGCCTAATCGCTCCTTGCCCGTTAGATGGGACGTCGACAAGGTCCCCAGGGCGATCTCCACCAAAGCTCCTCCGGCGTTGGACGGTGTCTTGTGTTCCTCCTTCTCTGAGTCAGACGAAGCGGCTGTGCGCAGATCCTCTTCTTCCAAACCCGGGTTGGAAAACCGCGGCGTGCTGGAAGAGGGATTGCTACCGCTGTCATCTTCGTCCGATGCAGAGCTTGTGCCGGTGGTTGTTGTTCCAGCATCGTTCGTTTCGTTTCTCTCCGAAGCTTGCTCCGAGGACGCAGCTGCGCTAATCTTCGTTTTAATATTCCGGGACCGCCTGACAGAAGTGCTATTTCTTCCCCCGCACTTCTTCTGCTTCTTCACCGTCTTCAAAAATACCGACGAAGCGACTTTTCCGGGCTTTTTTGCTGATGCACTGCAACTCTTCATCCCGCGGGTCTTGTTCGTCCTCTTCCGGACGCGTTGCTGTACTTTTTTCGCGCCGAGGACCAATTCAGAGCCACGATATGGGACCACCATGCCGTCAGAATATGCTTCACCCTCGTCCACTTCGTGTCCGGCTTCAGTCGTGGTCCCCTCTGGAGCAGGTGCAAATCCAACTTCTGGTGAACTACCCCGCGACCGCGCCGCATAGGCCCCCGTTATAATTAGTACAGAGCTGCTCTTCCAACTGTCGCTGCTTCCGGAAAAAAGACCATGGCCAACAAGACCGGCTGCCAGCACGAAAAGGTACTGGCGGAGGAGGCTCGACGAGCCCGTCTTCGAGTGCTGGACAGGAAGTTTCTTGACCGCAGCAGGGGGAGAAATTGATGTAGTCGTGCTGACATAATTCACATTCATCTCGGCGCGAAGCCGAGACTTTTCGACCAAAGCGGCCCACATTACTTCTACTTGTGGTCTTCTAAAAGCTGAAAGAAAACCAGAACACAGATTCAATTGATATAGAGATCCGAGAGCGATAAAACAGATTGAAAAAAAAACCAAAACTTGTATAATTTCTACTTACTTTTATTGTGTATATGCACTTCTACTTTCCTTTATGTTAGAGCAAATGCGATTGTGTATTCTACTTTTTTTCCAGGACCAAGAAAAAATTATACAATGTGGCGTAGTTGTTAGTCATCAAAACGTAAAACTGCGAATTTTTTCATTCATTCGAAAGAGCTGTATCTTCGGACCCGCATGTTGATGCAAACCTAAAAGCAATATTCCCGGATCAGGAACAATTGTCGAGCCCCGATGACAAGAAGATCAAGAGCGAGCTAGTACTTACAGTTTCATCCGATACTGACGACCACGACGATTTTTCCATCGACATCATAAATTCGCCTGATAAATTTTAATGGCGTCATGAGCCCAGCAGAACTGCCTCGGCAACGATTTGTGGGGGGAGCGACATTTTTGGTGGTGCATCAAAGGCGGTCGCTTAAAATTTGACGGAGCCAAGAAGTGCACGACGTAAAATTTGACCGGCATGAAGATTCCTCTTTGTTGCTCTTGTCGAAGATCCGGTCGTGAAAATAGCAGAAGGTCTTCGGTGGAGGACCCTTCATTTTTCCTTGAGGAGCTCGTGATTTAAAATCTTGTGACTATGTATTGAAGAGTAGATAAATCCCAGAGGGAAGCTTGAAAAAATAGAGCACTTTAGTACTGCGAACTGAGCTTATGTATTGAACCAGAAATTATAAGAACTCATGTGCAGGCCGCGGCACCGGTTCCATCCGTTCCATATCACGAGCATAAATATAGGATGGGGAACAATTCGGCTGTGGTCATTTCTCTACATTGCCTCTGGAAATGGTCTCGTCAGGGCTTTATCCCTGATTAGGTGAGAGAATAAACATGCGATTGACTTCTTCAATATCAACTGTAAAAATGTCTGGGTCTGGAAGAATCCAACTTGTCATGCTGATTTTGGATTCTAAAAAAATCTGTATTGCATGAACAGCAAAGAGAGTCCAAGTTTTGCTACACAGAAAGAGCATTTGTCATGCGGTATAAGCATCGGGAAGCCCTCACAAAATCTGTGATGCTAGGGCATGCATCACAGACATGAGGAGTCATGCAAAATGTGCATGACAAACCTGGCAATCTTCCAGACCCAGACATTTTTGCATTTGATATTCAATTGTGATAGACAATTTCCCATTTTCTGCTGTCTTCGACAATCCGCGAACTTCAAACTACCTATCATATCGGGTGTAGAGATCATTTTCTTCTTCTTTCGATAATGACATCTGCATTTAGACCGATTGATTTTTTGAACAGACACAAACAAAAGCAAATCAGCAATTTGTCATGCTGTTTCCGACCTTCCCGTCGTCCTCAGACTGCTATGTCACCCAACTGTCGAGGTAAAAACAAAAAACTGTGTGTTGTGGTGGACATGTGACACATTTTCGTGGTTCTTGCGTGGAGCAAACTCAAAGCAAAAGCAACGACTTTCTGAATCACGAAGGCCAAATTCAACACGTACGATCAGTCGCTTTCCTTTCCCCTACGACAAGTTGGTAAAACAAAAATTCATCTTTGCATTAACGACAGAAGCAACATTTTTCTATTGAGTACCCAAGGTCACTCAACGACATAACGATGGAAAAATTCAAAAATAGTCCCTACAACGTAAAGTCCGTACGATTCAGATGAACGTAGTACGATACGAAAAGCAGTAGAGACGCTGGGAACACTTGCTCTTCCACAAATGCATGCGGTCCTGCAGTGTAAGTGTTCCACAGCATAGTAAAAATCAAGGTGAAGCAACTGCGTAGTACTTAGCCTAGCAAGTCACATTTTTTGTAAGTTGTAATTGTCAAACAAGAACTAAAAACGTAAACGGTAATTGTAACAGTATCTGTAAATTTGTCAAACAATAGCTCGGTATTTTTTTTAGACTGTCCTACTCTGTTTGAAAAACGGTTTTGCTGAGTCTATTTTCTAGGAATTTTTTATTTCGTCTTGCAATACTCCTTCATTACTTTCCACCATCACACCTCTTCACCCTCCACTTCACCACCAGTTCGTTGTAGTTCTACTCCACTCACCCCGTGGTGGTTTTCCGGGTCAACTTCTTCCCTCCCTTGAGCTTCAGCCCCTTGGCGGTCTTGGCGGCGGACTGGGTGGCATTCTTCTCCGGGCTGGGGGTGCGGCTTTTCTCCAAACCTTCGACCCGGGTACACAGTTTCTCCAGCAGGCTGCACATTTTGTCGTTGTTGCCCGAGGACGCCGAGGAAGAACTACTGCTCGTCGCCGCCTGCTGCACCTGTTTCAGCTTGAACTCCCGCTTCGTCAGCGCCTCGTAGTCGTCCTTCAGCACGTCATTGAGCTCGAAGAGCAGCTCCGGCTTGTTGCCCTGCAGGAACAGGATCCGTTCATTCACGACAATCCGCGAACTTCGTTCTGCTGTCTTCGACAATCCGCGAACTTCAAAGTACCTATCATACACGAGAACGAGGATGAAGCGCTAAACGATAAAAAAAAGGTCTGCTCTTCTTTTGACTTTCTACTGTTCGGTATCGGCGAACCTGGTCGTCGAATCAAAGACGCCAAATTTTGCCGCGCCACGCCGCCCTCCTTTCCGTGTCTAAAAGAGCGGCACCCCATACAGCCCGGGGATTTGTATAAACTACTCGTTTTTCGCCTCTCTTGAAAGTTGTTGAGCGGACTGCTAGCGTGCGTGAGATCTAACTACCATGTGAAAAAACTAAATCACAGCTCGCAACGGCACCTTGCTTCTACTACGCCAAGGCGTAGTAAAAGCGGGATAGTACGGCACTGCAGTTGAGTCGAGGTTCTATCACGGCTTGAGAAAGCGGTTTTATCAAGCGGGATACATACGGTCATACCACAGTTCGGTCGAGATTCTGTCACGGCTTGAGAAAACGCCGAAAGTCCAACTTTTTCACTCTATGTTTCTTATGCCTGGTGTCTACTTTAGCTTCAGCAGTGCTGGAGAATGTGAATGTTGCGACCTACTTCCATCAATTCTTTCCACGTTTGTTCACAAGATATGAGTACTACTTTTCATCATACACGAACGTGAGAAAACTCGAGGCCAGCCCACTGCTGATAAGTACCTACTCAACGCATCAAGTTCTGTATATAATCTGTGCGTGTTGTAGTACTGGTTACTTCATCGTGCAGAATATAAATGTGACACCACGCTAGTTCTTGTATATTGCAAAGTAAAATCCCAAACGGCCTCTAGATTAAGAAAACATGGCTTCGGTCTGTTTCATCTGAGAAACGAAGATAAATGCGCAAAGACCTGTAGGCTCCGCCCCCACGTTTTCGGAGCTCAACAGCGCGCAAGCTTGTTTGCATACCTACAGGGGTGACCAATGTAGCTCCTGCGTCTTGTAAAAATATTGTACACGGGAAGAGGTGCTGCATGGGAAGAATGATATTTGTGTGCTTTGAAGACAAGTGAGGATATCGACTTTCTAAGTATTATCCACGCGAGAAGAATGTTGAGACTCAACATAAATATCTCTACTCCTTATCCTCACCGTCAGAAGGGTTTTGCACATCATCATTTGCACATCATTGTACGCCAACGTTCTAGATGGGATGACTGACTTCTTTTCTTCACGCGTCAACCAACTACATAGACACAAATTTACTATACTCAGCAGACCATACTTTACTTCCAATGGTGGCTTTTCGAGTTCGCTTCGTAGGACTTACACAAGCACCTTGGTCTTCGCTTCTGAAGTGGTGGCTGGCGTTGCCTCTTACTCGTCTCACCCTCGATAGACAGGCGCGGGCTTACATCTTTTCGCGACCTGGTACACGACTAGGAGAGAGCAGTGTGGTCGTCTCTCTGACGTGAGAACACGCCTTTGCCCCAAAGCCTGAGCTATATACCAGTTTCTACAAGATCATGATCTGTAAATTTCTTCTACGGACGCCAGTACTTATGTAAAAAACCCTAAACCCGAGCATTTTACATCTTAAGTTTTAGAACATGCAGACTTTCCCGCACAGCAATACTGTTTTACTGGGAGTAAATCTACAAGGAGGGCACGGGGCTATGTACTTCTTAGCAGACCGGCCATCTTCCACCCCTGCTCCCGATCTGCTTTCGGCCACAGGTTCCAGAACCTCATATCGCCAAAGCCACTCTTGACCGCCAGATATCGATGTGGTCCATAGGAGTCGAACGCCCCGAACATATTAAGCTGCATCCATTTCCGGAAAGGCATTTGCTTTTTCTGGTCGCCCTCGACGATGTCCTCGAGAAAAAACTTGGAATTCCAAAAGCGCTCTAGGTCTTCAAATATGGCCACATTTGTAAACAAAGGTGTGAAGAGCAAAACTGCAGGCCACGTGGAATTCTTGTTTATTTTGTGTAAAATTCATTTATTCTCTTGCTGCGGAAAATGATCCCAGAGCGGCTCTTCTTTTCAGAAGGGAGACGCCCGAGCGCAATTTTTGCGCCACGGGAAACGAATTGGAGTTCTACTATACTTCCCGCGAAGGCGTCTAGTACCCAGGACTACTTGCCGGTCGTGTAGATTGATGCCTACTATTTTCATTTGGTATGTAAGTACTTTTTGATGGCTTTGTTGTAGAGCTACTACACGCTTTATGTAGTTCATGCCAAGATGAGAGCACAAGAATTCAGGCCCGAGCTTTGATTCGCTGCCGATACTTCCATTAAGAAAACCCCTGCGAACTAGTAGGCATGTGCCCGCTATAATGTCCTTCCGCGGCGTAGGCAAATTTGAGTCACAAAAGTCAAAGTTCCACCGGAGCGGCTGGTCGAAATCTGTACAACCCGTGAACAGGTTTTCAAAATTGTTTCCGGCGAGGGGAAACTTCCAGTCGGTGATAAGAAAATCGTTTCGGAATACATCAGACCAGGGCGTCGTCGTTGCCGGTTCAGAGAGTTTGTCTAGCGGTCTCGGTCCACGGTCTGGTAAACGCACGGCGTGGCAGAGGGCCGTAAACGGCAGACCGTGGAAAATCTGGTGATAACTCCCTTTGATCAGCGAGAAGTCCCACTGGTGTACTGGGCCGTAGCGTTCCTCGACCACATATGCCCGAGAATCGACATATCTCTCTCTCGTCGCAGTGCGCATAGTAATGACAGATCGTTGTTCCCGCTTTCTCATACAAAAGCACGCGGGTCTAATTGCATGATGGCACATCACGTTGTCATGTTCTTCTGGGCCTGGGGATGCAAGGGTAGCGGACTCATACATAATCTAGTCGCCAGGCCGCGGCTGTGGTCTCCGCTGGGCACTGCGTGTGATGTGATGCCAATGCTGAGCGCAGTGATTAATTACAACAAACACAAAAAATAAAAAATATCGAGCCGCGGGACGACGTGCAAAAAATATCGAGCTAGTACTTCTGCGAAGGGCCGCGACGTCGATGAAGAGAGATAAATGAGCAAGTGCGTACTTCTTGTCGTTTCGCTGCAGCTTCGTCGTCACCCATTTCCGGATCTCGAAAATAGTCTCTTGTTCGATGCGTCCAAAGTTTCTTTTGGATCTCACCGCGCTGCCAGAATTTCATGGCCTCTGCAACTTCACGCCAGCTTTGAAAGTCATAGCCCTTGACAGCGGCCTGGAGAGAGATGCTGGCGCCGACCGATCGACATGCCGTATTCGCGGGAGAAAGCAATACGTCACTGATTCTCGTCTCGCCCAAAAGCGATAGGAGATCTTGAGATCCATACAGGAGACTTAACTCCTTCAGAATGCGCTGGCGCCGTTTCTTTTGAGATGCGATGATGGCATTTGCGATCTGTTCTCCGATCTCTCGCGCCGAGAGCGGCTGCCACTCGGCAAAGTCGAATGTTCTGACAACTGCGCCGCCAACAGTGTATACGCTCAACTCAGGCTGTTCCGACGCTAGGTCAGCACGGTCGTGATGCAGCTGAAGACCGTTTTTATTGCCACACCCTTCGGTAGCCAACGCGGCGTCTTGTGCCACTCCAAACAAAAAGTTCTTGGCCAGGGGAATCGTGGGGAAATCGGAGGCGAGCATACCCTCAAAGGCACCATGGCGATGGAACTCCATGAACCTTTCGCGCCTCGCCTCTGCCGCGGCCTGTCGGGTCGCCCCAGCAGGAGAGCTTGCCGAGAAAAATGCCGAAGACACGAACGTGCCGACATCCTGGAATGCGTGCACCCCGACAAAAATACCTTGCATTGCGTCGACGGTGGTGAGGTCCCAGTGCAGAGGCTGGTCAAAGTCGCGGCAGTCCTTAAACATGGAGCGCATGCTCCGCACGCCACGCGTGTTCCAGTCAGAGATGGGCGGAATGAAGGATCCCAGGTTCCACGGGACGTAACTTCCCCGTCCGGCATCACACGAAAACAACCCGTCTAGATTGGCGACGCGAGACACGTCCCAGAACCGAACTGGACCATACTTGCCTTGGATTTCCCGTCTGAATTGTATTGCGGACTTACCTCCCCACGGATCGGCTCCATTATTTAATAGAGCTCTTCGGCGCTCTAGGTTTGGCATATTAGCTCTAATAGTATCAATATTCCAAACCCAGAGCGCTTGGACGAGTTCGTCTCGGCTCTCGAAGGCCTTCCAGGTTCCTTCCTGGCGGTGCGTGTCAACCAACCGTTGGGTCGCGCGGTCGACGTTGCGCAAAGCCTCCTTCTGTTTGGGCGTCAGGTACAGTGCCCACGGCTCCAGGGCGGTCCTCAGCAGATCGCCTCCAGCGCCGGGCCGCGCTACTTCTCGTGGTCCTTCAACATCCTCCGCTGAGTCACCAGACGAAGCTCGCTTCGACAGATCCTGGTATGGATCATTCGGGCTGGAAAAACGCGGCGTGCTGGACGACGGATTGCTACCGCTGTCATCTTCGTCCGATGCAGAGCTTCCGGTGGTGGGTGTTGTTCCCGCATCGATATCAACTGCAACTATGTCTGGGTCTGGAAGAAGGCAATATTTGCCATGCATCTCGCTGACCACGCACACGAATTCTGCGAGACCTTCTTCATGCCTATTCCGCATGAGAAATCCTGGTGCTTTTGCCTAGCCAGCCTGGAGCACCTCCTTTTTTTTAGCGTCCATGCAACATAGATTTTTGTGATCCCGACTTAGCATGACAAATTGCAGTCTTCCACCAGACCCAGACCTGTTTGCATTTGATAATCGTTCGTTTCCTTTTTCTCCGAAGCTTGCTCCGCGGAAGCAGCTGCGCTAAAAATCTTCGTTTTATTCATCCGGGGCCGCCTGACAGAAGTGCTCTTTTCCCTGCTCTTCTTCTTCGCCGTCTTCAAAAATTTCGACGAAGCGACCACACCTCCGGGCTTTTTTGATGATGCACTGCGACTCGTCATCCCGCCGCAGGTCTTGTTCGTCCTATTTGTGCCGAGGAGGACCACGGAAGAGCTTGTCGCGATGCCACCTCCTGTATCAAATGTAAAAGTGTCTCGGTCTGGAAGAATGCAACTTGTGATGCTGCATTTGGATCCCAGAAGAATCTGTATTGCATGAGTACCAAAACAAGGAACGCAATTTCTGCTACGCGGAGAGGGCATTTGTCATGCGGAACAGGCATCAAGAAGCTCTCAAAAAATCTGTGATGCTAGGGCATGCATCACAGACATCAGGGCTCATGCAAAACGTGCGTGACAAGTGTCAGAATCTTCCAGACCCAGACATTTTTACATTTGATATCCTGCAGCCTTTTTCTTCAAACCTCGACGACCACCGATGGTAGTTTTCTTTCGCAAATTGAGCGGCGTCTTGTTTTTCACAGTTTCGTCTTGCAGGTTCAGCTGCATCCTCGTGGGCATCTCTACGAACTCTTCCTGAGTAGTCTATGAAAAGGAAAATTCCACCCTCCTCATAATATCAAAACGCGGCTTCTGATGTTCGGCTTGCGTACACAATTCAGATTTGTCTTGCAGTAAAGGACTGCAGGCATATTATACCAGGCCTGAGAGGTGAAAGGCTTTTTACGTAGGAGCCTAGCAGGAGGAGAAGCGTCTACGATGTACGCCCAACAACATCACAAACCGCATGCATAACGCACAGCCTGTTGAGTTGCTTGCATGCCAGACAGAGACGCTTTGTAGCCACAAATCAGCATTACAAATTTTCCGAGGCGTACTTTTTCGGTAAGTATGGGGAGGGGGGTTTTCACCGCAATACAGATGGTGTCGAGGAGTAGTCGTTCCCCTTACCCGGTGGACGAGCTTTTTCTACGTAGTGTTCGCCCTTGAGGAATGCTGGCTCGGATTGCACTTCTGCAGCCACGCCATTTTCCGGCCTCTGATCTTGCTCGACCACTTGCTCCTGTTTTTTCGCTTGGATGTTTGAAACAGGTGTAATACAACTCTCCGGGCCCGCGCGGGTCGCACTGCCACTTTCCGTTTCAGAATGCTTTCGGGAGGCAAAGGCCTGCATCTTTTCCAGCACCACAACTTGGTCGGGACGTAGTCTTTCGGCCGCGCGAAACGCCTCCGCATCTCCAAACATGTTATCTGCAGCGAGGATATGCATTGCAAATTTGTCTGGGTCTGAAAAATTGCGTTGCTGAGAGTTGCGTCGCAGATTGACTATCCTCTGGTACGGCATAGCAGCATCAAAAATTTTGCAAGGCCTACTGCAGAGCAGACTCATTCGAAAAACGCATGACAAACTGGCTTCCAGCACGACAAAAGAGCTAGCCAATCACATTCATGCGT